TTGTATTTTCAATAGATATATCGCTGGAGGTTATGAAGAAGAAATAAATTTTCAATATTCTAATCTAATTGGAGTTGATGAAATGACAATAGAATTTATAATAAACATTGAATTTCAAGAAAAGTGTCAGTTTCACAAACCTCTCCAAATTCTAACCTAATTAAGGAAATAAATATTTTCTCTTTAAAAAATTAATTTGAATCTTTTCTCTATTTATGAAAATATTTATTATACAACAGAAATTACTGAAATAATTAATTTTGATTCAATAATAATCTAAAATGTGAGCCTAAGTTTGTAAGAAGATGGTTTCATATTGAGAAATAATAACAATAAAGTTGAAATAAAATTAAAAAATATAATTTTAACTAAAAGCAATATTATTGAGAAGACAGTGTTTCAATCTTAAGTATTTGGAAATATTCAGATTGATAATTTTAATATAGAAGATTCTATAATTTAGAACTCTTTCTTTTTCGATTATTAGAACTCATAAAGTAAAATATTTTTAAAAATAAAAAAATTATCATTTAGGAATTGCTAAATAAGAAACTCAGCATTATTTTAAATAAATGACAATTAAATATAGATAGATATTTAAGATATTATTATTGAAAATTGTTTGATTGTAAACTCATCATTTTTTTCTTTCTAAACAAATTAAATCAATCTTAATAAGGTCATATTGTAAGGTGTTGAAATACTAGGATGTAACTTTTCTTATTCATATTTTATCAAGATTTATAATGGATTTTCAATAATCGCAAGTAATCTATACTTTCATGATAATTAGCTATAGAACTCAATATTAATAGCATTTAATGATAATTTAGAATTATTTTAAGTAAAAACAAATAAGAACATTCTTATCAAATCTTCAATTATCTCTACATTGCAAATAGTAAATTAATAAAAAGTTTTATGTATTATTGATGATTTTGAAGATAGTTAAACTAATTTTCAAGAATCAAGCATGATAATTATTCATTCTAATCTTCAAATTAATAATTATATAGTAAATTTAAAAAACATAAAAGTTTAAGGAAATCAAATGGTTGATACAAAAGATTAATAAATATTTTTATTTAAATTTCATTGTCATCATTTATTTATAGAAAATACTTCATTCTAAGATTTGAATAATTTAGTTATTTTTTATCTTTTTGAGATTAAATAGATAGTTATAGAAAATGTAAGATATGTAAATTCAAAGTAACATTATAAAGTCCCTTTATCTTAAGAATGTACTTAATCTCTATACATCAAGAATTAACTCTTAAAATTAGCTGGTTTCTAATTTTTGTAATTGGAAAATATTTAAATTGTAAATTTATTTTCTAATAACTATTCACTAATGGATATAATATTTAGTAACTATTTTATTATAGACTAAATTGGATAAGTGTATTTTAAAAATATCTAATTTACAGAAAATATTTTATTAAAGAATTAATAAGCAGTGTCATTGTCCTTGCTTAGTCTATATTCATAACATAATTTAAATATTAAATTAAGTGAAATTGTATTTATTTAAAATATAATTCATTAATAAATTGACGATTCTACAGAGGAATAAACTAGTTTATTATATATAAATTCATTAAACAGCATTATTTAAATTGATAATTCATATTGCTCTCATAATGCTCTAACAAATTCAACTAATTCATATCTTAGTCTTAGTGCTAATTTAATTGAGATTAAAAATTTTAATATTTTTAATTAAAATATATTATCATAAAATTAATGGTAACAATTTTATGAATTTTTACTAGATGATGAATTTAACCAGGAAGAAATAAATACCATAATTCAGTCAACCTTTAAAATTTTAAATCAAGGAATATTGATTATAGCATCTAATTTCAGTTGCATAAACTGTCAATTTTAAGATATTCTTACTGATAAAAGTTCAATTTTTGAGATTAGAACAAAAGGATAAGGATTAATTATGCTCAATAATCTTTAGATTAATTCCATAATGACTAATTTAAGAAAGAGTGAAAGTTCGGGTTGTATAACTATAGTTTCTACAAATAGTTTTTTAAATCTTTAATTAGAAAGAATAGCATTTAAAAACATTTTCAATAGAATGAATCCTTCATTATTTACTATTACACCATCTTCACATTCAAATGTTATTAAATTAAATCATATTCTAATTGAAAATTGCCTTTCCTTAGTGAATACGATACTTTTCCTTAAAGTTCAAAATGAAGCGATGTAATCAAGTTTGGTAAGTATTAATGATTTAACAATTTTTTCAAGTGAATAATAGTGGATAAAACTATTTTCTAAAATTGGTGTGATATCATAGTCTGAAATGAATATTATAAAGAGTGAAAATAATGGACTAATCTTAATTGAAAATTGCAAAGTTGAAATTAATAATCTTAAATTTGAAGGAATTTCGATTTCACCATTATTAACTATTTTAAATACAAATTACATAAAAATTTCTGATTGTAAGATAACTAATATATAATAATTATATTCATTTGATCTAATACATTTAACTTAAGCAACAATTTCATAATCAATTATTTTGATCTAATAACTAAAAATAATTTAGAGTTCAATATATGATATGAAATAAGACAAAATACCTATTTTTTAAGATTATAATTATTAAATAATTGGATGTGATATGTGGAAAAACTCTTCTATTTAGGAATAAATCGTATTTTCTGAGATAAAATCTTAATTTTAATCTTCTGATTTTCAATTTAATTAGATAATTTATGTTAATAGCAAATCAGAATTAAGCTCTATTATCTTTTATTAAATAGACTTAATTGATAATAATGAGTCATAATATTCTAAAGGAATAATCACTTTTGTTGTTGAAAAATTCAAGAAAATCTATTTACATAATATAATTTGTTATTAAAATAGTGTCAAATAAAATGGTTGTATTAATTTGTTGAATTCTAATTTTATCAATTCAACAATTAGAATCAGTGATTCTTACTTCATAAAGAATACTGGTAGTCTTGGAGCAGCAATTTAAATTGCTAATGTTAGACTAAATATGAAAAATTGCAAAATAATTTAAAATTAAGCTAGTGAATTTGGAGGAGGAATGCACTTATAATTAAAGGATAACTACTTTTAAATTAAATCAACCATTATTACTAATAACACAGCTTAAGATGGAGGGGGAATCTATTTCAAAGATGCTGGAAAATTGACTCTTACGAATTTTATTTAATCTTTTTTACTTTTCAATAAGGCATTTTAGTTTGGGGATAACCTTATTGAATCTCCTCATCATTTGGTATTAGTAATAAATAATAAGGAAATGAAATCAAGATAGTAAGTTATCAATAAGATTATGATTGAATATTTAATTCTTAAATAGTATAAAATTATAGAATAAGGAACCCCTCTAATTAAAAATTTTTTGATGATCCCAAGTAATTAAGTTATTCTTACATATAAAATCTATTAGCCTTAAAGCTTGTAATATTTTTCATATATATCAAATTTTGGACTAATTTTAAAAAATAGTCTAAATGAAAAACTTAAGAATTATTTAAATTCTACTTGCACTCTGATTACTAAAGTAATTGATGGAGAGAACTTAAATTAGGAAGGAAAATTGAATGAATAAAAAAATTTGCAATATGACATTAAAGAAGATTACTACGATTTAGGCTCTTACTCTTTCACGTTTGATCCTTACAATTAAGAAGAAAAAAGGTTATAAATTTAAATCAATTGTTTCTCAGATTAGGTATAAAAAATCTTTGGATATGTTATGTTAGCAAAAAGTTTAAAATGCTAGCTTGGAGAATTTTATGTGAATTCTGGTTGTTAGATTTGTTAATCAAGTTAAGGGTTTTACTCAGTTGTATATGATGCACCAAAGTGCTCTATTTTTGATAAAACCAAATTTAAGAACATAACAGAAAATAATATAGAATTATTGGAAGGTTTTTGGAGACCTGATTATTTGTCTGATTAAATAGAGTAATGCTTTAAAAATTTGAGATTCTGTAAAGGTGGATGGGGATATGGTAATTTAATATGCTCTTAAGGACGAATTGGAGCTTTATGTGAAGAATGTGATATCTATAATATAAGAGGAGATGGGAAATATTTTAAAAATTAATAGGACTCATAATGTATATCTTGTTTTGGTGTTTCGGATAGTATAATTCCCTTTATTGCATCTTCAATTTGGTAATTTCTTAATTGAATATTTAGGTCATTTTTATCAATCATCATAACATTAAGAAGTATTGAAGAGTCTAATCAATTATTTAAATCTTTAGTATTAATATAAAAGTATGGAAAAATACTATTTAAGTTAAATTAAGGTATACATAATTAATTATTATAAGGATATGAAAGTTTTTTTATTAAAATGTTGTTAAATTATTTGTGGATTTTCTCTGCTATCTTTACTTTTAATATATAGTTTTCTTTTTCATTTACTTTTATTGATTCAGCTAGTAATACTTCCTAGTCAATGACGAATAATTTAGATTGTTATTTATCAGAAAGTTAATCAATAAACTTGATCTATACTAAAATAATTACTATGCTATCCCTAATGTCTACTTAATTTATCCTTGTTACTATGGGATTTCTCATTTACTTTAAGTATAAAAAATTAAATTTATCCTTTTTTTATTTTGATACTATATCTAATAGTTTGCTTTATTTATATGTATCAAATTATGGTGGATTAATTAAAATGTATTTAATTTTTTAAGAATATTAGGTACTTTTCTATTCTTTCAAGAAGGGAAATATCAAATCAAAGCTATATTTAAGGTGATGTTTCATTACTTTTTGGAACAAGAGAACATCAAATTTGGATGTTTTTCTTCGTTATACCAGGAATAGCATTTTTTTGCTTGATCATTCCTCTTTCACTTTATATTTTAATGTATGTTAAGAGAAATGATCTTGAAACTATTAAAATTAGAAAAAATTTTTGTTATCTTATTAATGAATATGAAAATAAAACTTATTTTTGGGAAATAATAAAATTAATTAAAAAGACTATTATGATCCTAATATTAACATATTTTGAAACTCATATTCTACTAAAAGCTTCGTTATTGGGGTTATGTCTACTATTTTACTAATTAATAGCGGTGAAAAATAAGCCATTCAACCTATAGAATTTAAATAATTTGGATTTATTTTCAGGTTAGATTTGTTCCATTGCAATATTCCTAGCTGCTGCTAAATATGTATCAGAATAAGAAAATAATTAATTTTCTTCATAATCACTTCAGACATTTATAGTCCTTCTTTGTATTAGACTTTGCTATCCATTCATTTCAAATATATCTGATGTTTACTTTAAAAATTATTATTTTCTTATTATCAATAAATCATATTAAATTATGTAAAAGATATCAAAGAAATCCAGAATAACAACAAAATTATCAATTAGTTTATAGATTCATAGTTCTAAAAAGAAGAGATAAAAAGAATTAATCAAAAAATTAAGATAATACCTTATGAGAGTTTCAAAATCCCAACTTTAAAATAATAAGTATTATCTTTTATAATATAGAATAATGTTATCTACAATAAGGTTCAATCCAGATGATGATACTTTAAACTCATTGTCAAAATAAAAATACAAGAATGAAATAAAAATTGTTGATTCGAACCAAATATAATTTTGGAAACTTGATTCTGAATGAGAATGCGTATAAGAAATAATAATCTAAACTATGAAAATAATATATTTAAATTGATTATAATTTTGACCTAGCTATTTTATTAGAAAAAGATAGATGGAAACAGAAAAAATTAGTGTAAGAGATTTAATTTTAATATGAAAAAAATTATCAAAAGGAAATTTTTTAACAAATAACTTTATAGCTTTTTTTAACCAACCAGTAATGTTTATTATTTTATTGATTTTTATGTTAAAATAGAGTATTCTTCCAAATCTTTTATGTCTATTGGAATTTAGTTTTTCTCTTTTAGTACTCTTCACAGTTTGAAATAAATTATTGTTGCAGAATTTTGATTTCAAGAATCCTCCTCTAAATAAGTAAAACATTTATAAATGTTTAGGACTTGATAAAATCTAACTTTTTTTACTTAAAAATTACTATATAACAAAAAATGAATACTAATGCAAATTGTGATCATTAATCTAGATCATCATTCTTTTTGAATTCTCCTTCATCATCATTGAAATGAAGTTTAATTTCTACTGTATTAAAATATTATAATTTTGGATTCTTTTATTATTTTATTTTTCAAAGTATACATATTCTTCTATTCTATATTGGCTCTTGTATAAAATGATATAAGATAATATTCATTTTATCATTTAACATGTAATTTCGTTTAATTTATAAAAATTTCTGAACCTCATTAAAAATTAAATTTTTAAACGTAAAATCATCCTATTAATAGAAGTGAATACTTATAAATCTTTGTATTCTTTTTTAATTAAGTGATCATTATTTTAAATGTTAACTCAGTTTTATTGAATTAAATCTTTCTTTCTTTTTCAAGGTTCTTCTACTAATTTCAAAAAAATTCCTAGTTACTATTATAACTAAAAACCAAAATATATATTAATATACTCTAATTAATCAATAGTAGAAATTTAAGAAAAATAGACCTTTTGAGAGATTCAATTGTACTACATTATTATTTACATAATCTATTTTTTTATGATTTCTTTTTCTTTTATTTTCTAAAATATTTCATTAATTAATTTTAGAAAATTTTGATCTTTACTAAGAGTTTTTATCAATAAGATACTCATATCTTAATTGAATAATTTCTTTATTACAATAATAAAAAACATTGAAATGATTCAGATCTCTATTTACATATTTGGGCATTATATTACTTAATTTTGACAATATATACATATATTCCTCACTTCTTACAAGCTAAAACTGTTATTGGAGTATTAGGTTTTAAAAGTAAATCCATTAAATATAACTTGATTTGTAGATTAAGTAAATAATGAATTAAGATCCAATAAACCATAGAGAAAATACATATTCAAATAGATTTCCCTTGAATTATTTAATATAATCTTTTATTTCTAAATTAAAAAATAAATCAATTATCACTAATATTTCTCATTTTTATTTTTATTAATGAATATAAAAATTCTTAAAATGATTTCAACTACTAGAACGAGATAATAGAAATTGTTGCTTACAATATGTATTAAAACTTATGAATTGGAATTTAAAGAGTTTAGAGCATTCTAGAACTGTTAATTAGTTTTGTTATTGGACATTTTAATATCCTCCCTAAATTTAAGCATTTTTCAATTAGAGTTTTTTTTGTTTGATGATATGTTGAAATCACTTTACATATTTTCCAGGATATCATTTTCTTAAGTGATATTTTTTATTAAAAACTCTTTGAGTTTCATTAATCAAAATTGTAATTTATTTTTAGAAGAAATTATTCCTTTTATTTAATAGAATTCTATAACCATTATTTTCATATGTCGTTTTTTAGATTCTCAAAAAAGTTACCATTTTCTTTAAGAGTGTGAATAACCTTATTATTTAATTTAACCTAATTGGATTTACTTTGTTCATCAAATCGTTTATCTATAATGCATTCAACTTCATATTCTCTATTGTATATTTTTATAAATTTGTTTTTGGGAGTATAAAATTGAAGATTAATAGATATTTCAAAAAAATACTATTAATTACAATACATTACAATATCAATAAGTGATGAGAATCTATTACATAATTAATGATGAAATAATCAGATATTTGAATCGATAGTATTATAATTAATTAATTAATAATAATAATAATGATGTCATTATTAATCACTGGATTTGTCATAGGAATAGTTTATGCTGTTAACCCTGATACTGATAGAGTAATATTTCCAGGTTGGGGAGAATATAGTTTTAATTCTTATTCAGGATATCTGCCAATAGGAGCAGGATTAAGGTATATTAAATTATAATGTAGATAATTGAGTTATGTTTTTCTCGAAAGTTAAAGAAATCCATTAAATGACCCTCTTGTTGTATGGTTAGGTGGTGGGCCTGGATGTTCTTCATTATTAGGATTAAATGAAGAAATTGGTCCATTTGTAATGGTTGATGATGATAGAGAATTCAAGAAGAATCCTTATTCATGGAATATTAGAGCCAATATTTTATTCTTAGAATCACCTGCAGGAGTAGGATTTTCAATTAATATTGATACTAAATATGAATATAATGATGAGAATTCTGGTTAAGATAATTACTAAGCTCTATTAGTTTGGTTTTAAGCATTTAAATAATTTCAAAAACATAAATTTTTTATTGCAGGTGAATCATATGCAGGTACTTTAAATTTAATAATATTTAGGAATGTATATTCCATATACAGCTAAAGCAATAGTAGAAGGAAATAAATTAGCTGTATTTAAAATACCTTTAGAAGGTATCTTAATTGGAAATGGGTTATTGATATGGGATGCAAAAATAAGAAGATCAACTTTATAAGAGTTTTTCATAAGAAGAAATTTTCTACCTCCTACCACAGCAAATACTATAAGAAAAATATGTAGTGTCAAACCAGATTCAATTAATTGTGTATTGGCTGAAACTTAATTTGACTAAATTTGTTTGGGATCAAATATTAATGTTTATAATATATATGGATATTGTAAAGAAGATACAACCCCTGAATTTTTGAAACCAAAAACTAAAACAACCAAATAGATTAGATATCCATATGTGTCTTGGTATGAAGGAAACAATTTCTAAGATGATGATAAAAGAAAAGCTCCTTGTTCTGATTTTGGACCTATTAATGAATACTATAATAATGCAACAGTTCAAGAAGCTTTACATATATAAGAAAGACCTTATTTTTGGTCTGCTTGTAGTTAAGAAGTCAATAAGGCATATAATATTAGTAATAATGGAAGTTATTAGATACTTCCTTTATTAAGTTAATCAGGAATAAAGATATTAATATATTCTGGTGATTAGGATGCTGTTATTAGTGTTGTAGAAACAGAATAATCTATTAATATGATACCAGGTATTTAAGAATTAGATTCTTGGACTCCATGGGGCAATACTGATAAAGATTTAGCAGGTTGGATCACCTAATATAATTACTTGAAATTTATTATAGTAAAAGGAGCTGGACATGTAAATTTATTTATATATATTAATATTAGATGGTACCTGAAGATCAAAGATAAAATGCATTTGAAATGTTTAATAGTTTCATTTATGGGAATGAACTTCCAAAATATCATTGAGTGGATTTATAATATTAAATTAACAATATTAATTCCAACATTATATTAAAATAATTAGCTTATATATAATAAATAACAAGTAAATAATTAGTTATGAATATTTGCTCAAACACCAATTTTGAATTTTTCTTCACAATATGATTAAATCCTCCCTATTCTCCTTAGAAATAATAACAAAATCTTTCTAAATTATATTCATAGATCACTATAAAAAAGGACATAATATTAATATCAAAATAAAAAGACCAAATAGCTAAGTAGAATTACTTAAATTATAATTATACACATGAGTTGAATCTCAATATATTTATTAAAATTAAGAGTCAATTTCATCATAGACTAATTTTATACTCCAAATGCAAGGAGAACACAAAGATTCCCTAATATTAATATAAATAAATCAAATGAATAACAATAATTGAACGAAATAGACAAAGAATGTATAATAGAATAATAAGTAATCTAATTAATAAAATATATAATAATAGCATAAGTTCTTTAATATCAAATAAATGATTAATTATTTTAATTTCTTTTTAATAATATATTATATAGATATATTTATATCAAATATTCAGTAAAAATAAATGACAATCTTATTAAGCGTGTTAATAATTTAAACCTTCTAATTAATGATTTAAATAATTATAATCATCTTAGATATAAATAGAGTCTGCTATTTCTTTCTTTTTTTCCATAATCTAATGTATCCTTGACAAGGTGATTGTTTAATAAGATTTAGATGTAACTGTATCTATATCATTGCTTTGGACTACTTTCAATATCAAAAATAAATTGGCTAATTTTGATTAATAAATTAGATAGAATTCTTAGAATCAAAATTATTTGTAATCTAATAACAATTTATCAAGATTCATTTAGAAAATAGATCTAATCACTAATATGATATTTAATAAAATAATACGAGGCTTTTATTGTCGATTCTCAATGTTAATTTTACATATATCTTGTTTTTTACAAGATCATAGTGATTGATTTATTTTTTGTATAATTAATTTGAATTTTAAAAGTGGCTGTATTATTTTGATAATTATATTAATTTTATCATTATCCTATTTTTTCAAAATATATATTATTATTAACTGATCTTTAAAAAAATAAATAATCTGCATGTTATTCAGTTTTAAATTAAGCCTTTTAATTTATTTTTATTGAATCTGATCTTGTAAAAATAAAATTGCCAATAAAACGAAAGCATATCATATATAAGTAAAAAATCGATTAATTCTTATCATCATAATATATATAATCTATCCAATCGTTGTATTAATTATTTATCTTATATTTAATCCCATAATTAAAAAAAAAAATAATATTTATAATTCATTTTATACAATATAATAAAGTTTGACTTCATTTTTAAGTTGCCCTAAAATTTCAAAGTAAATTGTTTATTAAAATTTGCTAATAAAGAATTTATGAAATGAATTAAAATAAAGCGCATCATCTAGGCTCGGAAATAAAGAAGTTTATAAATTTAACTAAATGAAGGTTTTGTATTTTTTAAATAATAAGCCAATGAAATATAAAATTATTTCAGAAGAAGAAACAGATTATATACTTATATAATTATTAAATTATAAAACAAAAAATGAGTATCTAATCTAAATTCAAAACTGTTAATCCTCAAAAACAAATGACCTGGCTCTTTTCAAGTGTCTTAAGATTTATATGTCGTTACTGATTAGGCTATTTTATAAAAATTTCCTCATCATTTTGATCCTTAAACAATTAGATTATATATATAGTCATATAATAACTTGTTCAAATAACAGAAGACATCCATTGATTATATGAATTATTACGCTTAGTATTATTAGCTACGCATGCCAAAAAAAAATTGTCATAAATATAAATACTGAATTAATTTAATGTTTCTTCACGTCCTGATCAAATATTTCAAAAATTGTACATGCAAACAAAGCACAATAAATAGAAGTTGGATTACAAAAATAATCATTTAAACTCCATCGAAATTTTAATGAATAATACAGGATGATGACCATTAGATATTCAATGATGAGTAAGCAATCTAAAAAGTCGAATAGCTTAACTATAAATAGCATTAGCTCATCATTAGTTATCATTAGTTGAAAACTTTTGATTAGAATTATCAATGGATGAAGGGAAATATTAATACCAGCCAAGAGTTTTAGAAATTTGATTAAATATTCCTTCATCATCAATTTCTTATGATTGTGCCACAATAGGAACAATAACTTAAGCTGCATCATTATTTATTTTCATGTTATAGATTTATAAAAAATTAACAAAAAATTTATATGGATTAATTAATTTTTATAATGAAAAAAATACTATTATATGGTATTTGAATAAAAGAATAATTAAATAAGATTTTTATATGTAATAATTAAAATATTAATGATAACCAAGTTGAATTAATGGAAATAATAAAATATGGAATAATAAAAAATGATTTATATATTTCAAAGAAATTAAGAAATTTTATGATTTCATAAGAACAAAGTAATAATATTTCATCTTTTTATTTAGTTTTTTATTAAAATTCATCCATTATAAAAAAATAAATTTACAATTATTAAATTTAATAAAATTAATTTTGTTTCAAATTGTATTGATAACCTTTTTGCTTTCATCATATGAAAAGTAATCAAATTTGATCATTTCTTTTGCTTAATTATAGAATAACCCCTAAAAAAATTAATAATATTAATTAATTTTAAACTAATTAATTAAATTTAATAATTCTAAATTTATTTTTTTATAATGGATGAATTTTAATAAAAAACTAAATAAAAAGATGAAATATTATTACTTTGTTCTTATGAAATCATAAAATTTCTTAATTTCTTTGAAATATATAAATCATTTTTTATTATTCCATATTTTATTATTTCCATTAATTCAACTTGGTTATCATGAATATTTTAATTATTACATATAAAAATCTTATTTAATTATTCTTTTATTCAAATCCCATATAACAGTATCTTTTTTCATTATAAAAATTAATTAATCCATATAAATTTTTTATTAATTTTTTATAAATCTATAACATGAAAATAAATAATGAAGCCTTGAATCAGGATATTCCTGTTGTTGCAAATCAGGAAGGAGATTTTAAGTATTCAAGAATTTCAGACCTAACAAAAAAGCTAATGTGGTTTTCATTTCCTTAAATTGATCATAATTATTCAATAGCTAGTTTTGATTAAGCTATGTTATTTATGGTTAAGTTATATTCATTTCTAGCTGGGATGATCTTAAGTTTATATTTAATGATAGTAATTTTATATTTCTGTGATGACTTTCGATGGAGTTTAATTTAAATAGTTGGGCTTAAAGAAAAGCATTATTCGTTTGATTATTAGACATCAGCAACTATTTTTTATTGGACAAACATGATGTTTACAATTGGTCTTGGATTTATAATAAACATCTTTAGATCAACAAGAAAGGTATTCAACTTTACTAAAATAGTTTCCGTTTAATATCATTTTTTACATAGTATTCTCATTTTGTATTGGCCTTCTATTAGGAGCTCCTATTGCAACAAATTTAAGGGCACATAAATAAGGATTCATCATAATCTTATATTTATTTTGTATGACGATTGGAACATTTGCTTGCATTATTATTTTTACATTTAAAAAATGGATCCTGGACAAATCAAATTGTATTTTATCACAATAATATTTAGACATACTTGTACTTATTTTTCTTGTTATGGTTTTTTTGCTAATTATTTTTTTCTTTACCATGAAAGCTTTTTTAGGAGTGTTAATTGGAGGGGCAATTTGCCATGTAATTTATAGTTTTCTTATGTTGTTTGAAGCATAAATGATTATGCATGGAAAAGTAATTATATCTTAACGGTAGTTTTTGCTTAAAACAAACGAATTTATAGGTGGAGCACTCTTATTTTACATTGATATTACTGTGTTTATAATATATCTAAGCTTCACTGCTGTTATTACTTTAATCGTTGGTTTTTGTATAGCGCTTGGCCAGGCTTGTGCACATATTAATTGACTATTAATATATTTAATTTCTAAAAAAGTAAATATTTTATACAGGTTTAAATATTCTAAAATTTATCTCACTTTTTTTAATTTTTGAAGTCCTTATTTTCTTTCAAGAATTCAACATCATTATTTAAGTTCCTTTTGATGAAATTCTATTCCCAACTAGGAGATTAGAATATTTATGATTGGATTTTATATCTGCAATAAATCATTGAATAACTTAATATTTACAGGTTCAATTTTAGAAGAAATAATTAAAGTGGTTTCAAAAGAATTCAAAATTTATTCAGAAAATTAATAATTAAATATAACTGAGATTGATGATAATATTCCTTAATGTAAAAGTACATTCAACAAGAAATAAGAATTTAAGAATCTATTCATTATAATTATAATTTTACTTCAAAGTATAATTTTTAATTTTGATATAATATACCAATATTTACATAATAAAATTTTGCATAAAATATAAAGAGATTGATAATTAAATAGAGTGAATTAATTATTTTTGATTAATAAATTACACTCCTTAAAAAGTAGGAGAATTTTATAATAATGATTATATTCAATATTTTGATCTTTATTATTTATATGCTTTAGATATCACAATAATTGTGGAGTAATTATATTCCTTCTCTTTCTTCTTTAATTAAACTTTAAAACAAAATGTTTATTTCTTATAATATAAGTAGTCATTTGTTTTTTAACTAAATTACTTTCAAATAAATTTATTAACAATATCTATGTAATCACTTATCTTTTTTACCTACTTATGTATTTTAAGGAATTTTAAATAAATATATGTCAGTTTATAATAAATTAATTAAAAAATATCTAAGAAAGATATAATTATTAATTTGATATAATTTATGTTTAACACATCATTAGAATTCACAGACACATAATAAGTTAACAAAATTCATCTTTAAATTAACAATAAACATGTATTTGAAATAGAATTTATAATAATTAAATTCTATTCAAAATAAATTGTGAGAAATGAATTTTTTTATTAATATATCTTAATTTTTCCCTATATAAATTTTTAAATCAAAATCAAACAAAGATTCCCAAAATAGCCAATGGAATTGTTACACCCAATATGTATCCATTATCATCAGTATTAGTACCTGGGTCGGTGGTGTTTGGATTGGTTGTATTATTGTTATTGTTAGTGGGAGCTTTGCATGAAACACATTTATTTGTTGATTCATTCCAAGTATATGAGTAAACTGTTTATGGCTTATAGCATTATTCTGCAGTAAGAGTGGATGGATCACCAACAGTACATGCATTATTGGCTAAAACACAAATAGTACTTGATGCACCATCGAAACTTTGGAATGGATTACAATTAGTACCTGAAGCAATTCCTGGACAATCCATAGGTTTACAACTAGTTGTAGTAGTAGTTCCAGTAGTAGTTGATGACCATTTACATGCCTTTGATTTACTATTGCAAGCATCTTAATCATTATTGGCATTTTCACATGATTTGAATAATAAACAGGTTCCATTATTTGGATCTGTAGCTGTTGGTGCTGGATTGAATGCACATTTACCATCAGAACCTCCTGCTTTACATGATAATTTATTCTTATAATTGGCACATGTATCTTATTTAACACAAACAGTTCCATTAGAAACACAAGCTTTTTTAGGAATTATTCCAACACAAGCATCATTAGTAGTTCCTTTGATATCTGAACATTCCTTAGGTCTGCATGATTTAGTTCCTGTTGTTGCTCCAACTGGTAAATCAAACACACAAGGAATTTCATCTGAACCAATTGTACAAGCTGCTTCACTTTGATATGAACCACATGTAGCTCTAGGAACACATTTAGCTCCATCAGTTGTGCATACTCCACTCTTAACAATATAAGCAACACATTCAGCATCAGTTGTAGCTACTTTGTCAGTACATTCTCTCAATCTACAGGCTGTTCCGGTCCACTAACAAAGTCCATCAGTACCTTCATTATCACAAGCTGAAGGGGTTAAATATGAAGAACAAGTTCCTTTATCAATACATTTGGTTCCATCTGAAACACAAGTTGGACCCCAACTAGTACATGCTGGTAATGTAGCACCTTATGCATCACTACATGCTGTATATTCTTTACATTTGCTTTCTGGTAACCATCCACATTTAGTATTATTAATACCTATTGTACATGAAAAGATATCTTCATATTTATCACACAAAGTAATGGCTCTACAAGTTGTAGTTGTTGGAACACATTATTTAGAGAAGGCTTAGCAAAATGTATATGTTGAAGAATTAATGTCTGTGCAATTGTCATAATCGTAGCAAACACCATCAACATATAAACATGGATTTCCAGCACTGTTCTTTAAACAGAGTTTAGGATTACCATTAAATACATCACATCCAAAGTTTGGTCCAACACAAGCAGTTCCTGATGTTTTGCATCCAGCAAGCCAAGTATTACATGCATCATCAGTAGCAAATGCTCCATCTGCACATTATCTTTATCTACAAGCTGCTGTTGTAGAATTCCATGTACATCTTAAAGATAATTCAGTTGTATTAGCAGATTCACAAACAGATTTTGATCTATATGATGAACAGAGTCCTAGAGTTATACAACCAGCTCCACTAGTAGTACATGTTGTATCTTTATCTTAACAATCTTTATGAGTTGTAATAGATCCATCATAATCTGAACATGTGAAATCTCTGCAACCACTTGTAGAAGCACCAATAAACCAAGCACATCTCTTTCCAGTTGACAATGGAGTATTCACACAAATAGTTTGACCTGAAGTAGTTAGTGCACCACATGTAGTTGGTAAACTTCTACATTATCCTGCCCATTAACATGATGCATTTGCTGTACATGAACTTTATGATGTTAATTCTCCACATCCAACACTACTCTTGCATCCTCTACCAGTTGTTTTACAACTTGGATGATATTTGGAACATTAATCATCTGTTGTATATGTGTTTGGAGCTTCATAACATACTCTAGGAGTACAAGTAACTGGAGATGCTGAAACTGAGGTTGCCTTACATGGACCATCAGAAGCTGTGAATTATAAACAAGTTTCATCGTTTCCTTTAAAGAATGAACATGCTTTTCCAATATCAACACAAGTTTTACCATCAGTAATACATAATTATGCAGTTACTGGAGCAATAGGTGGTAAGAAAGTCTAACATTCAGCATCTGTTGTGCCTACTTTATCTGAGCATTTTCTATCTGCACAATTTGCTACAACTGTTGTACTAGCTCCCCAACAATACTTGGTACCATTATTTCCCTTAAATCCTGAACAAGTTGATTAGGTTCCTTTATATGCACTACAAGCTGCAGTTTTACTAACACATCCAACTCCGTTGAATAGACATCCAGTTAAGAAACTTTCACACTCGCTGTCACTAGTAGCTGTTGCCAAATCTGTGCAAGATCTATTTCTGCAAGCTGCTTTAACACTTACAGAATCACCAAAGCATTTCACTCCATCACCTGTAAATTTAGAACATTGTTCTTTTGTACCATAATAAGAGGAACATGCTTCTGTTTTATGTATACAACCAAAACCTTTATTCAAACAATCAGGATGGAATGATGAGCATTCTGAATCAGTAGTTGCAGTAACATTCAATTCACAAGTTAACTTTGTACAAGAGGCATCAGTTGCAGCTAAAGTACCTTTGGCACAAGTTGATTTATTATTAGTATCTAATGCCCATTCACAAAAAGCTAGATATCCATTTTATGTTCCACAAGATGTTGAAGCTGATATACAACCTTAACCATCTGATTTACATAAAGAAGAATAAGCCTTACATTCTTCATGAGTTTAGAAACTAGCTGTTGCAGTATCATTACATGCTCTGTTTCTACAGTTAGCATCATCATTAGCATCAGCTGTGCAGAAATCACCAGCAATATTTTTTAGACTATTACACAATGAAATTGCATTAGTTGATTCAGTAGCGTAAGCGCAAGTTGCTAATGCAGTGTAACATTTTCCATTAGCAAATACACATCCAGTTGCATATTTCTTACAATCATCAATACTAGTTGCTCCTGTAACATGTTCACATGTTGCAGCTAAACAATCAGTACCTGTACCAAAACATAGTAATCCAGCAGTATCCTTTTATTTAGCACAATCAGCTACTATACTTGCTGCAGTTCCTCCTTAATATGAAGCGCAACCACCTACAGCAACACAAGTAGTTCCTGAAAAGTATGTGCATTTTCCAGAAGTGGGTACAGCACCTTAACAAGCTGATAACTTATCACCAGCATCAGTTATACTAGATACATTATAAGCTGTGCATGCATCTATTACTGAGCATGTTGTCACACTTCCTTTTTTTAAAAATGTACATCCAGCATTACTAGTATTTACTAGATTATTGCAATAGTTAAGTTTATCATCATCAGTAGATCCTGTTGGAGTATAGGAAGTACATGCTGCTTGTTTGATATAACAAATTTAATTTTGAGGTGAATATGTGCAACCTGATCCAGTCGCATCACAATCAGCTTGTGATTATGGATTTACTGTATCTTCGCATGAATAATCTCTGCAATTAGCTCCACTAGTCCATGAACATTTACCTCCATCTTATTTAATTCTAGCTTAACAATATACTAATTGATCTGATGCTGGTGACAATCCACTACAAGCAGACTAAGCGTCAGCACATGCGCCACCAGAAACCCATGAACATCTATTCCCAGCTTAATCCTTTCTGGCTTAACAATATTCTAATTATCCAGTGCCTGGCAAAGCATTCCATCCAGAGCATGCGGATGGCTAATCTTAGCATGAAGTACCACTATTCCATGAACATTTACCTCCATCTGATTTAATTCTAGCTTAACAAAATTCTAATTGTCCTGATGCTGGTAGACTACTCCATCCAGCACATGTTTTTGGAGCAGCCATACATCCAGTAGCTCCTATGTTCCATGAACATTTCACTCCAACTTGATCAACTTTAGCTTAGCATTGTGTTATTATATCACCACTTAGACCAGTGTAACCAGCACATGTAGCTTAAGCATCTGCACAAGAAGAACCACCTGTAGTCCATGAACATCTTTTTCCATTTTGATTAACTCTTGCTTAACAATAGGTTAATTCAGTTCCAGGTGGCAGAGTTCCATAACCTGAACATGCACTTTGGGCAGCTACACAATTTGCGCCAGCTGCTTCATATGAACAATAAAGGGAATTTGGACCAGGATTAGCTTAGCAATTAGTTGCTTTTTCATCATTTGTAGTACCAGTGGTTGCAACAGTACATGCATCTCTAGCTATACAAGCAGGATTACTTGCATGTTTCTTGCAACCTAATATTGTTCTTAAATCACAATCTGCATCAGTTGTAATGTCAGCTGTTATAACTGTGCATGAAGCTGCATCATCAGCTGGAGCATGACAATTTGTATTTGTTGAATCATCCCAAATATAATTGCAAGCACTTCCTGTTTTAATTCTATATTTAGAGCATTTCAGTTTATTCGCAATATCATCTGCATTTCCTGATGCTGCTGCTCCAGTTAATCCAATATATTCAGTACAAGCAGTTTTACCAGCAGCACAACCTCCAGCATTACTATTAGCTGTTGGATCATAAGAGCAGTAAGTATCAGCTGTATTTTCAAGCATGTTCTAACAAAAGTATTGTTTAGCATCAGCAGTTGTGATTGAACTAGGAATTGTATAACTTGTACATACAACTCTAGAGTAACAAGCTCCTGAATAATATTTACAACTTCCTGATCCTAAATTACAATCTGCTTATGATGTTGGTGATGAAATGGTATTACAAGCTGCAATAGTGATAGCTGATGGATTAGCAACTGTTGCTGGCACAGCATCAACGCAATTAGCTGTTGAAGTAGCAGAAATATATGCACATTATGTAACAGTTCCAGCATTATCAGATTTCAAGGCTGAACAATATGTAGATTAATTTGGTGCAATTCCAGTTAATGAATAACCAGTACATGCTGTTTTTGTAGTAATACATTTGTTATTTGAAAATTAACAGTTTCCATTATTTAATTTTTTATTACAATCTGCAGCAGTAGTAGGGGAAATGATCTCTTCACAAGTATCTATATTAGAACATGCTGTTGTGCTTGTAGCTGAATCATATGAACATTTAGTTGGAGTAACTGCATCAGTGAACATTCCATTGCACCATGTGAGTTTAGCTCCAGCTTCTGTAATACCAGTTGGGATTGTGTATAAAGCACAAGAATTTTAAGGGGCATAACAACTGGTTCCATTTAATTTACATGAAGCAGTTCCATTATAATTTTCACATGTAATATTTGTTAATGTACTCACCCATAAATTGCATAATCTAGCTGAACATGTACCTGCAACAGTTGGATTAAAACTACACAACCCACTTGATGATGTAGTAACTTAATTACAATAATTCTACTTCTCAGTTTCATCAGTACTAGTAAATGTATAACCTGTACAAGCAGCTTAACTTTGCATACAAGCACCATCTCCAAGTTTAAATCGGCAATCAGCATGATATAATAAACAATCATCATTAGTGGTGACTCCTGTTTTTGTACTGCATGTAGTACTTTTAGATACACATGATTCTAATCTTGTGCATTTATCAGCTCCTGAATTTCCAGTAAATGTTAAACATTTTTCTGTTGTTCCTGAATATGATGTACAATATGATGTCTTATTAATACATCCTGTTCCTTTAGTAACACATTTATCTGGCAAAAATGTATTACAATCTCCATCACTTGTACTGGTGTTATCATCATTACATGATTTACTTCTACACTTACCACCTGAACCTTAATAACATGGATTAGTTCCATTATCTCCTTTATAGTTTAAGCAACTAGTTGCATCACCAGTATAAGAAGTACATGAGGCACTTTTATCAACACAACTACTATTTCCATCATATAAACATCCTGTCAAAAAAGATTCACAAGTTGTATCATCTGCCATACCAGTTGCTTAAGTACATTATTTATTAGTACAAGCACCAGATGTAGCACTTGTATTCCAACATCTATTAGTCTTATTTCCTTTAAATTTATCACATTAATCTGGAGTACCTGTATAACTTGAACATGGTGCTGAATCAATAATACAACCAGTTCCTTTTGTCACACAACCTGTTAAATAATTACCACAATCTTAATCATTATCATAAGTGAGATATGAATCATCACAGGATCTTGGTTTACAAGCTGTAGTTTCAGTAGCAGCTGTATCATTTGTGCATTTAGCTTTAAATGCTTAACATATTTATTAAGTTCCCTTAAATTAAGCAGCACAATTAGTACCATCAACACATTTAGTACCATTAGTAACACAATTTTCAAGTAATGTGTTACAAGTATTATCATCAGTTGCAGTAAAATCATCACATCTAGCATTTCTGCATGAACTTGATTCCCATTTACATGGTCTATTATTTATTTTAACACTTTCACAAATAGATTTACTTGACAATTATCCACAACTAGTTTTAGAAACACAAATTGAATTCCATCCACAAGAATTTGTTCCTTCACAAGTAATTTATTTTACAGTATCTTAACAAACAGTTGTTGATACACATCCTGCTCCAGTAGTTACACATCCACTTTTATAATCATCGCATTATTTATTTGTAGTTAATGATGTCAAAGCCTCAGTACAAACTCTTGCAGCACATTTTCCACTAGTACCAGCTTTACATCTACCATCAGATCCAAATAATGAATTACAAGAAGTTCCATCATCTGTGTAAGAATATGATGAGCAAGCAGCCAATGTAGCTACACATCCTTTACCTGTAGTTTTACATGTTGATTAAATGGCTTCACATTAAGCTTATGTTTTAAAAGTATCATTACTATCAGCAACACAATCTTTTAATGCGCATTTAGCTGTGGTTGTTGAAGTACCTTTACAATTACCATCTGATCCTTTCAAACCATTACAAGTAGTTATTGTTCCATCATATGAACTACATAAACCAAGAGAATCAACACATTATTTTCCATTTGATTTACATCCAGTCTTCCAAGTACCACACTCTAGATCAGTAGTTGCAGTCTTTTCACTGCATAATCTAGCTCTACATTTAGTACCTGTAGCATCTCCAGCACATTCTCCATCTGTACCAATATATCCTACACAAGTTGAAGCATTTCCATCATAAGAAGAACAAGCTCCTCTTGTTGCAATACATCCTTTTCCTGTTGTTACACATCCAACTTAATATGTAGAACAAGCTTCGTTAGTATTTAGTGTAATATCAGCACCTGTGCATACTCTTGCTCTACAATTATTACCTTCAGGATTAAATTCACAATTTCCATCTGATCCTCTCATCTTTGGGCATGTTTCTGAAGTTCCTTAATAATTAGCACATGGTGGGATAACATCAATACATCCAGCACCTGTTGTTTTACAACCAGCTAACCATGTATTACATGTTTCATTAGTTGTTAACGAAGCATCAGCCTCTATACATTTATAGTCTCTACATGTTTCTCCATCAAGTTTACATTTGAATGGACTCTTTAAACTAGGTGTGGTTTCACATTATTCTTTAGTATATCCAACACATTCAAGCGCATCTGTGCAAGTTGTTCCATTTGTTATACATCTATAAGAGATGCTTTAACAATCTGAATGTGTAGTTTTGACATAGGCGGAACATCCTGTGAAATGAGTGCATTTTCCTTCAACTAAGGCGCATCCAAATGTCTTAGCACAATTAGCTGTCTCAATAGTTGAACAATATGATGTAAAAGTCACAGGAGGAGGTGCTGTAGTTTTACCACATGATCCTGGGGTTGTAGCTGTTTTCTCTGTCCATGTACATCCAAATGATTTGCAATCTTATGATGATTTGAATTATGCACAATCATCACATTAATCTGTTTTTGTCACAGTCACTTAATTAGTTAAAGTGACCAGAAGAGCTATTAAAAGCAAATACTTTATTTGCATTTTTATATTTAGTAATTTAAATATTATTGAATTTCTATTTGGAATTTAAATAATCATAATATTTAATTTTTTTTTATTTTAATTTGAGATCATTAATTATTAATTTTTTAAGTGTTAAATTTGTTTGTTCAAATAAATTCTCGAAGAAAATCTTCATTAATATTTATTTCATACTTGAATTCTTCCAAAAACAATAGAAAAAAGGTTATTTTATGTTTCAGGAATTGTCTTCTTATTGAATGATTGATATTCTCTAATAATTTAGAGATCTTTTAATTATTGATTTACTAGAATATAGGCAAGTTTGGAAGAAAGGATAAATAGTATATAATTGAGTCTATATTTTTGATATTTCATGAAGCTTATCTAAAAAGTTGTTGGTATTTGACATTTAGAATAGAAAGTTGACCAAAAGAAAAAAATAGAAGAAATTATAAATATGGTAGGTAAAAACTATATTATTCTAAAAAGAAATGTATTCACAGTCATTCCAATCATTAATTTATATGTGCACTACTTTAGAATGTATGTATATATATTTGAAGAAGGTATTTCTACTCTGTTGTTCATTTATTTATTCAAATTGTTTTTCTAAATTCTATCTAGTGGTCTTTGCTCATCTTTCTTTTTTTTAATATTATAGTGCATGATGTAATATGTTATAATTCTCTAGAAGCAAGATTCTCATTTATTCAATATAATATTGAGCATTTCAAAAAATTCTTTTCTAATATTCTAGATAAGATTTAGCAATGTACAATTTAGCACAATTTACTCTAATCAATACTTTATTCTTGTATATAAAAATAGAATTCATTGCCCTCCTCTGATGGTGTGAATGAAAGAGAAAAGAGTAAACAAAAAGAAAAATTCTATCTGAATGAAAAAGGGAAAATTTAAGAAATATTATATTGAATTTAAAAAAAGAGAAAATGGATATAACAGCATGAAATGTTATATCTGAGTTTAAGAAAGAGAGAATGAATAGAAAAAAAGAAAAATAATAAGTGTGAATATACTTATTCTACTTTTTTTAATAATGAAAATTAGAGAAATTAATTTTTATTAAATTAGTTATTATTAATTTAATATACTGACAAGACTTCCAGATACTTATAATAAATTAATGAAGACAGAATATTCATCAAAACTAAATAATAATTAAAATCTGTTTGTTAAATTTAAATGGTACTATTTCACATAAAAGAAAATCTGTTAAATTGTAGGTTGCAAATTCTTTATTTGAGAATTTTAATTTACCATAAAAAAAAAATTTCAAATAAATATATTATTGGCAAAGATAAGTATTAAAGAGAGCCTTAATCTTTTATATATATATTGCTTATATAATTAGAGTGATATTATGATTAAAATTAGTATTTATTTTTATTTTGAATAGAATGCCTCAATAAAAATATTAAAGGAATTAATTCAGAATATTTAAAATTCTTTTTATGTATTTATGGTAATGATTTTTCTAGAAGGATATAATTATTATTATTTATCCAAAAAAAATGATTATAATCATAATTTAAATAATTTTCATTATTGAATATATTAATTATATCTTAGAAGACTAATTGCATGTGTAATTAAGAATGATTTCTAAAGTTACCTGATTTATTAATCAATATTAATAATATATTAATAATATATATAATTATAAATAATATTAATTAAAATTTATTTCTTTAAATTATAATTATAATATTAATAAAGTATAATGATAATAATAATGAATGTTTGTTCAATTTATTGTAATAACATAATTTATATATGTTTGAATAAATTCCTATGAATTATTAATAATAATTATCTTTCTAATGATATAACAAGAATTATAAAGAATTAAATAATTTATATTGTCTAAATAAAATTGAATATGATTAAAAGGGATTCAGCATAATTTATATAAATTAATTTGATCATATTGATTTTAAAAACATTTCCAAAAGTTTAGTAATTTCTTAATAAACTTATAATGGATCACAATAATCTAATGATTCAATAGGTTATTATTTAAGTTTTATATCGAGCTCTATTAATTCAGCTGGTATGAACTGTACATCATTTATATTATTTTCTATAAATTCTTTATCTTCTTTATTTCTCACTTCATCTAATAATTTGCATAGCATCATTGCTATCTTATCTTAGTAATGATGTTGAAATCGTTTCTTAATCTATAATATGTTATTGTTAATATTTTTTTCCTATTATTTCAAAAATAATTGATTATGCTTTTTGAACACCTTTAATATATTATTTAATCACTTCTTTTCGTAATAAATAATAATGTCTCAACATTAAAATATCAATTTAGCATAGTATTCTCATTTATTCTGCTGTTAAGGTTTTTGAATCCATTTAAATATTGTTCTAAAACATTGTTGGTGTATTAAAGATCATAGTTGAATTAAAATTACAATTTAGATTAGAAAAGCATTCAAATATCTTTGGAAACTCTAAATCAATTGCTTATAATTCATATAATTCTGTTGGACCTTGTAATACTGAATCCTATATTTAAAAGGCTTCTGAAAACTTAGTATTGGTACTAAACTTATCTTGGATAATAATATTATTACTTCTAAGTGATTTTATAGGTTTTTAATCCATATGATTCTACATTATTTTATTAAATATTTCATTCTCTAAAATCAAAATTATAAACAAAACTATCTTGTTATTAATTTTTTTGTAATAAAATAATAATTGTGAAAAACATTACTTTAGTATCATTAAACTTAAAAAATAAGGTTTATTTTGAACATCTGAATAAACAAAAGGCACTTAAATTTAAATATTAATATTTTTATCTCAATCTAACATAATTAATAATCATAAAATATGATTATTGATTTATTATATTTTAATAAGTAAATATCTCAAGTTAAATGAAATAATAATATTTTATGATTATTGAATTTTTTAATAAAATAAATATGATCTTCTCATTATTTTCATCTTATATCTTTCTGGAATTCTTAAATTTTTTTAATATCCTGGATGATAAACTAAACAACATATAAAAGTAAATATATCACCCATAATGGATGCAATATAAAAAATACTATTCCAATTATATGATATATCTTTTTAAAATAATTTCATACTGCTGCATAACATAAATAACTAATATTCTATTATTTAGTAATTATAATTTTTCAAATTATAATTGACATAATCAAACATTTTAATTGAATATTCCATACACTAACCTAAATATTAGTATTACAAACTAAGGTATTGAAACTAACTTCATTCTCACTAATAAATTAATTTTTAAATGAATTGAAAACTATCAGTAAGTAAATAATAATTGTAAATTATATTATAAAAATCTTCATTTTAATGATTATTAAATAATTTATAGAAAAAATTTACAAAAATTACATCAATATAAATATTAATCTTCTTTATAAATTTTTCTTAAAATAAATAAATATGATTGACTTTAATTATATTATGTTCTGTTTATCAATCTAATATTTATAAATTAACCTGAATATATTAAGAATTTTATATTTCTAAATGATTATAATTTAGGAAAGATCACTTTTATATATCGATATTGAGTGATTTTCATTGTAATTGATGGCTGTCATATGTTATTTCAAGGAAGCTTGCAGTTTCTTTAAGGAAATGAAATTGCTACGATATTTGGACCTTAATAAGAAGAATGGAAAAATTTCTAAAATCTAATGTAAGCTTGTCTATTTTTGAAATCTTCAATCCTGATTATTTATTGACAAAATAAAAGAAGAAAACTTATACTATATGCTTTTAATATATAATTATAATCCCTTAATATATGATTCCTAATTATTTATATATGATTGCTATATATAAGTTGTTTCTAAAATAAATAGAGACATGCTAATATAGCATCAAATCTTATTAAAACCATAAAATGCCTTAAAACTGTTTTACTCCTAATTTTACATTTGCTTATATACGATGTTATATAAATTGCTGAAAAGTTTATTATATAGAAAGCATCACTTAATAACACGATATTTTGTGATTTTATAACTATATCACTCATTTATGTTATATATAACTCAAATATATATTCCAAAAATATCCTATAAGATTTACCCATAGAACTTAATATGGTCGAGGGATTAACCAAAAATTGATTATTTAAGCGGCTGGCCACACCTACCAATTAGTTATCATAACTTTTGTAAAGTTTTTTTTAATTGCCTCTATGCCTTTGGTGATTGAACCACTTTCAAGAAAATTTATTATAATTAAATAATGACAGAGTAGATAACAACTCCACACAGTTTAATCAATTAAAACAGACCCAAATGCTCTTCTTATAGGTGTAGTAGTATCGAATGGTAATCTATAGTTTATAAAAATTATGCGACCTCTTTACTAGCCAAGGTAACATATATGTAAAGTTATAGTGAAATAAAGGCCCCATAAAGACATTTCCCATTAGCCAGGCTATTCCTAATCTTCTTAAATTCAATTTTTAAGGTTGAGTTGTTTAGTCGAAATATGGTTTCATGGTTTAAACTGTAAAATCTCCAAAAGAAACAATGAATCCTAGACTTTATCAATCATTTATAACCTGCTGTGATAGATTTTGTTGCTAGCGGATACTTTTAGATGAGATTATGATATTTTGAGAGGAATTACATAAATAATTTAATTTAGATACTTTACAATAATTAAATAGTTAAACCTGTCTTATATGAGACTAAAGCAAAAAAATTTTTAGTTTTCTTTCAATGAAAATCTAATTATTATATGTCTTTACTCTAAAGTCTTAAAAATTATCACAAATATGATAAAATTTTAAATAAGGAATATATTAATTAAAATTAAAAATTTAGAATAGTATTTTGCATTTATTAAAATTTATAATGTTTGTGGAGTGAAAACAAATGAAATAGTTACTGATTTGTTTAAATGGTAATCTTTTCTACATAATCGAGATTCTGACTAATGGAATACATTGGAATAATCTAACATTTAATATAATGTTAAAATTCAATAATAAAATAGAGTATAATTTATTCAATTTTAAGATTTTATATTATCTCATGATCTCAACCTCAACGTTGCTTATATGAATATATTTAAATTTGACCTAAATAAATAATATATTATTAAATTATGATAATTGAGAACAAATAAATAATTAAATTGCAAAATTCGTTATACATATATAATCAAAGTTATGCATAAATTGACACGAGTAAATCAATGAAGAAAAATTAAGAAATATTGGTAATGCATTTATTTAAAAGCACATTTATTTCTTTATTGGTAAATTAAAAATTGATTTTCTATATTTCTCTTACAAACAATAAATAAATTTGCTTTCTTATATTTTATTAGATGATAATTATTATGGAGTAATTTTCATATAGTTGATGGCAGAATTAAAAAAATCCATCTTAACAGTAATTTTCATTAACATATTTTTAATTGCCTTAAATAATTGAACAATGTATTAATTAATCATTTATTCTTACTATTTTAATTGGAAATATCATAAAAATAATGATTAAATTGTTATTCCTGTTTAAGTTTATTTTGAAAATAAATATTATATATTACAAAATATAAAGTAAGAATTCTGATCAGAAAGTTAATTAGGATTTATTTATTTTTAATTTAGAATTAGATTGTAATAAAATCCAAATATAGTAATGTAAATATAGATTTAGTTATTCTAAAAATAGAATCTTAACCTTAAATTGCAGTAATCAGATTCATAATTATTAATATCTATAAATAATGGATTTAATTTGTTAGAATTAAGGCCATAAAAATTAGATTGAGTTTGTTTGCATGAAGGATTCCTGTTAAGAATGTCGTTTTTCTTGTTTTGAATGTTTATAATGTGGAAATCATAAAAACCATATAGAAGATGTATAAAAATTTTCTGCATTTTTGAATTTAATAAAGCAATAATCATTTGATTATGATGATCTTATGAATAAGCTTGAAAATTGGATTAATCATATGAATAATAAATTTGGGGAATTAAAAAAAGGATTAGAAACGAGATTTAAAGAAATAACATAATTATCTAAGAATTTTAATATAACTCACTTTAATGAAGTTTCATCGTGTTTCTTTTCATTTCAAAAGAGTAAATAGGAATTGTATTAATTAATCACAGAGAATATAGGAAGTTTATCTGAAACTATAAAAAATAGTAGAAAAATTTTATGTTTAGAAGAAAAAAGTCATTAATAAATAAGTAATAAAGAATTGAAACCATTTAAATATGAATTGATAAATTAAATAAAAGATGAGTATATATTTGCTTTTGCATTTAATAAGGAAGCTACTATTTTAGTGGCTGGATATGAATCAAGCAAAATAAAAGTATTTGATTTTTAACAAGGATAATTAAGATAAATGTAGGAATTAAGTAATCATAATAAAAGAGTTAGATGTATTTACTTTTTGTAAAAATCACTTTCATTTATCTCTGGCAGCTATGATAGGTCAATTATTCTATGGGAAGCATAAGAAAATAGAATTTTTAATTGTAAATAAGTACTTGAGGGACATACTGATGATATTAATTGTTTGATAATTAATAATAATGATGACTTAATTATATCAGGCAGTGATGATAAAACCATTAGAATATGGGAAAAAAATGATAAATGGTAAAGTTTATAAACATTAACATATCATAATGGGAGTGTATTTTGTATTAGTATGAATGAAACTTAAAATTAATTAATTTCTTGTGCTGCTGATAATCTTATTGTTGTAAGTCAAAAAGATTAAGATAGTTCTTTATGGAATATTTAATAAACTATTAAAGTAGAATGGGGTTCAAGATTATGTTTTATAAGTAATACTTTATTTACTTATCAACCATATAATAAAAAGTAAATGATAATTTATGAATAAAATAAATTAAATTAATAATTTATTAAATAAAAGGAAATTGCTGTAAAATTTGGAAAAGATTGTTTTTGGTATTTTCCTCAAAAATATATTTAATCAAAATAACTTCTTCTAAATAAAAATGGAAGCAGTTTAAATTTAATTAAAATAAAAGAAAATGGAGAATTTTTGTAAGAATAAATTATCGATTTCGATGATAATTATATACATGGAGCAATTTCAGATGATGGGGAGTATTTAATTACCTGGGATTGCAAATCTGAAGAAATTTAAATTAGATAATATTGTGAATGATTATCAATTAAATTGTATACACAAATATTAATTTTATTATTAGATTAAGACTATCTAATAATTATAAATTAATATTTAAATTTATTAATGTCTTATTATATAATTAAATATTAATATAAGTGTTTAGATGATGATTCATTATATCAATTTTTCTTCTCTTCTTTTTCTCTCTTACCTTGCTCTATCTAAAAAGTTAAGTGTTAAATCTTCTTGCACTTTTTATTGAACTCTACTTTCTTGATATCCTTATTACTAAGAAGGAACTTAGTCTATGTGCTAAATTCCTTGCAAATTACTAGATAATGTCTAAGTTTTTTCTGGAATATAACTTTAAACATTAAATTGAGGTACTTCTTATTTAACCCCATAAAGTCTATATTAAGGATTAGTCAGAAAAGGATCTGGTGGTGGAGGAGCAGGTACAGTGATAATAGGTGGAGGAGAATGATTTATTTTTTCTTAATGAGCTCCTTTTAACAAGGAATGCTCAGGTGTATTTGCAAATAATCTCTATTCATTTTATTTTAAGGTCTAATTCATAGCTAAATTAATCATGGGTTTTGAATACGTCCTATGGCGTTCATTAATCCACCCATTTAATTAATTTAGGAAGAAAAATTAAATTATTACTCCTGATTAGTTAAATAATTTGGTTCAGGATGTGTAGGTATCATATTATCGACTAATTTTCTAGGAAATATTTGCTTGGATGAATAAATGAGATACTTTAATATCAGGCTAGTTGAAATCATAAATATTAGTTTGATTTATTAGATAGTTTTGAATATTAGTTTAATCTACATATTATTTAGGAGTTTCAATTAAACCTTTATATTAAGTCTTAGGGTAATAAAATTTAGTATTAGCATTGACATCTAAATAATTTTATTGATAAATTGGAAAGTTAACTATTTCTTTATTCTCAAATTATTCAAATTATTATCTATCCATAGGTTAGTTAGATTAGATGGACTTAGCAAAATTAATATGAGAATGCATGTAATCACTATCAACATTTGGAGTCACTTTTAAAAATTCAGGTTATTAGGTAGTTGATGCTTAATTGGAAGTTTTTTATAATTCCTTAATTAGTTTATTATTCACATCATTAGAGATTTAAGTAAATATTTGATCTTGAATTTAATTTAATTATTCAATTATTTTATCTTCTTCTGATACTCCTTTTGTTTAATTCATAAATATATCTGGATAATCTAATCATATTTAATTAGACAATTACTTTTCATCTGAATTTTTAATTATTATTTTAATTATAAATTAATAATATTATCTTATTGAAGAAATATATTTTTACTTTAATCTTAAGTTCTTTTTATATATATATATAATAAATAAATATACACAGATACAATTCAAAAATTCCTATGAGTAAGATAAAAAAGGAAAGTTTACTCACATCATTTTAGTATAAAATCTAAGTTTGATTAGAAATTATCTTTCAAATAAATAATTAGAGAATAAGAAAGAAAGATTTAAAAAATTCCTTTGTATGTGAAATTCTTTAAGTAGAAGAAGGAGAGTTTTAAAATTATTTAAAGGATTCAGAATTATATTTAATAAATCTAATTGATAAATATGTGTTTGTTATGTTTTAAATTTATATATGTTCTATTTATTAAATCTTAATGTTGAAATCAATTTTAAACAAATTAATTAATTTATTCTTATTAATTTTTAAGGATAATTTCAATTTAATCTAATAATTGATCAAATTTTAGTTTTTTTATTTTATCTTCTCCAACAGTTTCAATAATTTTCTAAGTCAATTCATCACCATATTCATTAAGAATTTTATAATAATCACATTTTTCTTTTTTATCACTATTATTAACCCAATCTTTAAGTTATATTTTATAAAAGTTAGAATCCAAATCTAATTCAAATAATTCTTGATATGAAATAAGAATGATAGTTCCTTTTTGATTCAATTATAACAATTATTCTATACTTTTAATAAAAAGATCTTTTTATAATTGACATATAATAAATATGTAACTTATTCTTGTTTCATATTTTTTTAATAATAGTTATTCAATTTTATCTAATGGAATTTCAATTATTTAAATATCTTCAATTTCATTCCTTTTGTAAAATTTTAATTTCCTAAACTAATTTTTCATTAATATAAATTACTTTAAAATACTTAGAAACTTGATGAGCAAATTTTATAACAAATCTTTCTCCTTTTGATGTTCCTGCACATATTTTAAGGATTTATCTTTTTTTGGAATAAAAAGTCTCAGTTAATTTGTTATATATAACTTTTGCATCTTTTTTCCAAGCAATTAAATATTATTCTTCCCAAGATAGTTAATTAATTTCAACTAGATTACCTTTTTCAACATTATTAAATATTTATGATTAAGTAGAATTTTATGAAAATATTTGAAATTTCTCTGATTCTGTATGTTAAATGAAAGTGGAAACATCATCTTATAATTTTTCTGCCAATTCACAACAGCAAACTCTTAGAATTCCATCTTAAGCAAATTCATCTAATTTAATATTAACAAATTCTTTATTCTTTTATTCTTATACTTAATTTAAAATAACTTCACAAATATCTTAACATTTATAATTTGGACCCCATAGATGTGATAATTTATCATTTATTTTATCAGATTCTTCACATTTACACTAAGATTTATGTTTAAAACATAAATCATTATATTTTCCAAATATCTCTTTGCATGCCTCTCTATGAGAATGACAATGACAACATTAAAAGTTCTTATCTCCAAGTTGTTCTTCTACATTTTTTTTAGCTTATTCATGACTAGTCTATAATGTTTTCTTTGATAACAAATTTTCATATAAAGATGAGAAATAATATATGCCTGCATCATCTAACATTTTGAGTTCTTTATCTACTGCTATTGTTGTAGCATATTATTAAATATTTTTAGCTATTTCTCCAGCATAACAACAAGCTAGAAATAATAATGATTTTTTAGATTCTTTCATGATTTATTATAAATCTTCTCTATAGACAAAATCATCTGTACAATTATTCTCAAATTATAAATATTGATTTAGTTTATTTGTATCATTTTCTCCATGAGCAATAATGTGGATAATTTTTGGATTATATTTTAGAACCTATCTCAAATTCTCTTTTGTAGCTTATGTTATAAGATATGTAACTTTTTTGTTTAGAGCAGATATCCTTTATTTAAAATTCTATATATCATCATAATATTAAACTGGACTAACACGTTTCTCATTTTAATTTACTAATGGATGACTATATAAAATAGCAATATCAATCTCTGGATATTAAGGTTGTATTTAATAAAATTGCTTAAGTTGATTTACTTTCATTTTAAAATTGACGAAATTTTCATTATTAATTCTTAATTCAGTTTTTGCTTTCTCTATATTGCCTTATAAGTTGTTTTTTTCTAATTCAATATTTTCCAAAAGGTTTTAATATTTAAGATATTCTTGATAATAAATTTAAAGCTTTAATCTAATAATCAATGGAGATATTGAATTCTCATCTTTAAACCAAAATTATCCATCAAGTTTAATGAAATTATTATCTGTACATAATAAGTCATAAATATCCACAAATTATTATGTAATGTAATTGTAAAATGCTAAATTATTATGCACTCAATTACTAAAAATCAATTTCCCTTTCACAATTTTTTCCTCTTTTATAAAATTCTTTTTAATATAATAATCTAATCTAATCACATATATTCCATAACTCTGTGCATAAATGTTCAAAGGAAAAATATGTTAACTATCTTCAAAGAATTCTGGATTTTCAAAATATTCTAACTCATCATTTTGCTAGATTCCTAAAATTTGAAGTCGAACACAAAATGGAGTTTTCATTAAAATATTTTAATTTTATGATAAAAGTAGAAAAATCTTATAGAAAATTAAAAATTTAATAATAAATTCTTGATATATCCAATCAAATTAATTATTCCTCTCTTTCCTGAATATTCTTAATAAATAGTTCCAAAACTAATATTAACCATGTCTTAACCTTTAATCAACATTTTCCATCCTTACAAATAGAGTATTTTGATAATCTTTTCACTATCATAATTATTACTTTATTATTCTTAAATTACAAGTGTATAAATTTAAAAACATTAAATAATTATGTTCTAATTGTTTTTTAAAATAAAAAAAAATTTTTGTTTGAATACTTAAAATTCAATAATTCGGTTTCAGTTATATATCTAATTATTATTGAATTCTTTCATTAATATTTTTAAGATTTTAAGATTATTTATATTATAATTTAATGAGATATTATTTATTTTATATTATATTTTTTATATTATTAATGTAAAATAACACCTAATTAATAATAGTTTGTCATTCTGATTGAAACCTTATATGCATAATATATATTAATGATGCGTTAATTCTAAATAGTTGTCTTAAAAATTAAACAATTTTAAATTGATATCATATTATTTATTATTATGTAATATTTAAATTTGTACATACAACCAATATCAAACACAGTAGTATTTCCATACTCTAGTTTGTAACTCTATGATGTGGATTGCTAAATTCAATTAGTACATTCTCAATATATTGGATTGGTTTCATAAATTGATGACAATCAGCCAAATATTCAAACTATATCCTAATATAGTTAATATGGGACACTTGTGCATGTAGTAACAAAATAAGAAGAGTCATCTAATTATTGCAAAGCCTTTGCATTTGCTAGATTTAGAATAAATTCGTTTTGCTAACTTTCACCATTCTTAATAGCAAACGTTGAAATATTGAATGATGAGATCTAAGAAACCGATACTGAAATTTTGAGTACATTTAAGGATGCAGTAAAAGTAAATTGTAAATTTAATATTTAGATGTATATGGAAAACTTTTCACTTTTACCAAATGCTCTTTTGAAACAAAAGATAGATGAAGAAGATAACATAATAAAATTATATTATCAAGTGGCAAACAGAATACAAATTCCATTCAATCAAAAACTTAGATTGTTATAAATGAATGGTAACATTGAAAGAATATCAACTATGATTTAATATTTGAATCATAAAATGACATAATATTCAACAAGCAATGAATTAGAATAAAAACTTAAGCAAGAACTTATGTCTGAAATGCAAAACAATGGAGATAACTTAATTAATTAAACTGAATAAATTGTTCCATAAATCCAAGAATAAGAATTGGATTATTAAAAGTAATATGTTTAGTCATTACCATGGGGAATTATACATCCAGAAACTGTTACCATATCTTAATGCAAAGAATATCTAGATAAAAGACATTATGGTTTAGATATGGCTAAATAGCGTATTCTATAATATTTAGCAATTAAATTTTTAACAAAATCTACTGGATCTATACTTTGTTTACATGGTCATCCTGGAGTTGGAAAGACATCAATAGCTTAGAGTATAGCTGAATCTTTGGGGAGACCTTTTCAAAAGATATCGTTAGGTGGAGTATCAGATGAAGCTCAAATAAGAGGTCATAGAAAGACATATGTAGGAGCATAGGCAGGCATGATTATGGAAGCAATAAAGAAAGCAAAATGCGTTAATCCAGTTATCTTACTTGATGAGATAGATAAGATTAATCAACATACTGTAGGTTCAGCTTTGTTAGAGGTCTTGGATCCAGAATAAAATAAAACATTTATGGATAATTATGTAAATGAGGAATTCAATTTGAGTTAAGTTCTATTCATTTCAACAGCCAATTATATAGAATCTATATAACCAGCATTAAGAGACAGATTAGAAATGATAGAAATTCCATCTTACACAATTGATGAGAAAGAGAATATTGCTATATAACATTTAATTCCAAAATAATAGGAATTAAATGGAATTGATGGAAAAATAGATTTCAGTAAAGATGTAGTTAGATATTTAATCACAAATTATACTAATGAGAGTGGAGTTAGATAGTTAGAGAGACAAATAAATTCTATTTTTAGAAAGATTGCATTATAATAAGTTAGAGGAAAGAAAAAGGGATTTTATAATATTAATAAGGGATTTATTAATTAATGTTTGGGGGAATCCACAATTGGTTACAAGAATATAAAATTATAGAGTATTGGAATGTGTAAAGGGTTGAATGATGGAGTGAATATTTTGGAAGTCATAAAAATAAAGGGAGAAGGCAGTTTATTTTAATAATCTAAGGATCAATATATTGTTGAATAAGGAATAACTGCTTTATCTTATTTGAGGAATTGTTTTAAAAATATTTAATTTAAGAATTGGGATATTTATATAGCAAACTAGAATTGTTTAGGTGTTTGTCTAGTTATTGCAATGGTTTCATTATTTATGAATAAGAAAGTGAAATCAAGTGTTGCATTTGCTGGAGAGTTAAGTTTAAAAGGTTTTATATTTAGATAAGACAATTTGAGAGATAGTATTATATAGGCAGCTGAATCTGGAATTGAGAGGTATAAATATAATATTAATTTAAAAGCATAATTATTCCATCTTAGAATGTGAATGAAATATAGAACTTAGAATCTTCAATTAAAAAGAAAATTAGATTAATTGATCATATTGAAGAAGTTTTTTAATTGGCATTTGAAGATGGATTTACTTACTAACACTACCCTAATTTATGAAATATATATATAATTAAATATCTTATTTTGAATAAAGAATTAATCACATATTAATATCTCCTTAATAAATAGCTGATTCTAGATTTTATCTCATTCTTTAACATTTTTAGGAAGTATTTTGTATAGTCTCTTTATTTTTGATAAACTATCTTTTTTAATCGTTAATAGATATATCCTATTGTTGTACATTTAATATTTCTATTTAATCAAATAATTTGATCAAAGATATAGCCAAAGATTCACAAGCATATTCAAAGAGTTCCTGATAATGATCAAATAATTTGGCTGACTTTTAATTAATTTTAGAAATATAGTAAGCAATACAATAAGACCTTATATATATATATATATTTATATATACCATTTTAATACAATTCTAGATTGAATTAATTCTTTAACAACTTCTTCTAAGAATTGAGTATCATACTTATTAAAGTCATAATAAATAAATAATTCATCTATGTATTCATCCTATATCTTTTTTAAACTCTATTCTGCTTTTTCTTTAGCAGCTTATGAACTTTAAAATCTTTCATAATAAAAATTATATCTTTGTAATAATTCTTTTTCTTTTTCAATAATCTTATTAGGTGGCACATATTTATTGCATTTAAAATGATCTTTATGATCAGGTTCCCAAGGTTAAGAACAAACATAACAAAAAGCTTTTCCACATCCACCTGGAGGTTTACACATCATGAAATTACAACCAAATGATCTTTCAACTTGTTTTTTACAAAATGGACATTATTTTGTATTAACTATAATCCATTTTATATTTGCTTCATCCTTTTTCATTTCTTAAAACCATTTTTTGACTAAATCACAAGGACATGGAGGATGTAATTCTTCTTTACAATAGAAACAGAACTTCTTTTAACAGATACAAGTCACTTCTTTAACTGATGTGAATTTAGGTTTTAAAATCTTATTACAATTAACTGCAGGACAATATGCCATATATCTTGAACATTCAACAAATTTTTTACATAGAAGATCTTCAAATTCAATTGGATTTGAAAATCTTCTAATCATTGAGAAAGGCAATTTGTAATTACAACCATTCCATAAACATCTCACAACTAAGAATTTATCTTTTTATACTCTTTACGTTATAGTCTATTTTATACAAGATTCACAAAATCTATGTAAACATCCTAATTTAATTAATTATTCTTAGCATAAACATACTGAACAACTATCTATAAGTTCATTATATTTGATGTTTTCATGATTATTAATAATTCCTTTAATTTTGAATTCAGCCAACAATTTTTCTGAATTAGAGTAATATTATTAAATGATATCTTCTTTATTCCAATTGTATTACATAAGCAACTTCAGTATTTTAAATTTATTACTTCTAATGTATTGTCTTCATTGAAATATAAAATCTCTGAAAGCTCTTATACTTCTTTATTAATCACTTTCATAACATCTTTAATTTCCAAAATCTCTTCACTATTTATCTTATTTAAACATTAATATACCCTTAAATAGAGTTTTATTGTTAAAGAATTAATGGATCAAAATCTTCTTAATCTATAAATTCATTTTACTAATAGTAATCTTCATCTTCCAAATCTCCCATATATTTTAAATAATAATTATTATAAAATAATCTTAATGAATGACTATATGGATTATATTAAAGGAATCAAAATTTATATTGATGATTCTGCCAATAAAATACAAGACAGAGTTGCTGAAATAGTGAGAATTGATGATATTAAAGATTTAAACAAAATGTAAACTAAAAAATATCGAAATCGCAATAATAATAAATAACCTTCACTTGTAACTTCAGGAGAGGTATCATAAGCTGAAATTGAATTACAAAAATTATAATAATAAAATCATCAACTCTATGAGAAAATGAAAGAATTAGAAGAATAGAGGACGAATCTTAAATTTTAATTAGGAAAATATCGATAAATGATTGCTGATAAACGAAAATTGTTAAATAAAGAATGTAGAGATGGATTCTAATTACTCACTTAAACTAGAAGACCTAGAATCATGAGTGAGAAAAAGAGTAAGTCTCCTTAACTATTTCTCACTTCCACTTCTACTATGTCATAAAAGAAACTTACATAAGTACACATTCTATTAAGAGATGTAATGAAAGTTGAAAGATAACCTCCCTTTATAAGAAGTAACAGGAGATACACATTTGATTAATTTATGCAATTAAACAAAACAGAATATTTTAGCTACATACACAATCATTTACCAAAAATTAAATAATACTTTCTTGAATTCTCATTCAAAAGAACAAAACAATTTAAAACTCTGTGATTTTTTATTAATTCACTACCTTATTTTTTAATTATTTCATCAAATATATATATATTTTATAAAATAACAACTCTTCTTTAATTTTATAATCTTATTTATAAATACAATATTTATAGATTAGAAAACATTACTATTAAATATTATAATGAAATTGTATGATATTCTATATTTTGATATTAGAATATTCATCACTCAGGTTTATCAGTTTAACACAATCTTTTTGATTTCAGTTTCTTCTACTTCAGAAGGTTCATTAGCTTAAATTTCTTTAGAAAGTCCATTCAATTTCTTCTTTAAAGCTTCCTTACCTGCAGCATAAGCCATCTTTTATTTAACTGGTTAATTTGTATCTGGTGACCAGAAAATGAAAACCAATTTCTCTACTTATCTAGGTGGAACATCATCTGTTTAAGCATGATAATCATAAACAGCATATCGTGACTTTTATTTTAAAGAATAAATTTTACTTCATTTTAAAGATGACTAACAAATTCAGCATAAGTACTATCTCTTGCTCCTTTGTGATCAACTACAATCTTAAGAATATATAATAAATTTTACTTCATTATTATCCTTATCTAACTTATAAATAACATATCTGTATTGTTTGCCTAATTTCAGATTATTGAATTCTGTAACACAATCATCACTAACATTTGTACCTACGTTCATAATTATATCTTAATATTATATTTAAATTTTTAGTTAATTAAATCACATTATTCATTTCTTTAATGGTACTTTCTTAACATTAGGTGATTTAGATCTCATTTAGGTTTAAGGTCTTTAACTCTTCAATAATTATGGTTTTTTATTTACTATTTATTTATTATTATTATTTAATGTAGTAGTAGTAGTATTTTACATAGTTTTTGTTTTTTTATTAGAAATATCTTTTAATTTAGATGATGGTCTTTAACTACTTCTAGATGGTGAAACAAACTCTATTTATTCTTTTTATCTTGATGAATCCAGGAAATCAGATCCAGGGTTATATGGAACATGAACTTATTCATGAAGAAAAGCATATTCAGTTGGTTAAATAGATTGATGTTTAGAAACTGAAGATTATTAAGATTTTTATGAGTATCTATGATTTGGAGATTGTGAAATAGTTAAATATTAAAGTGAATTAGCCTATTATGGAACTTATGTTGAATAAAAAGCTTATTATTAACTACTTTGACTAGATTGGAATGTCTATAAATTAATAGGTATTTATGGTTTTTATTGAATTTGTATTTATTATGATGGTGTTTAATTCATAGATCTATTATTATTTTATAATTTGACAGTAGGTTATGAATTTTTTTGAGATAAAAAAGGATGTACTTTCTTCATTGATTAAGGTTCTTCATTTTCTTAATTAGATTTTAACTATTATTTTTATAATTAATTTTCTTATTAAAAAAACATTGGATGTTATTACATAGATGTTAAAGTAGGATTAGAATCTTTGAAATTACATGATTATAGTGTAAATTATTGAGATTATTAACATAATAATGGATGTTATTAGTTTGATTGCATTATAAATGATTATGCCTATGATTGTTGTTCTCTTACTATAACTCTTGATTAAATCTCAATTGCATGTTCATTCAATATATCATTTGGATTACTTGGAATAATGATTTTATTATTGCTATTAGTTGATTATTACATCAATTCTACTATACTCTCCTCATATATCTATAAATAAGTTGGTCTATCTTCTGGTTTAATTGATAACATTCGAGTAACTAATTTATTATTAGCTCTAGATATCATTTCATTTAGTACTTCTAATTATATTTAGATTATTAAAATACCTTAATTTATTTAATATTCTTAGAAATCATAAATCTATTAAATTTATTCTTATAATATAAGTTCCAAACATACTAATCCAATTGTGAAAACTTCACTCTTCTCTTTATTATATTCTGGTTTGAATACCTTTCTTCCCAACTGAAAGAATAATTCAGGCGATAAGTAACAGTATTCTTCAAAACCACTCAAAAATCGATTATATTAATCAACATTTGGTAAAAGTAACTTCACTTAATTTGTATACATAAAAGATTAAGGTCTCAAATCTCCATGATATTTATCACGATTCTGCAATTCAATTAAAGTATGAATGATTTATTATAAAAACTAATACCAAGGCAAATTAGATGGTAGTTAACTTCCAAATTCAAAGATAGCATCAATTTTAAATAAATTACTACACAAAGTTGACTCTTCCTCTTTTTGAATATCTAATAAGCGAATCAAACCTGGCATCTAACTAATTTATTAATATTATTCTAATCTATTTAACTCTTTTTAATAATGCATCTCACTTTAATATACTTTATGCACTACAGCAACTTCTTCCATTTAATTTGTATAAACTTCAATATCACAACCAAAACTAAAAGTTATTCTACATATAATTACATTCTGCTTTCTCTTGAATCAACCTTTTACCAATTTTTCAAAAAATGTTATTTGGACTGTTAAACTTAACCCATAAATTTAATTAACGATATTTAGTATAAAATGTATCAATAAATATCATCATTTAAAAAATGTTAAGTAAAGATAAATATAATAAAACAAAATAAAGCACTAATACATTATCATCTTATAGATGAAAAATAAAAGATAAAATTTATCTTTCATATTTATAATTTATATCATCTATACGTAAATTTCCTATTATAGAAATTAAATATTCATATTTGAATATAGAAAAAAGAAAGAATAAATCCTTTATATAAATATTCATAAAAAATAGTTAAATATGAAGAATTTTATAGTTCTATATAAATATCTTATTTTATTTAGAAGTATAAATCTTATTTTTCTGAAATGATTATTAATTATAGTATTTTATTATTGTTCTTTTAACAATCTTTACAAAATATAATAAAAAAACGAATCTAAAATAAATACATTTTTTTTAATAGATTATTTTCTGATTAAGTCCATACTCAAACTTTATACAAAAGTAAACAGAAATTTATTTATTTTAATTATATATATATGAATTTTTCTTAATGTCCAGATGAGTTCTAAGTTGAATAGTAATTTAATAAGATAACACATAAAACAATATATTGTGATTTCAATTATGAGGTATAATAATGTTACCTTTGTTAAGGAATTAGAGTAAAAATATAGGTTCAATTATCCACTTCATAATAAACCATAAATTGATTAAAAGAAAGAAGAAACTTTTAATACTAAATTACCAAAGTATGAAGCCTACATTGAAGCATCCAATTAATAAATAGAATTACCTTTACAACCATCACCTTAATAAGTTAGAGCAATCCAAAATTAAGGCAAAATATAATTCTGCCGCCAATAGAATGAATAATAAAGCAAAGAAATCAAATCAATACTAAACTTCTAAGTGGATACAAAATTCATCAAAATGAAACCCAGCAAAAAAAAAACTCAAAGATAATATTAATAGATTCGAAGACCTCAAATTTAAATTATACCAAATAATTGTAAATATTAAAGAGTTTCTGGTTTAAGTCAAATTTAAAGTCTAAGTATGCATCAAAGTTTCATTCTCAATAATAACATATCAGAGATAACTTTTCAATAAGAATCTCGTCTATCCAAATTTCAATAATTGTTGAAGAAGGCTCCAAAACCTGTTGAAATTGAATAATATAGATCTCTTAAATATTTTGGTAATAATGAATTATGTGAGGGAATATTGGATGGAAAGATTGTGCAATTTATTAAAACTTAATAATCTAATGTGATTTTATGATTTGTTATACACTTTTTAATATAACCTCAAAGTTTGGCATCTTTTGGTAAAAGATCTGGGGTGAATTTGGTGGCAGCAGCCATATTTCCCTTGATCTTCATCTTTCCTTACATGAAGGCTTATTAAGGATTCAATTTTCCTTAAGCCATAGCCATCATATCATCATCTACCATGGTGAATGTAGCATCAGCTGTTCCAACACGTCCCTTAGCAATTGACTAAATTATATATATATTTTGCATACTCCTGAGCCATTCTTGAGATCAACAGTCCAAACTTCTGGAGTTTCTCCTTTGGCCTTTGAAACTTCAAAGAAATAGATGGCATTGATTTTCTTAACCAATTCAGTACCTTATGATTTGATGAATGGATCCATCTTTTCAAACAATGCTGCAGATTTCAAAGCCATTAAAATTATTTAATAATTTATTTAATATATATTTTTCTAATTTTCTTAACATTATATAAACATTTCATAAATCATCTTCATCATCATCTTAACACATATTCATTAATTAATTCATTAAATTGGCAGCTTTTTCCCTTCTCTCCTCATCTGTCATTTTTGAAGTCCTACATAATATATATATAATCGAATACCTAATTTTGGTCATATCATGTATTAATTATGCAAATTAATCATCTTCATATTCTAATTAATCAAGACCTTATGTTTTATTTTAGTTCACTTTTGTTTTATTAATATTTTCCTTCTTTTCTTATGATTTGGGTCTCATATATGTCCAAGTATTACATTCAATTATTTCTATAATTCTAGGAAATCCAAGAGTTTCATCCTATTATTCAGATAACTATTTAATTTATTATTGAATTGGTGGATTTTCTAAGTCTAAGTAAATTTATTCAACAAAGCTTTCTAATTTCTTTTCTTCATTCTCTAATAATTCAAAGTTTATTTTAACTCCTTCTTTCCTATTATAAATAATAGCCTATAGACCAGGTTAGATTTCATTTAAAATTTGATCACACAAATTAATAAATTAATCTAGTCCATTCATATTATTGGCATCCACAATAAATATTACACCATCTACTTTAATTTTTTATAATTATTCCAAAGCATTTACTTAATTAAAATAATTGTAATTTATTGTATGTAAACCTACATCACATGTATAATATTTGGTATTAATTAAACTATTAAATTGATGCCAATTATTACAGTTAGGTCCCAATCTTTTGATGTTCTTCATCAATCTTATCAAATATTAATTCATCATTATTAAAATGTTTTATTAAATCTAAATTATTAAAACAAGGATATACACTAAATTAATTTGATTGAGTAAGAGTGTTCTGGAGCAATTATAATGAGATTAGAATTGGTTTAATCCATTCTTAATATTGTAATATTATATATATATAAATTATTAAAAACTATTCTCATAAAATTGGTATGTTTATTAAAATATATATATATAACATAGCATTCAAACAAGCATTTTAACAACTTATTATGGTTACAATTCAATCATTTCCCAAATATGGCCAAATTCATCAGAACTAGGATTTGAATGTGGAGTTAAAGCAAATTAGTAATCCATTGACATGATTCTTTCATCATCTCCATCAATAATTTTTTATCTATCAGTCTATTTTGATATTTGAATTATATCATACCTTACTAACATAACAAAAGATTTCTTAAGTTTTTATTGTAAAAACAAAAACAGGTAATTTAACAGAATCAGGTATACTAGCTCTTGTGAATCTAATTTCATCTACATTCCATAATTATTTATGTTTAGGTTCAGATTTCTAATTTAAAAATGAATAAAATACTTCAGCTTCTTATTTTTTTAATAATACTTTAAAGTATCCTAAAGCAGCTTCACCACATACTTTTTAAAGAGACTCTAAATCTCCTAATAAATATAGGTTATAGATTTATTCAAAGATCACTTTTGCTTCCTTTTCTAATTCATATAAATCAAAATCTGGATCAATCATTCTCATTTATCTAATGGCTCTGGCAACATCACTTTCATTTGTAACAGTTTTCTAATTGATTAATAAATTGAATTACTGCTGCATATAAAGAAACTTAAACAAAATTGCTTGGATGATTTTAAATTTTATCAGATAAGTCAGCTTTGAATTATTTCATTTCTGCTTTGAATGTTATATATTCTTTATAAGCTTCACTATTGACTATATGTTATCCTTATTCACTTTATTTGAGTCTACTTTAAATCTTCTAAGCAATTTTAGATTTAAGAGATGCTTCTTCACTTGTACCTTAATCAGTAGCTTAGACTGCATTTCTTTTCCATTCTGGAATTTTCTCTTAAATCTAAATAAATTTTAATTCATACAGCTGCCAATTCTTCTTCAGTCATTTAAGCAAATTTCTCTTCTTCCTTCTTTCTCTCTGCTAATTTTGCCTTAACTGTTTCCATTCTTGCCTTTACTTCATCATCATGACTAGGAAATGTTTTTCTCCATGCTAATTTTGCCATGTTTAAACATGTTTTTCCAATACTTGTCTCCTTATTTTGATTAGCATCTGTTTTAAATTTCACTGCTGATCCTTTCACCTTTTCTGTTAATTTTGTAGCTGAACCAAGAGCTGAATCTTTGACTGTATGTAAAATATCTATAACTAAAGATGGTTATTTCTCAATTTCTTCTGTTTTTTTATTTTCACTACAGAATTTATAGAGAACTCTTCTTTAGTTGTAAATGTTAAGTCTTGAAAGTCTATGTGCTTATCTAAATGGGACAAATAGGTTAACAAAGGATATCATTAAATATAAAAAATTTAATTTAGGGTAATAAATCACTTAATTTTGCATATCTATAAAATTTTATAATCAAATTAAAATTAATATATATATATTTAAGAATATTTAAATAACAATAAATTTTATATATATTACAATCAAGTAAATAGATCATATAACTGAAAAATTACTTTTAAAAATTTATATTACTTTCTAATATTGATGAAATAACTAACTTATTTTTCTTTATTATACTAATATAAAAATATTTATAAAAATAAGAATTTATTAATATGCTTTAGAGATAAATAATCCTTAGAAAACAAATTTTAGTTATGATCATTATATTATATTGAGTTTATTCTTCTTAATTATGGCAATCTGAAAAGTATTGTTTACAAAATCGAGAACTTAATCTGCCTAAGTGAGTGTATACTTTTTTTTAAGCTTATCACTTTAATCAGACTGCTATTAAAGTAAGGATTCTTCTCTTAACTCTTAAATTATTTGTTCTATCAATTATGGTTCATCTTCTTGCTTTAATTTTTATAAAATTTATTTCTTAGATTGCGTTTAGTTTATTTCAAATCTCGTTGATTCTCTTTTAATTATTGTATGAAATCTATTTTTTAAACAATTTTCTGTTCTTAGATTCTCAAAATCTCTTCTTGAAATTTATGACCATTTCTTTCCATATTTTAGAACAGCTACCAACAATTTTATTTCATCCTCTTTGTACCATGGACCTCTAAAAAAATATTAAATACTATTTATACCTCTCTACTTATGGATTCAATTTATTTATCCATCTCTCTCTACATTATTTACCCAATCTAACATGGGATGAGTTACATAACTTACTCATCTCCATAGCTATCAAACTCCATTTATTGCATTTATTTTATTCCGTATATTTATCGTATAATTAACTCAAAACTTAATCCTCTTCTCTAGTCCAAGGATGATCTACTATTGAAGTTGCTTAACTCTCTATCCATTTACTTCTGCATACCTTCCAATGTCTATTGAATAATATCTATCCTATTTAATCCCAATCATAGACATTCTATATATTAAATTTATAAATACCATTTAAAGAGGCTGTAGCTTATGAACATTACAATATAATCCAACAATAATTCTCAGCAAATCAAATTCCAATTAATCCATTTTTTTCTATTTTCCAATATTAGTAATATTGAATTCATTGTGTGCCTTCTCTAATTCTTTGTAGGATATCTAAATTTCAGCCCAATCATTTATTGTAATGTTAGATTATTGCAATATGATATGTTATTAATCTTTTCTTTGAACACTGGTATCATATAGCTTTTTGAGCTTCTCTAATCTAGTAACAAATTTGCAATCTATTTAAATAGAATGAGTAGGAGAAACTAAATCTTCCATTATTTTAATGTTAAATACATCATATCACTATTTTTTAAATATAGTTCTAAAAAACGTAATATAAGTTAAATTGTCTAAAATGTTTTTTTTGTTTATAATGAATATATTAATTTAATACATAAACTGATGATTAATCATTTTAGTTAATTAAATATAAAAAAATAAAATTAAAAAATTAGGTACTACTTCAAAGTATTATTTTGTAGTACTATTGAGCATAACCTTATTTTAAGTAATTCCTTTGAAAAATACAATTTGTTAAGAAATCTAATGATAAGAAAAAAGGCAGTTTTTCTTCCTATTAGTTAATTTAAAAATACTTGTTCCATCTAATGCTCTCTAAATCTTATTCTGTGTCAATAAAATTAACATTTATAGTGAAGAATTATTGAATTTAAATTTTATTTAAGGGTATATTTCCTACTTCTACTTTGCTATATAATTATCTACAAAATTTTGTTTTCTTTTCTAAAATCGATTGAATCACAATTATATTAAGTATATCCATATACTCATCTAATTATTAAGAAGAATGTTGAATAAATTTTTGTTAAACAAACACATATGTTAAAACTTATAATTTTATTGATGTACATGAATTTGAAAAATCAATAAAATTATTTTTTAATAGGAATAAATCAAAGATAAATAATAATACTAACTTCTAATACAAATTCAAAGATTTTCTTATAAATTTGAAAATCTTAATTAAGAATTAGGAATAGTAAAAAAACTCATCCTTGATATTCCTAAAAAAATCTTTTAGGCTCAATAATTCATAATTTAATATATTAATCAATAAATCAATAAATCAATTTTTGTATTTATTTTAAATTTATGATCATAATACAAGCATCTTCAATATTTGCATTTACATACATAATTTTGTAATTATGATTATGCATCTAAGGTACTCCTTTGATAATATCAAAATTAACACTTGAATTATATGATTTAGTGATTAGTTTGAAACTTTTAAATTTGTCTAACAATATATCGTATATGAAATAAATTGGAAAATTAGAATGATTTTTATATTAATTCAATTGAGAGAGGGGGATGAGATAAAGTTAATGATAATTTAAATATTAAATAAAAACAACTTAGATTAAATGGTGATAAAAGATTTAAAAATGAGTGAATAAATTGATTATAAATAATTTAATGTCTTAAATAAAGTTTTGCTTATACCACTAAGTGTATTTTGGACAAGGTGTGTACATGGCTAGTTCTTAAAATAATTGGAAAATAGATGAGAGTAGTAGGATGACCTGTATTAAAGTAAAAAAGTGTTTAAAAATGTAGTTTAATCGATGGGAACTTGAGTTATAGGTAACTGATGCATAATTGGAATATAAATATGTAATTGCAGATTATGATAACCCATCTTTACACTAATAAATTTGGGAAAGAGGTAACAACAGAAATGTAATTAAATCTAAATCAAATAGTTCAGAAACTATAAGTATACAAACATATTCATTAATATCATAGAAGATATGTGGGAGAAAAGAATGATTTCTCTAAAATTAATGGCTTTAAATAATAATTCTTTAGCCATTGTAATAGGGAACTTCCCAGCTTTGTCAACTCCAATTCAAATGAAATTGTTAGAAAAGAAATCGATGAAGTATTTTACTGCTAAATTTTACATTGACATCACTAATTCGGATTAAGTGATTCAATTTCAATACTATTTGCTTATAAAAGATCCTAGTAATAGAATTTTGTAAATTTTAGCCCCTATGGAATTCATAAGTAATCCAATAACTCTTGGCATTTCGGAAAGAAATTAGGAAATATGTCAAGCAATCTCATTTTATAGAATTGCTCTATGTTGATTATAATTATTTATTTATAGATTTTATTGAAAATTTTAAATTTTGAATATAACATATATATTGAATATCATAAACCATAACAATAATCCATTTGAGATAAACAATTAAGATAGAGTAGATTAGAAATTATTGGATGTTAGTATAAAATAGTTTATACAATTATTAGAATTTTAAAATAGTAAATTTAGATAAAAATCATAAGATATTATTCTTAATAATTCTAGTTATAATTGAGTTTAAACATAAATTAAAAATCAGCATTAGCATTATTAATATAATGAAAGTGTCTTAAATCTTTTTCACTATAACTAAACAAGTTCATTACGGAGAAGCCATATATATAGTCTTCGATTTCTAAAATTGGGATTTAACAAAGGCTATTAAAATGGAATGTTTAAAGGTATTACTAAATTTCATTTATTAATAGAATGATTAATGGACTAAAGTAATCGATATCTCCTGTTCATCCTTCGAATATAAGTATGTTATTGGATAGTACAATAACATATTTGATTAGGAAATTCTTTGGGAATAAGGGTAAAATAGATCTTCAGAAAACTTGAAAATATTGGAAATGAATTAAAGTAAAATTTAATTCGAAGATGTTTGGGAGAAAAGAAATTTAATGTTCTTCTTACTTGACAAAAAATTGAATAAGAAAAGTAAAAAGAATCATGAACATGACATTTTATTATTTGGATAAGCAAAGGCCTTAAATTCACCAGGTAGATTTACAAAATGTTAATTAAACTAAAATACATAACTATACTTTATTATTTTACAACTTGAACTTGATGAAATTATCAATCCAAAGGAGGTTCAAATCTATATGAAAGTCTAATTAAAAAAAAGTAATTATAATATAAATTTTAGGATATATAGAAATAATCTCAAAAAGTATTAAACTTAACTTCAGAAATTAACCTGTAAATATATGCGAAGATATCTTAATACACTCTTAATGTTATTTTCTCAATTGAATATAAATCTATGTTTTTATATAAATTTTAATTTACTTTTTTTAAATAATAATAAACTAAATAATCATATTCATTTAAATTTATAAAGTTCACTTAAAAATAATTATTATATACCTTATTCTATAAAAAAATAATAAGAAAAGCAATTGAAATTAACTTTCTTCATTATTTATGTAAATTGTAATCCTGAAACTAAATTTTAACAAAGAATTAGATCATCAAGTTTAATACTGTTATTTTTTTATTAAATTATATTATTATTATAATAATAATTTTTCAAAATTAAATTAAATAACTTTTTTTTAATTTCCTACCATTTATAATTGAGAATACTCTGAATCCTTTATCCTATTCCCTTTCATAACCTTATTTTTATATTATTCTTTCAGGAATGTTAATTATTACATTTAAATCGAGTATTAATTTATAATTAATATTCTAACTTTTTAGAAGAGATAAGGATATTAATTGTAAAAATCAAATAATATAATTTTATAATGAATTTGAATATTTTCAGATCATTCTCATAATTTAAGCAATTTCTTTTGATAAGATTTATAAGGAGGGTGTTACAACACTGATGATTGCTGCAATCATTGCAATAATAATGATGATAATCAACATTTACCATGGGAAAACAAAAATTAATGGCAATTAAGTGAATAAGGTCTATTACAATGCCATTGATTATCCAATAATAAATCCAACCATTAATCCGATAAAACTTGAACTAAAAACTAAAGTGAATGCTTCCATAATATAGACCATAGTAATGGACATTTTAGTATTGCCAATAGCTCTAAGCACTGAGATTTCTTTAACTTATTCTAACATATTGGCAGTCATCGATGTCATAAGACTAAAGAATGATAATACCATAACAACACCTGTTAAGAAACTGAATATAATTTAAATAAGATCCTGACTTTATTTTATAGAAGTTTCGTAATCTCTATAATCCCATATTTTAGCAGAAACTCCTTTAGAATCAATATACTTTTTAAAATAGCCATACACAGTATCAATATTACCTGAATTGGATACAGATATAAGTAATCTTTTCATTGGATAATTATCTACTGCATCTATCAAATTTCCACAAAGTCTTCTAAATGTTGGTAAGGAAACAACAACATTTTATTCTTAAACACTTGGTAAACTACTAAATTTAAGAGCAGGTGCTGAAGTGATAATTGAAGATGCTCTCATCTAATGATATTGACTAAATGTATTATTATAGACAATTAGAAGGAAGGTGCTGTCAATATCAATTTTGATATTAAGTTAATCTGCATAACTAGTACCAATAATAGCACTTTGACTTCCTCTACTTGTATATAACTATTCGACTGGATTCAATTTACTATTAATTTGATCTTCAACTTTTAAAAATTGATTATATCCCATATCAAATAAAGTATGTGAGACACCTACAATCTTGGGTCTAAGTTAATAAACTTATCCTAAATGAGTCATGTATGCAGTTGAAAATCCAAGTCTTTACATATAACTATCTAAAGAATCAGTAACCCATGCAAAACTAGTTATGTTGCCTCCTAATTCTAATATAATATTTTCAAATTCAAATGGTGAAAGATATCCATTAGAGGAAGTGATCTCAAGTTTGCAACCATGTTACTAAAGAGTCTACGTAGCTTAATTCTCAATCTGTACACTCATACCAACAAATATGAAAATCACAAAAGCAATTGATAAGGCATACATTAAAGCTGTTCTTCTATTTTTGATCTATTTAATATATAATTATTTATGTATACCCTATGTGCTGCAAGATTCTTTAACACCATTGTTTTCTTGGCTGAACTGGCCCAAAATAAAAATATATAAACAGTAAATCTTTCAGCAAGGTATTAAATATTGAATGCAAATATCACCAATCCTAATAACATACCACATAAAATAAAGAAGAATATAGACAAAAGCAATCCAATGTTGAATGACAATAAAGCCAAAGGCAAGAAATAATAGACACAAATACCAAACAATGAAGCAATTATTGCAAATTAGATTCTACCCCAAGGTAATGATTTACCTTCAAGATCTACTTCTATTTTCACAGCAGTAGATTTTGATCTGTTGATATCCAATGCAAAACTTAATTACTTACTTAATGCCTCTTTTATGGGAACATAAGAACTAAGTAAAGGAATCAGCAATCCTAATCCGAGTGACATGAATATTGCATTTGTTGTAGGAGTTACTTCTATCTCAACTCCAATTGAAGCTTTAAGTGCACTACTAGCATATAATAAGAATGGTATTGAAAGTATAATACCAGCAACCATAGCTGGTAGAACATAACTCAAAGCTTGTGTCAATACTATAAACACAACTCCCAATTTATTAAAACCTAATACTCTCAACACTCCCAAATCATAAGTCTTTGTTTCTACTGATATCAACAACAAAGTATATAAGAGTAATACACTCAATAAAAACAATATTACAATGATCATATTTAATATGATACCCAAAAATAGTTAACCAAATCTAGAATCATATAGTTGTTATAAGACTGGTAAATCCATATTACATGGATAAACTCCCAAATCTCTTCTTATGTTACTAGCATATTTAGTTATCTTCCCTTATATATTCTCATAATTGCTATCCATATATATATTGAATCTATCAGGTATATTGATTCTGATTTCATCTACAAAATCTTCAGGATTAGCAGTATACATAGCCTTTAAAAATGGTTTATCCCATGACCAATATGCAAGATTATTAAATAAATGTTTGTGTTCTACAATTATTAATTTATCAGCATCTCCATCTGGAAATTTACCATAAGTTGAATCTAACAAACCTTTAACTTAATACAAATAAAATCTTTAAGTTGCTTTTTTCAAATCTGAAAATTCTTGATTTATAAATGTATCATTGTAATTTGTTAAATTGAATTACTTACCTATCTATTCATAGTAGTTCTCTATATAATATGACGCATAAAAATCATAGAATTCTCCATATATTAACATATAATCTCCTACATTCAATTTATACGTTTCTGCTAATTTCCTACTCATTATGACTTCTGTTTCCTTTAATTCATCAAATGGATATTCCCAACCCAATCCAATTTTTTTCTCTTTTTAAGTATCAATAGCAACAAATTTGGCATTTGGATGTGGTTATACTCCTCCGCATCTCTATCCTAATTACTATCCATCCCTTAAGTCATTAAAATGAGCTTCACTTCCGAATTCCTATCTTTTAGATAACAATTATTATGCTTTATTCACAGACTATCAATAAATGATTAATATATACATTCTCACACTCTCCTGTCTTTTACAAATATGTGAAATTGACTTGTTATTCAATTCTAGGACTTGCTTAATTTGCCCTGTCTGGTCCTAATACTTCTTTCACTCTAGTAAAGTTTAGGAAATCAACTATGAGATATCCTTGTTGTCTAGCTGAGTTACTATAGATAGACATCAAATATTGAGGAGACTTTTCATGTTCTTCGCTTAAATAATTTGGATTTGCCATCAACCTAATCTTAAATTGCTAATTACACTATGTCTGATTATCCTGCCGGACCTTCAGCTGATTTTAAAAATATTAAAGGTGCTCTATCAATTATTGATTAACTAACAGCACTTGCAGCAACCACAATCAAAACACTAAAAAATGATACACAATATCCACAAGGTCTTCTTTTCATTTCATACCATGATTGTCCTATCATGAATAACAAAGATGAACAAATAGACATGGAAGTACCTTAAGGAACCATAGAGTCTTTTCTCTTAATAGGTTTAGGCTGCATTTATAATTAATTATTAATAATATTAATGAACAATTAAATTCTTAATAAATAGAATACTTATATAATATAATCTTATTATCCATGACAATATTCATAAATGTATACATTGAATAGATAAATATTTAAATAAATTTAGATGAAATTCAAAGAACTTTATCTATGATAAATAGATTTCATTTTATATTTAATATTGTTATGTAACAAAATATTAATATTAATAATGAGTACATTAGCAGCAGCAAGAGCAGATAATTTTTACTTTGGACCTAATTATGATCCAAATGGAGTAATGCTTAAAATATAATATAGGGTAGTCTGAAATATTAGAGGAAAATGAAACTTTAAAAAAAACGAAAGCCATCTAGATTAGATTAATATAAAATAAAAAGTGGTCCTAAAATCAGATTTGAAACTCCATTTCATGTTAAATGCTTAAAATGTGGTCATATGATAGCAAAAGGTGTAAGATTTAATGCTGTAAAAAGAGAAGGTAAGATGAAATTTTTATGATTTTCTTAGTGGGTTAATTTCATAGTACAACAATATTGTAATTTTCAATGCTTTGTCCATCTTGTAAAAATACTATTGTTTGTAAGACCGATCCTGAAAATTGTGATTATAATTATACTGAAGGAGCAGTGAAATGGGTAGAGGATGATTGTTTATATGAGTTTAGTTAAGTACAGAGAAGGCAACAGATATGGAATTCATTCCTGATCCTGAGTAGAAAATTAAAGAGTAATCAAATCCAATGTATAAATTGGAGGTTAATGTTGAAAAAGTTAAAAAAAATAATTTGGCTCCAGTATTAGAAGACTTATAAAAATATCGAAAGGTATAGAATAATTTAGAGATGAAAGGAAAATTGGAAGGATGATTTTTAAATGAATTTAATGTTAAGAAAGAAGTTTAGAGAAGAAAAATAACAATATAAATAAATAGAAGAAGAAAAAAATAGAGTTAAAAATTTTGGGTTACCTATGGAAGAATTAACAAAGTCTGAAATTGTAAATATGAGCCTATAAATATTATTTAGAGAGAGATTAAGGATATTAAATTTAATGAATCTAACAATAGAAAATAATAAAGGGAAAAAAGATAAGAAATCATGAATTAAAGTATTCTATCTAGTGGTAGGATGAATTAATAATAACAAAAATAATTGGAGATATTGAATAAGAAATTCAGTCAAATGCCTGCTGCAACTAGAAAAATATTCAAATAGTAATATATAGCAAAGAAAAACAATATCAAATTTTGAAGATTTTATAATTTTATTTTTATTTATTTAATAAGATGAATAAGAGTCAACACAGTTCTACACATAAAGTTTTAGGTCCACCTTAGATAATTATGTTTGATGGAGAAGAATCTAGATTTTAAAAAAGAATTTTTAGAGGTTTCAAGTTCTGTATTATTAAGAGCATTCAACTGATAAAATAAAATTTTGTTGGGAACAATCACCTATTCATAAAACGAATGATTTTAATTTTCAAAAAATCAATTACGTTAATCAATAAGATATGGATGTTCATGTTCGTAATAGTTATCAGTTACCATAAATATATAAACGTAAAAATCAATTAAATAATGAATGCTTTGTTTTATCTCCCTAATTGACTGTTGGTTTATTAATAATATATATATATTTTAGAATAAGAATAAAAATTTGGGAAATATGCTAAACGATACACTTAGGATTCAGATATATTTTCACTTAAAATTCCAATAGAAAAATAATACTCTCAACATTCATCTGCATATGGACAATTTTATTTCTAACCAGAATTTAAACTAACTAAAACTAAACCTGTTTTTAAATATCATACTGCTAAAAGTCAAATTCTTGGCAATTCTAGATTGTAATACATTAAATTAAGGTAAGAAATGGATTGATCCTTCTATATTATACATATATATATATATAAATGATTCTTAATTAATTTTTGAATAATTAATATTATGAAGAATAAAATTTAAATCTTTCATCTTTAATGATACATAGATTCTAATTAATTATTGCTTTTTCTTTATCATAGTGATTAATATTTCCTCTGATTCAACTATCTCATTTTATTTCAATTATTATTACAATACCAGGGTTGTCTCTTGATTGTGGATATTTGATTTCATCTAAGAATTATTTATTCAGCTATTAAAAAGAAAGAAAAAACCAAAGTTCATTTACATTTAACTAAAAACATAAACAAATTATTCAAAGTCAATTACAAGGACCTGATTTTCTTCTCTTAAAGAGAGTACTTTCTTCGAGAGAAAACAAAATTGGAACTTTTCGTTATTGATTATACAATTTATCAAAGACAACTACATATCGTTTTAAATTGTCCTATTTATGTTGTTAAGCATGTACATGTCTCAAGATTTGGTCTCTATGTTATTAATCAATTGCTGCTTATTATGGATTATTAAGAAGTTCATCAGTTGCTAATAAATCGACTTCACTTTATTATGAATCATTTTCTGGTGATTTTTCTAATATCTTATTGTTGTCTAACCTGATAATTATAGGAGGTAGAGATTATTAGTTACTAATAGTAAGATCTTATTATAAGTAAGTATTTTATTGCGTTTTTTTAGAATGGCAAACTCCCATTATGAAAGTAAGGAGACTTTCTAATTAATTAAATTATTTTTGAATATATCAAAAGACTATCCATTTGAGTTCTTTATTGTACTAATATAAAAAGATACAGTTTTTTATTATCACTAAAAGCATCTCCATAGCTTCATAACACACATATAATATAATTCATAATTCCAGAGTTTGCTAAGCATAAATTTGATAATGAAATACAGAGCAAATAAATTCCAAGTTGTTACTAGTTTCTTTTGTAACTCCAGTATATACATAGTTTTATCTAATAAATAACAAAGTAGGAAAAATGAATGATAATTGATTGGAATACTTGAAATTTAAGATGCAATCAATTACTAAAATTTTAATGCATATATATATCTCATAGATTTAAGTATACTTTTCTAAGGAACTCATTAAGAATGAGAATTTTCAATATTTAAAGTCACAGAAGTAAAAAATTATTTAAAGGGAATGTATTTAGAATAATATTAAAAATACAATAGTTAATTAAGATCACATTTTTAATTTAACTTCATTTCCAAATAGAAGGAATATTGAAGGACAATATTATTATATTTAGATGAATGATGAGTAAAATATTTATTTATGATTGAAAATAAATGGAAATTATAAACAGTATTAAAAACTAAATAGAGTCTGCAACAATTTGGAATAAGAAACCTTTTTATGTATAGAATTAGAATCAAAAGTAAATTTACAATAGAGTTTCATAAATGAGTAATATTATGAGAATTACTCTTTATATAATTGGAAAAATTGTTGAATTGATATTCAACATTTTAGATAATTATTCAAAAGAACTTCCAATGAGTTAATACTTTAATTCAGTTGTAAAAAGGAAGTTTACAATTCAATGGTAAACTCTCAATTGACGACTCGGTATGATTAAAACTTAACAAAAGTATATAAGTACAATTAAATATTATCATTTAAGAATAATGATAATTATATTTGATTATACATCTAATTATAGCAAATTGTAATAATGATTATGATAATTCAGAAATAGAAAGTAATGATAGAGAATATAATAATTTCAGATATCATTCAATTAGCTATGATTTGACTAAATAATATAATTGTTATTGTGACTTATTTAGAAATAGATTGATATATCAAAATAGATATCACCTTTTTAATAAATTTTCTTTTTAAATTTAAAAACTCTATTGTTGCATGTTCAAAACTTAATGAATATTGTAGGTTCTATTCAATGGATTATATTTATTATTTGAATATCTTTCAAAACTTTGTTCTTTTTTATCAAATATTTCTAAAATAGTTTCTTTCCATCTACTCTTTTAATTTGATCTTTATTGCGAGATTGAGCTTTCTTTAAGTCTACTCTTTTTATCACTTTCGTTCAACTTATTCCAAATTTCATTGGTTCTATCATTCTTAACAGGACTAAACTTCTATTGAAATGTTATCATTTTGGAATCTGAAGTTAATCTCTCTTCTGTCTATTAAGAGAGTGATTATATTCGAATTAACTATCTTTGGGATGACAATAGTAAGGATTTCTATTCATGCACACATATTTTACTATTTACAGAGATTGAGATGGGGCAGTCATAATTTTTTCAATTTCAATTAAGAATTTGCTCAATTCTTCAGGAAAGCCCTTTAAGTTCTTTAATTCCTCTTAATATTTAGCCATCAATTAAATTTAAGTTTCCTTTAGATATTAAAAAATATAATTACATATTCATTCTCTTACTTTTAGATTTCTAATAATTATTAAGTTTCAAGTGCATTAACTTCATTAATAAGACTATTCTTTTTTTATTCCAAAGCAAGTATTTACTAATTAAGATAAATATATACTTTTTGAAATTCTTGACTAATTTCATCTCTTGTAGATTAACACTTCTATTAAAATTGGAATTTTTAATCTTGAATGTCTCTAATGGATTCAAATTTATTTTTAAAACTTTTATCCAATCTTTCCAAATATAATTATACTCTTTCATTCAAAGCAGGAGTAATTTCATTTTTATTTGAAATAGATTCTTTAATTTTCTTAATATCTTTAATTTCAGAGACTTCTTTGGTTTAATCCACTTTTTGAAATTATAAATTGTTTGCATATTTATCTTTTTATTCAAATTTTTCAATCTATTTTTCATTAACAATATCATTAACAAAGTTAGCTTTAGATTCTCTAATTGTTTCAGATTATTTTAAATCGAAATCATTATCCAAATTATGCTCTTCTTAATTCTATTCAATTAATGGAATTATGATTTCTTTAATCACATATTAAATTGCCTCAATAGTATCTGGATCAAGATGGGTTTCATATTAACACTTGGAACAGATGGCTATTTTTACAATATCTTGAGACTCTGGGTTCTATTGTTGAGATTGTAAATAATTATAGGCTAAGCAAACGAGACAGAACTTATGATCACAATCTAATTTGACATAATTGTCAGGAGTTGTTTGACATTAAGAGCAGGCCACTTCAAAGTTTGTGTCGCTGTCTTGTGTTTCATTCATTTTTAAATTTAATATATATAAAATATGAAAGCAATTAACTCATAATTTAACATCCCTAAATATATTAGCTTAAAATAATACTCTAAAGTTCTAACAAGAACAATGTTTTCTCCCTTCAAAAGGATTTTCCCTAATTCCTTTGTTGCCTTTGTCTTGCGGTCATATTCAACAGCTCTGTCCAACACCAAATTCAAATATTCATCAAAACCCTAAAAAAGGTAGAAGCTTATATAAATTACTGCCAATTTTCCTTGAATACGAAGATTGTCATTTTCCACTAGCCAAATCTCCAATTGAGTTTTCTCTGTAAATAATGTGAAGAAGGCATGGAGTGGTTGTGTTATTTTCTTTTATGGCTTTCTTTAATACGGGGGATGTTGCATATCTTAATTTAATTAATTAAAATGGCTTCAGCTTTTCCTAAATTGCCAGGTTTTGTGCCTACACAAGAATTAGATGTATAATACCAATTTATATTCATTAGAAACCCAACTTCAGAAAGGTCTCAGCTGTTAAACAAGAATAAAACAGAGAAATCGTAACAAATTGAAATACTAATCTAATTATTTTAGAAACAATTGCCAAATAAAGAATATCCAGTACCTCGTAAATAACCAATACAAGTGCCATCATAAACAGGAATGTTCAACCCTGATTATTTAAGCACAACTCATGCTATGCATTTACCAAAGGTATGAATTCTAATCAGTTATATTTATAAGAATTCTAATAATGATTCAGAAGAGCTCTATCAACCAAGTTGGGTCAAGATGGATAGACACGTTCTCAGATTTAGTGGCTTCTTCAAAGAGGCTGTTGTTGAGTCAGCCTTAGAAAATTATAGAATTCGCAAATTAACAATATTTTACTATTTGGAAGACCATTCAATTAGCATTACGGAACCTAAACAAGAAAATAGTGGTGTTCCTTAGGGAGCATTCCTTAAAAGATAAAAAGTAAAAACCTCTCGTTAATGATGCTTAAGGTTTTAAGGGCTGATGGCTCAAAAACATTCATTATACCAGAAGACTTTAGAATCAATTAAGATATTGAGATATTTGGTAAAACCATTAGACTTTATGATTGCGATCAATATACAAGAGAATTTTATGAGGTTTTATTATTAAATTAAATTTCTTATAGGGTATTGGATAACCCTAAGAGCAATCATTCACACCATAATCAGATTCATTTGAAACAAAAACTATGACTAAGTATATTCCTCAAAAGGATACAGTTATGAAGGATTATTTGGAACATAAATTAGGAGGAGGGAAAGTTACATCTCAAAAACAATTCTTAGAAAATGATAGGAAAGTATTATGAATCTTTATTACGTTAAGGTTTTAAAATTCTATGTATTTTCTGATATAGAATATGTTTTACATTACTATTTAGCTGATGATACTATAGAAATAAAGGAAATTAATTCAGCTAATTCAGGAAGAGTTCCATTTCCTATGATGTTAAGAAGATAGAAATTACCAAGAAAGTTCTCACTCAATTAACCTGGATAAACTTATGCTGAAGATTTTATTAGACCTTAAGATATTCAATTTGGATAACCATTAATCATATACAATAGAAAATTTATTATCCAAGGTTGCGATCCTTTTACAAGATATTATTATTAAGAAAAATTTAATGTTGATTTTCCTTTGGGTGGTTAGGAAGAATAATAAATAGAATAAAGATCAAGTATAAATTTTAATAATTAGACATTATCATTCCTCCTCATAATGGTATTGGAGATGAGTAAGATTCCTTAGGATATATTTACAGATTATAACCTAAACCACCTAAAAAGGATTTCTTTAAATGGGTTGATAATTAAGTAAATCTAAGATTTTTAGCTATGTTCAATACTACTAAACCTGAAGATAAAGACAGGTATTATATTTAATATAAATGTAGAGTTTTTGTAATAACTTATTTTTTAAATGATGATAGTCTTTTAATATATGAACCAACTGTTAGAAATTCTGGTATATTATTAATTTATAAATTTGATAGGTATTCCAGATGGCAAATTTTTAGAGAAAAGAAAATACAAGAATGCTTATAATAATAATGAGTTTTTCTCACCTAAAGATTTGATTGTAGGTAATGAGGTTATTATTAATGGATGGAAATTCTAATTACTGGATTGTGATGAGTTCACTAAAAAATGGTATGCTGATAATTTTAAATGAAATTTATCTATATATTTAATAATAATAATAAATAATTAAGGGAATGGGTAATGGTTAATGCTAATAAACAAATTAAAAAAGTGAAGTTAATAAAATTATCACTGAAGAAAATGTTCATTCTGATGAATCAGATCATAATCTTACATCCAAAATTACTGATAGAGTTTATAAAGTTAATTTTGCTAGAAATGAATTAATTTGGAGATTATAATCAATCAATCAAGAAACGTAAAATTTTTTAAATATTACAAAGAATAGCTTATTATATGTTACAGAATTAATCTTATCATTGAATAAATATACTATTCAATAATTAAAAACTATGATAATTGGAGCACATAAGACTTATTAAATATTAATTGAAGCTATTATTAAGATGAAACCAGAAAATAATGAAATAGTTCCTGTTTTAAGTGAAGAATATAATAATTTTAAACTTTTTTATGAATTACAAGCATAACCAGCTTAATAATTGTATTATCGACCTGTTTATAATGAAGACTTTGAAATTATTAGAGAAATAAGAGTTAAAAGAATTAGAAATTATGTAATTAAAGAAGATAATATAACAGATATCTAAAAAACATAATAGAGATTATAATATTGGATATAATTGAGTTAAAAAAATCATCCAAATTTATTAAATCTAAGAGCAGCTGTAATTTAAAAAAACATATGTAAATATGTAACTGATTACATTGATGGAATAACATTGGACAAATTTTAAAATAAATATATTTAAAATTAAGATAAAATCAAAATAATGTAATAAATGATTGATGCATTAAAAATGCTGCATTCCTAATAATTAGTTCATGGAGATATAAAACCTTCAAATTTTATGGTTACTTTGCAATAATAAATAATCCTATTAGATCTTGATTAATTAGGAGCAGAGAGACAATCAGCAGATATGACATATTTATATTCATTTAAGAATGAATAATGTCCAACCTTTTAAGGTGATGTATGGTCACTTGGTTTATGTATCTATTCATTATTCTTTGGACAAAGAATAGAAAAAAACTGGACTATTGAAGATTACAAAAGGAGAGACTTTCCTGCTTTTAATATTAGATCTTATGAACCTATTTAATAAATTTTAGATGCTTGTATAATCGATAGTCCAAAAGACATCTGGTACATTAGTACATTAAGTAAGTAATATTGATATATTAATTAAATAAAAAAGTTGAACTACTTATTTAAATAAAATATTTATAAAAATATATAATGAATATAAAATCAATCATCATCAGGTTGAACATCAAATATACTTTTTTGAGGATTTCCATATTATTATTTATATTCTTCAGAGGCACAAGTTTATGCTAATAGGATAAGTAATCTTTCTAATTTAATATGTAATGGTTATTATTGACGTTACTCCCAACTCATATCTGGAGTAGCAGGTAATGAAACTTTCTCAGCAATTCTAGCTATAGCTTCCATAAATTCTACAAAAGTCATTTAAAAGATTCTATCACTTTCTAATTCATCTATTTATAACATCATAGATAAATTAAATGCCTATTATATTTTAATTTAAATACTAAATCTGCATCTCTATCAACAAACTTTTCATCAAATAATCCTGCTTATCCACAAATTTCATGTAATTCATCAAGACACATAAATTTCTTCTATCCTGGTTTTACTTTCTTTATGCTATATCTATTATACACATAATTTAATAAAGTTTTGTAATATTTTAAACAATCATCACATTATTCATTAAAGTATCTTTCATCTCTCCATTTTTATGCATTATATTATTACATGATAGGTCTACATTGATCTAAAATCATTTATACAGAATCAATCATATTATTTGCTTATTTTTATTTCAAATATTTATCATCTGAAACTCTTACTAAGAATTCCATAAATTGATATCTACATAATGCTCTTTCTGGATTTCTATAATTTCCTTTATATTCAATTGAAGCAGCACAAGTTGCAATAAATTTAAGATCCAAATCTGAAAGTTTAAATGTTTTATTATCAACTAATTCTGTTGAAGATGAGAAATCTGTAATTACATTTGATGATATTGACCAAACATCTCCAGATGGATTATATGATGAATACCATTTATATGTTTCTTTGATCATTTTATAATCTTTCCATAATAAATTTTTAACTTCATTAAATTCATCTGGATTTTTTACAACTTTTGATATCTTACTACAACTCCAATCCTTTTCAAAACATTTCCTTAAAAATTCTTCATTTTCAAAACGAAAATCCTTAAACCAAATTGAAATTGGAAAAGACCAAATTCTTTTTTATTTCTTCAATTTAGGTGGAATGTAAATAGGATCTGGAGTTCTTGGTAATACAGAAGTAAGTGCCTTCATTTCTTTTTTATCCATTAATTAAAAATGCTTTAATTTCTTTACTATATTGATATTATCTAATTAACAACTGACATTAATTCCATTCATTTTGAATTTAATTACATGACCAAATTTAATATTTTCATAATTTTCAGCTATCATTTAATTGTCAATTACTGTAAATAGAAATTAAGTTTATCCAGTAGGTATCATCAATGGTAACTTATAAGTACCATCATTTCTTTTTGGAATGTAGACTTACTTATATTCTTCAAAATTCATATGTAGAAATAATGGATCACATTCTCCATCTGGAATCCAATCAAAAACTTATTCTTACCATCCTTCACATATCCAACAAACATCTTCATGTCTCTATGTTGTTACTTATTCCAATCCTTTAATTCTTAATGTATCTCCTAAAACTTTTTATTATGCATTATCATCAATAATTAAAAATCCTCTTGGATCTACAATTCCCCAATTACCTGTAAAATGAAATCCATACATAGTTCTATTGGGTTTCAAACTATTAGCAATTAATTTACAATCTTGTAATGTAAATTAATTAGCTGATAAATCACAATGTAACATAATTTTATTTTGACTTAAAAAGTCACATACTTTTTGAGTACAATTTGACTTTTCACTAATTCCAAAACTATTCCAACTACCATCAAATACAATCATATTTTTATTTTCAACCAATGCCTCAAATATTTTTTAGCCTCCAGAACCTTTTATTTAATTCTATATGTTTAGTCATATTATTTACCCAGTGAATATAAAGTTCTTCAAGAAGATCTAATTATATAATGATTTCTTTTATTAAATCACAGATTTCATTTGTGAGAAAATTTTTGGAAATATTTAGTACTTTCACTTTATTCTGAGTATTTAATAAACACTTCAAAATTTTCATTACAAATTTATCGCCAAGTTTATTGTCTTCAATATTAATAACTTCCATCCTTTATTTAAGAGGAATGAGTACTTATTCTCTCTCATTTACAATTATTGACAAAGACAATCTACTCCCAATTATCCAATATCATTTTTAGATAAATCTAATACAGTTGCTTATTTTCCAATTTAATTCAATATTGTAACTGCACCATTTTATTTGATTCTATTATTGCTTAACAAAAATTCCTTAACTCCCTAATTCTAACACAACCCTTCTGATAACACACTTATATATTTATCACCATAATGATGATTATTAATTGATATTTATGATTCATTACCATTTAACTTAATGAGTCCTAATTTACAAGGTAAAACATCTTATGATTCTGCTTATTTAAGCATCTAAGTTTATATTGAATCATTAATTTTATGATATTCATTCTGTTATTTCACTTTATTAAGCACTTTATAATGTTAAAAGTAACTGCGGGCAGATTGAGATCCCACTAAAGCTTTTGGAATTTAATCTTCTAATTTATGTTCAGGTGATTCTTATAACTATCTCATAATATCTTTATCAGTTAATTTATCCTCTTCCTTTTTTATTTGTTACAAAACACTGAAGCGATCAACTTTTTAAAACATTTGTTTTTTCCCAACAGGAATGTATAATTAAGGAAATTGTTAAGCTTCACTTAAATTTATCATTACTGTTCAAATCAGATGGATCTCCAATAGAAAATCCTTTTGAATAATCCTCAACTGTCTTATCACTGAATTACAAACTAACAATCTTTCGTTTAGAACCTTAAATCGAAAACTTATTTGATAATCCAACATGCATTTTTATATAAAATATATAAAATAAATAGTCGACATACAAAACGAAGAAATTCTTATATTTAATTCTTGAATATCTAATAACATATTTACATTAGCTATTTATTTTATTCAAATGGATATGTATATAAAAATAATTAAAATATATATATCTAATTATATATTTAAGGAAGTTCAAAAAAACCAACTTTTGTTTTTAAGATAAAACATATATAATTCTTTAGCTTCTTCTAATTTCCTTTCATCACCTTACCTATGACATGAACGAGCATAAAGACATGGACTTACATCTAATATTTGTTTTGGAAACTTCTTAATATTGAAACCTATCTAATTTAATATTATCAATGATTAGATCCATCTGGATGTATATCTTGTTTCATCCTCCAATTACAAATTCAAAAATTCTAATATTACAAATAATTAATGAAAACCAATAAGGACTTCCTCTTCATATATGTCTCCTGTTGCTTCAAGTAGCTCTGGTAGTGATTGCCACATTGCAGTTTTAAGAGCATAAAAATCTTTGTTCTATACAGCTTCCTCTTTTTAACTCATATAATTGAGGAGTGGTATAAATTTAAGTCCATTTAATTAATCTTTTAGAATTTAAATTGCTTAATCTAAAAAATCTTTTAATTTTATTTAAGATCCTAAATCACACATAACTAAGATTTCTTATAATAAAGTTATAAATAAAAATTAAGTAAAGTTTGAATTAGGCATTTATTTAATAAAATTGATAGTTTTAGTAAAAGTATCAATGCATTCTAAATTGTTTTCCTAGATTTGTAATTATAATAAGTGATGACAAAGGGTGAATTAATTATGGATGCAATCATTTTATACTATTTTCATTGCTTTATATAAATATTGCTTACCCTTCATGAATTCTCTTTTGTAAGTAAGAAATCGTGCATAACAATCATAAATAACCCAATTAAAATAATAATCTTCTAAATTCTACTCAATAAATTATATTAATTCTTCGATATGGGATTGATAGATATCATGATACTATAATATCTCACAACATATCCAACCTTAATAAAATATTGCATATTTATCATAATTGAAGTTTTACATTTATTTAATAATATTAATGCCATCTTAATTAACTTCTTCTTATTCCAGATAAAATGTTTTAATGTATTTTAAAAAATTTAATTTGATTGGCTTTTATTAATTTTCACCTTTTTTATAATTAAATGAATTGATCCCATCAAATTATTCCTTATTCTATCTATGATAAATAGTATTTACTATATTCTTAGATTTATCTAACCAAATTGAATCCATCAATATAAATTTCCATTCTATTAAGATTTAAAACATATCTTTATAATTCATTAAATATGGTATGATTTCTTCTCTAGTATTTATCCATTAATCATTCAATCGAGCCTTTAAACAAATAAATTTAAGTAACATTTCATCATTCTCTAATTCTAATACATTTTGAATACTATTAATGGCCTCTTTAGCTTAGTCCCATTAACCAACTATATAGAGTAACTCAGCCTCCTAAAATTTTAAATTGCAATTCAGTTCTTCTAAAATTGTTTAATATCCTTGACAAAGCATTAATTACAGCATCTTCTAGCCTCTTTTTTCAAAAACATCAAAGTATAGATCATACTCTAGCTTTGTCAAATCTTCAAATGAGATTTCTTCAAAAATTTCTTAAGCTGATATATGATTAGAGTATCTATCTACAAAAGTATCCAAAATCATAATTTATTTTACTCTTTCTTCTCTATCAGAATAGTCTTAAATAGCTATATTCAAAAGAGTTTAAGTCCAAAAGTCCATATCTTTATTATAAGGTAATTTTAATGTATCTTAATATAATTTATAATAGAAACTAAGTTTGAAATTATTTTCCAATTTCATTTTTATATCATCAATATTTTGAATTGATTCTTAAATTTATGAATTTCTAATGAATTCTTTTTAAATAAATTATGCTTTAATAGAGATATAATCTTTATTATATAGTGAATCTATTTTAGGATGTACTATTTATTATGTATCTAAAATCTATTATAAATGTGAAATGTTATCATCAGGATATAGTATCTAAAGCATAGTCAATTAAAATGCATAAATATCTTTTTTAAATAAATTCATTTTAAACATTTTTAAGTTATTTTTCAATGCACCTCTTACTTATTTTTACAAGTAAACTCTAGTACCAACAATAGGATATTCACCATAAGGAGTTGTGTATTAAATTGCACATCCAAAATCAGCTAAAACCCAACCATTTTTTTATGTATTTATAATATTTTCTAATTTAATATCACCATGTGCAATTTTGAGAGAGTGAATTTTAATAATACTATCTAAAATACAATCAAACATATTATTGAATTGAAGATCAGTAAATTTATTAAATTTTATTTAATATTCCCTTAGGTTTCCCAATCCTAGATCTAAGTAAGCATACATACGATAAGTATTCATATATTTTAAACTAATAACAATTTTATTTTGTATTTAGATAATGCATTCTGGAAAATGCTTAGCAATTTTTTTTTATATTTTAAATTCTTCTGCTTGTATAATTACTTAATCAAAATCACAATTCTCTTATACCTTTAAGGCAGCTGGTAAATTATTATTTGGATTTACTGTTGAATACACTGTACCATAAGCTCCTTTACCTAATAATAATCCATTTTCTAAAATAAAATTAGCACCTTGACTCTTGCCATCATATACTTGTTATTCATTGTAAACGAATACTTCTGGATATTTTTTTAGTAATTAAAATATAGTCCTCTCTAACAAGGATACATTAGAGATAATATTATTTCTGTTTTCATTTAATTATTGATAATAATCAATTGTTTAAGTTTATTCAGATTATTTTGATTCATTTTCTGAATTATTCATATTATAAATTTTATTTTTTTAATTAAATATTTTTAGTCTTAATTTTATTTTTACTTAATATCAGACTACATCATTAATAGTTTCTCTAAAATTACATTGAAACCTAAATGTACCCATTTTGATATGCATATTTATTATAAATAATAAAAATATTAAAAAATGTTAAAACAAATTCCCTTTTTTATGAATTTATTCTCTTGAATTTTATCTATTAAAAAGCTTTCATATGTAGAGTAATTATTCATAAGTAGAGTAATTTTCCAAAATATATTTTAATTTCACAATTTCTACTTTATAGAGATTCTATGAAAATTGCAAATTATTAAATTATTTATGATTAAACATAAACTAATTTATTAGTATCAAATTATTCTTAATTATTTTTAGATACTAATAAAGTGTAAATCTATATTTATATTTTAAATCTTGTTTATTTAGAGTTTTCTATATAAATATTTTAATAATTAGACTTATAATGATCTTAATTAAATTTGCCAGCAGCAACCTTCAGAGAGTCTTTAAGGCTACTAGATTTATTATAATCTATGATTGCAAAGGAATTCTAATTCATATCAGTAAATAAATGAACCCTTATTTTAGTACATTACCTATTATTTCTCACACATAATTAANACAATTTTATTTTGTATTTAGATAATGCATTCTGGAAAATGCTTAGCAATTTTTTTTTATATTTTAAATTCTTCTGCTTGTATAATTACTTAATCAAAATCACAATTCTCTTATACCTTTAAGGCAGCTGGTAAATTATTATTTGGATTTACTGTTGAATACACTGTACCATAAGCTCCTTTACCTAATAATAATCCATTTTCTAAAATAAAATTAGCACCTTGACTCTTGCCATCATATACTTGTTATTCATTGTAAACGAATACTTCTGGATATTTTTTTAGTAATTAAAATATAGTCCTCTCTAACAAGGATACATTAGAGATAATATTATTTCTGTTTTCATTTAATTATTGATAATAATCAATTGTTTAAGTTTATTCAGATTATTTTGATTCATTTTCTGAATTATTCATATTATAAATTTTATTTTTTTAATTAAATATTTTTAGTCTTAATTTTATTTTTACTTAATATCAGACTACATCATTAATAGTTTCTCTAAAATTACATTGAAACCTAAATGTACCCATTTTGATATGCATATTTATTATAAATAATAAAAATATTAAAAAATGTTAAAACAAATTCCCTTTTTTATGAATTTATTCTCTTGAATTTTATCTATTAAAAAGCTTTCATATGTAGAGTAATTATTCATAAGTAGAGTAATTTTCCAAAATATATTTTAATTTCACAATTTCTACTTTATAGAGATTCTATGAAAATTGCAAATTATTAAATTATTTATGATTAAACATAAACTAATTTATTAGTATCAAATTATTCTTAATTATTTTTAGATACTAATAAAGTGTAAATCTATATTTATATTTTAAATCTTGTTTATTTAGAGTTTTCTATATAAATATTTTAATAATTAGACTTATAATGATCTTAATTAAATTTGCCAGCAGCAACCTTCAGAGAGTCTTTAAGGCTACTAGATTTATTATAATCTATGATTGCAAAGGAATTCTAATTCATATCAGTAAATAAATGAACCCTTATTTTAGTACATTACCTATTATTTCTCACACATAATTAATTCTCATGTATACAGTTGTAGCTAATTTAATATCTTGGATACCAAAAATAATTAATTAGTTAATAAAATTTGTACTATTAATTAATAATTTCAAAATTAAAGAATTTAAAGAAGATTTATATAAATTAATATTCTTATATATATATTTATAGATATACTAAATATAATTTAGATATCAGCCTTAAAAATAAAAAATTGCCTCGGCATTTAATCTATCTTATTAAATGAGTAATTTTTGTTTAGAAATTATTGTTTAGGCTTATTCAATCCATAACTATATAATTATAAATATTTTTATACTTGAAGTCCATTATTTTAAAAATTTTACAATTATGAAATATTTTATTCTAAAGATTTGAAATTCATTAATTTTAAAATAATCTAAATTTTACTCTTGTTTTTCAATTTAGTAAATTATTCAATAATATCTTATCTATTTGATAATAATTTTGCTTAATCACCAGAGCTTTTTAAATTTTCTTGTATTTATTTAATAATAATATCATCAATAATTTTGTTATCTGTAATGAAATTGAGAATTTATTATGCAATTAAAATTCCTTAGTTTATATCTTTTCTTTGAATAGATAAATCAATTAAAAAGCAACCTTTTAATAACATTACTTGAAAAATATCTTTTAGACTTTTAGATAATTAGATACAATAATCTTTTTATGGTATTTATTGTATAATCAAGAAGAATAATTAGGTATTATCTTGAAAATTAGCTTATGTTAGATCTTTTAATGGTAATTATTATAATAATGAATTAATCTTTTGAAATTCATCTTATAAAATAGCCAATTCCTTATCAATATTTGTATTAATCAATTTTGATTATGTTATAAAGTATTGAATATATTCATCTATATTTTATGGTAACAATAGTTAATCTTTAATTTAATTTAAATCTTATTAAATAAATGTCAAAGTTTATGTGTATTTATATAAATTTGGATGATTTACAGATAAAAATAGATCTAAATTACTAAATTTTTCAAGTTCTTTACTTAAGGGATCTTTAGATTTACAAAATTTTAAAGGACAATTTTAAATTTATTGAATAATGTTGGATTTTCTATTCATAATTTTTTAGAGATCAGAAGATTTTTGAGATTTAATTCTTTCTTAATCTAAATATTCTAAAAGTTTTGGAGTGATTTAAATCTTTTATATTTTCATCCAAGATTCTTATTCATAAATAAGTCCAGATACATTTGATTATAATCTACTTTATCCTGTAGCATCTTTAATTACTTAAGCATAATCAACTTTTGTAATTAATGAATCATTACACTTATACCAAGTTTTATAATCATTTTTATCTAATATATAACAATAATAATGTCCAGATGTTGCACCACCATCATGCATAAGTACTGCTGTTAAATTATACATATTTTAATCTGATTTTAATAATAATTTCTTTTCTAATTGTATTTATTCTAATCGATCAGTAAGTAGTTAAATAGATTTAACAAATTTTTTTTTATAATTTTCTAATTAAAATAACATTTATTGACTAGTAATTAATTATTAATTAGAAGTATTTTCATCACATATTTAGAAATCATCAATAATTAATGGTTAATCAAATTAACCTTCTCCTCTTTTGAATAATTTAATTATTTTACTAAAATTTTCATCAATATCATCTTTTGAATCACCATATCTTGTTAATTCATCTAATATTTTTTATTCTTCTATATCTAGTCTTTATAATTCTTAATTCATTTATTTAATATCTCTAGCTTTAAATTAATTGATATTTAATTATTATGGAAATTCAAATTATGCATTATTTTTACATGGTAATTTCTATTTAGAATCATAATAAACTCTATTGATATAGAATTATAATATTTTTGGAGGTTAAAGAATAATTTAATCAATTTTAGCTTTAACTTTATCTTTAGAATTAGTTTCATATTCATCTATGATTAATATTCTTGTATTAAGAAATCCTTTCTCTAAATTTTTATCTTAAGCATCTATACTAATTGATCCAAAATTAGTAATTGTAAATTTTATAATTTCTTATTCTTTTTCTTTGTATGTAAGAATCTCTTTAGATTCTCCATAAAACATTTAACAAAATTATTTCTTTAATTCCTCTTCTCCAATTTATTTAAGAGCTTATTCAATACCTTCTAAAAAAGCATTTTATAATTCATTAAAATCATTCTATACACCTTTTATTAACAAAGCACCAGGTTTATATTTTTAAAAAGCTTCAAATAATTATAGGGGATTAATATATGAATTATTGGTTTCTTATAATTGAACAAATAATTATTATAATTGTGATAGAAAAACACCTTCAAGAGTTGAGTTTTATTTTAAATCAATTGAAAATATTAATTATCTAAATGGAAGTGAATTGAAAAGACTTTGTAACATTGCATTCATATAACAAGCTATAAATATAATATTGATTTTGATTACTATTTCCAAGATTCTTCAATCCAACTGGAATACTCTTACTTGATCTATCCTATTATTCAATTTGAGGTTATCTAAAACTGTTTATAAATGGTACTAATTTTGTTCATCTATTGAAAGTTGGATAGCATGTTTTAAATCTTTTTCTTCTAATTCTTTCAATTATTTCTTTAGATGCATCTAGGAATTCATTAGATCTTCTTCACTTAGATTTTGGTTCTCTTCTTAACTAATTAATCAATTTTCATTTTTACCTTATTCTAATTAATTCTTCATGAAATGTTAAAGTATTAAATCCACATTATTGCCATGCTTATAATATCTACTAATTTTTAAAACCAAAAGAATGATATTATCGCATTAGTTATTCAAATGTTGAAGGTGTTTTTCTAAAGCTTTTATTTAATGATTGATGACTTTTCATAATAAATATAATATTAATACTTACTATATATATTATCTTGTTTAATTATCAAATATCATTAATTAAATATCATAAATTAATGAGTCAAAACAGGAGCTTTTTCTTTTCTTAGGCTAGTTCTACCATAGAGGAAGTAGAACATATATAGTATGAATATTTACAAAGCCAAGTTTCTAAAATGGAAACTCATGAATGTTTAACTAATTAAAGTACTCATCCTATAATGGAAAAAAATTAAGATAGTTTCATTGATAAAGATTTCTACAACGATAATTATCACTTTTCTGGAGATGATGAATGAAAAAAGTCTCAACCTGATTTTACTTTTTTGTTCCATATTTATAAGTTATAATATATCATCAAAACTTCTATCTTTACAATTAGTTAACAAAATATAGGATTTCAAATAAAAGCTTGATGGAATCCTAAATTAAACATTAAAATTATTATGAATACTTTTTGTCAAGTTTGAAACAGAAGAATTATACTTAAATCTAATTAAATTTGAACTAAAAATAACAAGATGACAATTGAAAGAAGCAATACTGAATTTGAATATACAGTTTTATTCTTTGTTCTAAAAATAACAAATCTAGATTTAATATATTTGAAAAATTCATAGATCAATACATTGTATTCATTTTAATTTAACAACAATGCTAAGTTTATGAATCAATTTATGAAAGAATTAATTAAAATATATAACAATATATAGTCATTTAAATGGCTAACATCCTGGAAGAATAATGAAAATAAAAATACATTTACATTATTAACATACTATACCAATCTAATAGATGGGGCAACTTAATCAAATGGAATATCTTCTAAATACTCTAATGATTATTGATCATCTAAAAAATGTACAAAATTAAAAATGATTAGTATTATTAATTATGGAACCCGTTTTTCTATTACAAAATAAAATAGCTACTTATAAATATATATTTACTTTAAAATATGTCTAATGAGTTATTATTAATGTTATTTTTCGGTTTTAGTTAATAAATACAGACAAGTAGTTTGTTTAAATAAAAATATGGTTTTTAATTTAAAGTAATTCAAGAATAATGTAAATTCATTATAAATGGATCTACATAAGAAGATGCTACTTTATACATTCAAATCAATCAATTTTTATATCAATTAAAGATACAATACAATTATCATCATTGATCATAAAAATTAAATTATTGAATCTGATATATAAATAATCTCATATATTATGACATTGATAATTCAATAACAATTTTATTAACTATTTAAATACTATAAAATTCATTCAACCGCAAAATTCAAAACTAAAAATTTAACCAAAACAAACAAAACCAATTATTATTTATAATTACTTTAATGGATAATTAAGAATAAACAAATTATTTTACAAATAATATCAATATAAAGATATCCTTAATTGATATTTCTGTGTTTGACATAAGCAACAAAAGAGAAAAAGATTTCAATATATGACTGCTATTATGAAATTTTAATAATTATATAGAAATTATTAAAATGAATGTCAAAATGCCATATACCAAACCATTAAATTAAGATAACTCTAAACTTTAAAGTGAAGTTATCAGTCTCTTTAAGTCAGGAGATCTTAAGTGGAATACTGGATAAAATGTCTAAGAAAAAAAGGAAGGATTAAATTATATTATCTAAGGTTTAAGAAAAATGGAATTGTGGATTGAAAGTATTTTATCTACATTCTATGTTATAAGGAGAATATGATGAGAAGAAAAAATAATTATAATTGTAATACTATTCTCGAAGAGAAGAAGCCTCTAAAAGATTAGATACTTTAGAAAAATATGAAAAAGGTGAAGTTGTTTAAGATTCTAATGGAAATGCAGGAAACCATTAATAATAATAAAAGTAATATTACTCATCATTTAGAAAATAGGGAGACAAAGATTAAAAGAGTGAATTTTCTAATGCACTATCAGAGGCTATTGTTAAAGATAAACCTAATGTTAAATGGACTGATATTGCTGGTCTAGAAGGTGCTAAGTCAGCATTACAAGAAGCTGTCCTTCTTCCAATTAAATTCCCTGATTTCTTTGAAGGAGCAAGAACACCATGGAAGGGAATCCTTATGTATGGAGTAAAAATTTAAATAAAAAAAATAGCCACCAGGAACAGGAAAAACATTTTTAGCAAAAGCATGTGCAACAGAAGCAGAAGGAACATTCTTTTCAGTATCTTCAGCTGATCTTATCTCTAAATATGTTGGAGAGAGTGAAAAATTGATCAAGACTCTATTTAGTATGGCAAGAGAATAAAAGCCATCTATTATTTTCATAGATGAAATCGATTCTATGTGTGGAGCTAGAGGAGAAGGACAAAACGATTCCAGCAGAAGAGTCATTACTGAATTCTTAGTTTAAATGTAGGGAGTTGGACATGATGATAAGGGAGTACTTGTTCTTGGAGCAACTAATCTTCCATGGGCTCTAGATACTGCTATTAGAAGAAGGTATTCCTTAATATAAAATATTTTTAGATTTGAAAAAAGAATTTATATTCCACTTCCTGATGTAAAAGCTAGAGAATTTATGATATAAAATTCACTTAAGAAAAATAAAACAACTTTAACATAGGAACAATTTGAAGATCTTGCTATTAAAACAGAAGAATACTCTGGATCAGATATTAGTGTTTTCGTTCGAGATGCAGTCTATGAACCAGTTCGTAAACTTCAATCTGCTAAAAAATTCAAGCAGATTTCAGTTGATGGTCAATTAAAGTGGACTCCAGTTGCAGACAATGAAGAGGGAACTCCAAAGTCCTTTATGGAACTTAATCAAGGAGATATTGCTATTCCTGATGTCTGCTATAATGATTTCTTACTAGCCTTGAAAAAATCCAAAAAGTCTGTCTCCAAAGATTAATTAGGAGAGTTTGAAAGGTGGACCAAGGAATTTGGACAAGAAGGTTGATATATGTATATATATATATTGAAGTATCATTAATTAATATTTTATTGTTGAAGATCACTTCAAAAAAATATTTTGATTATTTAAATTAAAATATTTTTTTTATATAAAAGGAAAATAGATAGAGTTAAATCAATATATAAGTAAAGACTAGAGTAGTGAATTACTATATAAATTTATAATAATAGTGAATTACTATATAAATTTATAATAATATAAAATAAATTTCTAATATTAACAAATCATATTTAGAATTTAGTTTTATTTCTTTAATTTTAATATGATTAATTTTTTAGACATTTTCTTTACTGTTTTAAAAATCTTTATTTTCTTATTTTCTGAAAAACTTCATATTTAATACTTTGAATTCGTCTTGTTAATTAAGCTAAGAACTATTGATGTTTTTTAAGTTTCTTCATATTTCCCTTGTGTTTCATATCAATTTAGGATCTATAACCATCCTCGTTCAAAAAACCAGTAAAATACATTAAATTCCTTAGATACTTGAAAATGCTATTTTCTTAAAATTATGATTCATAAGTAAGAGTTATAAATGTATAATTTTCAAAATCTTCGCTGTATTAATATTTATCTTTGTATTAATAATTTATTAATCCCTTATTTCTAAATACTTCTTTGTATATGAAGTGTACTTAATTATATTCTTATCCTTTTTAATGATATCTTGGCTTTCATAAATTCCAGTCTTATCTTTCATAATCATCATCATTAGAGACTATTTCTTCTAGATCTTGAATTTCAAATTTTTATCACTTACTTTAGCATTTTTATTATTCAAATTAGGTTCAGTTCTGTAATGAATATACAAAATTTTTTTATTCATAATATTCATTTAAATATAATATATTCAATTATAATCATCTGAGTGAAGAATGAATTTTTACATTCAAATAGTGAGATAAATATTTAATAAAGTTTAAGATCAACTACAAATGTACGATAATCCAATAATTTACTAATATATTTAAAGAAATTAAATTGATACTATCTATCATTTATTAATTTAAGTAAATCATAAGTGTTAATTATATTTTATTAATCTTAATATATTAGTAAATTAAATTCAAGTGTCATTATACTAATAAATATCCTGAGGCAACAATATATTTAAATGCTTATCCAAGTTATCCTTCATTAGATTGTTTATATTCTAAAATAAAAACTTATATTGTTGAGACAATTTAAGTTTCATGATTATAGAATTTCAATTCAATTTATGTTTCATCTTTAAGATCAATTAATGCAATAACTCCTTGATTTTATTAAAATATGCAATAACCAAATTTGAATTGTTCTTTTGTTAAATATTATTTTGCTACTAACTTATATTCAGGCATATTTGTTCTTAATACAACTTTGTTAGAAATATCTTTTATATCATTAGTACTTATAAGAATAACTTTAGCCATTTTAGTATATCCATTTTCAATACCAATTCTGATAACCTTAATGATTCCTTAGTAATCAGCTTATAATGGTACTTGAAGTTCATGACGTTATATCAATTATTAATTTTAACGTAACCTATTCCAAAAAAAACTCATAATATCAGTTGCATATTTTTTTTCCTCTTAAGAAATTATATTTAAGACTTTTTAACTTAATTGATGACTAATTTCATATATTTTTGCAATTTGAACTTCATAAAATTTCTATTTTTCATATGTATTTGGTGGTAAATACTTTTTAACAAGACCTAGAAATTCCAATACTTTTTTTTTAAATTCTTTATTTTTTTTTGAAAGAGATCCTTTAATATAATTACAATTTTAAAGTTTAATTTAACTATTGGATGTTTTCATGAAGAGTAAATCAATCCATTATTCTGGATTTGGACAATCTATAATTAAAAAATAAATTATTACGTCCATCTGTTTCATATCCAAAAAAGGGTAATTCCACTTATTTTGCTTAGGAGAGATGAATATTTTTAATTGAACTTCCAAAATATAATCTTTAGAGAGATTATTAAAATCCTTATTAATTTACAATATTGTTAGCCTTCTTATTCAATCGAGCAATACGTTTATATATATCTCTAATAGGTATAAATTAGAGTATGTTATATAAAGTATTAATGGGTAAACTTAACAAATTTAACTAATTTGAAATCATAAGACTTTTAATTTTAGATTCTTATCACTATTTATAATTAAATAATTAATGAATTTTAATTAGAATATTTTTTAGTTATATAAATTTCTTTAATAAATTTAAATCATCTCTTCATACAATATCGGTATGATAAATTGATTGTATATGTGGAAGTATTTTATGTCAATATAACATTTGTGAATTTTATAATTAAACTTTAAATACTAATAGAAATATATATGACTGAGATTAGGCTTGTCGTTTGTGAAAAAGATTGTAATAAAACATCAGAAAGTAGATTGATAAAAGGCATTTCTGCTATTTTGGAATAGTTAATTGAAGAAAGTGAGGTTTTAGAAGTTTAAGAGTCTTTGTTTCATTCTTAAAAAATTCCAAACATTACTTTAGAAAATTATTTGATTAGAATTATGAGATATACTAAATGTAGTTAGGGATGTCTTATAATTGGTTTAATTTATTTAGATAGAATTTAAGAGCTAAATTAAGAATTATAATTAAACAACTAAAGTGCACATAGGTATTTATAATATTTAAACATAGATTTTTAATTATTGCTATAGTTTTAGCAATAAAATATTAGGATGATGATATATATAAGAATGATTATTATGCTAAAGTTGGAGGGATTACTATGTAGGAATTAAATGATATGGAAAGGGAATTTTTAGAATTATTGGATTATTAATTATTTGTATAATAGGATCTCTACTACTTTTATTTAAAAAAAATAAAATAATTTTCTAGAAAATGAGTTTTTGTATTTATATACTTTATAAATATGAATTTTTATTTTAGATTGATTAGTTAGATATATTTATATAGAAAATTAATATTTAAAATATTTAATTTTTTATAATGCAAATTTAATTGCCATTTTAATAAATAAAATTATAAGCAAGCTTTCTTAAAAGTAAAAAAAGTTATGATGTAGGAGAATAATAATTTAATGCCTGTTGATGAGATATGGAGATAATTAAGTAAAGTAACAACAACTGTAAACAGGAATGTTGAAAGAATGTCTTAATTATTAGATCAACTTATTACTCATACTCTTTCTAATGAATGTGATTATATAGATATTCCATAAAGAAAAGATGATCATATTAAAGAAAGAGAAAAATATGCAAATGATTATAAAAAATTTATACTTCGTGAGTTGAATGAGAAATTGAATTGGAGTATAAGAGGTTCTAAAAACATTTGTAATAAATGTTAAATGATATGCAAAACTAGAAAAGGATATTTACTTCATTTATTGCAGAAACATTGTGAGTACAAATTCTATTTATGTGTAAAGTGTTATGATAAATTTGATAATTTTAATAAATTTAAATAACATTTATGCAATAACCATGATGAAATAATGATATTTTAAGTGACAGAATAAATTTAATAATTAATTCAATATGGAGTAAGAGAAATATCAAAGAATGATCTATAAAATATCATATGATTTAGAGTATTTCAATAATTATTAAATTCAAATATAAAGAAACTACATATATATATATATATATATATCTATATTTTAACAATCAAATAATTATTTAATCATGTCTTTCTTAATTCAACATTAACATTAGGTCCTTTCAATAGATGTTCCTTTTCTTATTCTTACATTTTTTCATAATCCACTCCATCAATATTCTCCCTTAATCTACCATTATAATAAGATTTAATTTGATCTCTCATTCCCCTCTAGACTCTATCAACAGCAAATTTATGACGAGTCAGAATCAATGATGCCTTTTCAGGAACAGGTGATATGATAAATGATGAGAAATATTTAAGTCCCAAAAAGACAATAACGAAAATAGCATACGAAGATGATTAAGAATCTGGTGGTACAACTCCTGATGTAAACACTATCAAACCTGCATTGCAAAATACAGATAAAAATGCTATGACATCCATTATGAAACTCCAGTTTGCTATATTTGCAGCTGAAGATGGAATTGGTCTTTATATAAAATGAATCAATTTTAATTTATCTACTTGAATTTATGTTAAATTTGTAAGGAAAGCTATAAAATAACTAAGAGGAAATGCCAATCCAAATAATTAAAGGAAAGCAAATTAAACTACTAATTCCATGTAGTCATTCATTAAACCATCAACTTCAGCATTAGATACATATGGTTCTAGATTTGCTTGACTTTCTATAAATTCATCAATTTAATTAAATTCATGAGTAACTAAATTTTCATCTACTTATTTAGTTTTTCCTCTAATAAAAGCCTTTATACATGGAGTAATTAATTATGGTAATGTTTTAGCAAAGTTAACCATGAAAATGGTTACCATCTAATCTTTTAATGCTCTATAACAATTAATTCCATCAGATGTTTTACAAAGAGATAATGCTGGAAATTATTCATTTAAAAATGCTATAATTGCCAAACAATTAAAAGTATTTATAAATGTAAATATGTAAGTTTTCAATATTAAACTATCTTCATATGATTATTCATATTTATGATTCTCAAAATCATTTAAATTATTTGAAACATTAAAATAAATAAGATTAAATAATTAAATTACAATAGCATTTATCATAGAAGGTACAAATGAAACCAAAAACTAATCATTAGGATACTCTTCAATTAAATAACTATTTTTAATATCATAATTTACTTTTTCAAAATGAATACTCCTATAACACTTGCTATAACCATTGATATTATTATTAAAGTAACAAAACTTGAATAAAATAATTTAAATTATTTTTTCCATATTGGATAATATTCCTCATTAAGTTAATCAGTTATTAATGATCTAACAAAATCACCTTCAAATGCTGGTCTTTCTATTTCTCCTCCTTCACTTTAATCATTCTAACCAAATTAAATCTAAAACATTGTTTATTATCTTTTCCAATGACAAATAAAATAACTTGACCAAGATATCAATATTACTGCAAATATAACAATAAATGCCTTTTTTACATCTCCTGTTGTATTATCAATCACTCCTTCACAAACAATAGCCAATATTACTACTTACCATAATTATTAAGAATAAAATTATAGAAATCTAAAATACAAACCTATTTTCTCTCCAAAATAATCTCTCATACTATCTATAGGTAATGTCCAAGGTGGACACCATTAAAATTTACATTCTTAAACTAAACAATCACTATCAAAATCTGCTCTTTCAGCTTCATCTTTTAATGAAACAAATAAATTATTTAATTTTAATTCTCCAGGTGATTTTTATACTTCTCTAACTAATTATAAATCAATTAATGGTTTAATCATTGGAGCCTTTGATAAACCCATTAATTGATAAGGATCATGTAAAGCAAAATAACAATTTATATATTCATTTTCTATCATCTTTTTTATATTTAAAAATCTACTAATTGTTGCATAAGCAATCTTTATTTTTTCCATATTCATAAATTCAGATCTATGTCCTTTCTCACTTACTTCATATTATCTCCATAATCCTTCATTTGGTTTAGTTACAAAATATTCTTAATAAGGTGCAATTGGATCAAGACCTTATCTATCCCATAAATTTGCTAAAATCAATTTTTCCTTAAACCAAGAATTATTAAAAGCTTAATATAATTCATTTGGATCTCCAATAGCTTTTCGAAATATAAGTTTAAATAAAAATCCTTTATTAGCTTTAACTTCTTTCTCCTTATAACTTTCTTATACTCTTTTCAAATAATCAATTAGATATAATTAATAAATATGATAGGCTTCCCAAACATCTCTAGATAATGGTTAATCATCCGCAATTTATGTTTTTTCTGAACTCAAATTAATCTTCAATTCTACAGCCATCCATTATATCAAAGGATCTAAATCTTATTATTTTTTAACACAATTTGCTCTTAATTCTTAATCACCCCATTTTAAAACTCCTTAATAGATTTTTTAAGCTTCACTATCAATTCTTGCAAGTTTCTTTTTTTAATTGGGATCCTCCTTTTTCTCTTCTAAATAATTAGGTGCTTCCTTAACAAAATCAGGATCTCTAAGATAATTCTTTAATCTTAAAGGTCTAAGTAATTTATCACAAGGTTCAAGTGATAAAATATCTGCATATCCTAATTCGTATTATTTTTGCATTCTTTACAATTCTGCTTAATATCTGACATATTCTAATTTACTCTTCAAAACAACAAATATAAATTGATCATCACTACTTATAAATTATCTACAATGAAAATGAGCATCTCTACATAATTTTGTAATAACAGTCATCCTTATTAATGTTAAAAAATCTTAAGGTGTTTATCCAACTTATATCCAATCATAATCAGTTTTATCATCTGTCCATTTTTTATAAAGGAATCCACCTTTACAATATTTCTTGTTTATATTTTAGAAAATATCTAAATTTTCATTAGGTTTTAAATGAATTAAATTCATCATCTAAATTACTTCCTAATTTATCTCTTCACTTGGTGATCTTTGTAAAGGTTCATCCTTCCTCAATAATTCCTCTACACTTTAATCTTTAACTTATCTATATTATTCAAAAAAAGCAATATAATTTAAATAATCTGGATTATCTTTCAAAGTTCCTCCTGTTTAAGTCTTTTTTAAAGTTTCTTTAAGTTTCTTTTTATCAGTCTCTACATAATCAGCCAATTATAAATATGTAGATAAGAATACTTATCTTTATATTGTTAATTAAGATTAAGGAACTCCACCTTCTGCTGATATTGCTAATTAACTACTAAATACTCTAAATTTGTATTGTTATTTATATACTTATCAGCTTCTTTAATATCAACTGGACGATCAACCATCTTTTCCCAATCAGGATTTGGAAATTTCAAAACAAGTTCTCCAATGTTGTAATCTGAATATACATCTAAAAGTTCTTAATATTCAGCAGTTGAAAGAAAATCAGTTCTGTCTATTTTTTCTTCTTATTCCTCTTCTTCAGGATCAACAGTAAAGTCCTATTTCTTTTTAATTATTGGTTTAGCATCTGTATATTCGGCAGGATCAGCTAAATTCAAAACTAATTTAGCAAATTCTAATGCTCTTTATTATTCAGTGCTCAATTTAATTAATCCTTTTTATTCATTCTATGGTTTCTATAAATGATCTGTTAATTATTATTCTTATTCAGGAATTTAAGACATTTCCTATTAAGGAATTGTAGGTAATTTTTCATTTTATTATTCATTTCCTTTTTATTATTATTTTTTTTCTTAAACTTTCTACTTTTTTTTAGAGGATATTCTCATTTCCATCCCTTTTGTTCTCAAAATTTATTGCCTCTTTTATTCTGGTTTATTGAACTCAATATTTATCATTGCAATTTAAATTATATTCTTTTGTTTGGTTATAATTTATATTTACTTTTATTCATATTCATAACAAATCAAACTAATTTAAAAACAATTTAAATTACTCTATAGATAAATAAATTACTAAGTTTTATAAGAATTAAATATCAATAACACATATAATATCATAAATCACATAATTTAAATGTATAAAATAACATTCAAATTTAGGAGGTTTTTATCAATTTAACAAAGAATATTTTAGATATGATTTTAAAAGATTATACTAAAATATTAATATTTATTACTACTATTTAATCATCTTAATATATTTTTTTTCAATTTACTTCTATGATTTTTTTATTATTAATTTAACAATATAAAATAATAATCATTTTTTGGCTAAAGCATATAAAAATATTCCAAAAGAAATTAAACTAGCTGCTGTTCTAACTGCATGTAATTAACCCCATTTAGTTAATAATGATTGCTTACTTTCAGTCTATAAATTTTATTATTCTAATAATATTTTATTTGTTGGCATTATAACTATAAATGTGAATGGTATAACCGAGAAAAGTAATAAACCAGCTTTTAAGGTGAGTTTGTTTTTATTTTTTACATAGTTTATAATTCCTACTAAACTACCTAGAAAGGCTAAAGAAGCTTGCCATTTTGCTGCTTTTTTATATGATGGTATCCATTAAGTATGTGCAACATCAATATCACAACTCATTCTTGCAGGATGTTCAACAATATTAATGTAAATTGCTGCACCACTGAATAATCCAGAAAAAACAGTGCCTAAGAGAGTTAATTTTGTTTAGGTATCCATTATATTTAATTTAATTTGTTGAATTAAATTTAATTAAGGCTTAAATATTAATTAAAATTATAAGGACTTATAAAATCTGATAATATTTAAATATCATTATTTTATTAAATATTTTATATCATTCTTAAATACTTCTACTTTCATTTAATTATTACAAAGTTTCATTCTAATTTATTTATGGTATTTCATGTTTGATAATATCTTTAGAAACTTAATTATCCTTATCAATATTTTCAATATTCTTAGATAACTCATTCTATTCACTTTCCTATTGCTATTATGATTCTTCTTCATTTATATTCTATTAACTCTCATCTTTATCTACAAATAACTTAGACCAAGATTATTTTTCTTTTGAATAAGCTTATTTTAAATGTTCTTTGACTTTTTAGAGTTCTTCAATAACAGCTGTATTTTAAGGATCTAATTTATAAGCAGATTTTAGATCTTATAAAGCTTTCTCCTATTCTCCTATTTATTATAATGCAATGGCTCTTCTATAATATGCCTTTAAATTTTATTAATCATTTGAATTAGTATCCAAAGCTGCTTTACAATAATCAATTGATTCTTTAAATTCTTCTCTCAAAAAACAACATATAGATAAATTTAATTGCAAACTTGCTTTTATTTCTTTACCTTCTTTTGTATTCAAAACACAATAAGTCAAGGCATCTTTATATTTTTCTTTAGCTTCTTAATATTACTAATTCTTAAAGTATTTTGTTCCTTTTGTTCTAAGTTTAAGAGCTTCTTCATATTTTTCTTCTGGATTCATTAGCCTAGATTATATTGATTAATTACCATCTTTTCTTTTTCTCCAATTTAAATCTCAATAATTCAATCTCATATCTCAAATTAGCATTTTTTGGAACATCCTTAAAGATGTTTCCATCAGGTCCATATCCATATTCTGGTGTTATTTTGAATTGAGACTTTTCTCCAGGTTTCATAGATTGTAAAGCAATTTCAAAACCTTTGCATCTATCTCCTCTTTTTAGGATATGTTTATGTGGTTTACTTTATCCCATATTTGAATCAAATGGCTTTTAATCTTCCAATGTGCCCAAGTAATATATTTTACAAGTTGAATTGGTCTGAGGATAGTCTCCTTGTCCTTCTTTAAGAATTCTCTTTTAGACTCCTCCATCTGCTGTAATATTAACAAAATCAGATTCCATTCTATTCTATTTTATATTATCTCTCTAATACAGATTTTAATCCTCAATTGTTATTTAATAATAGTACAATATTATATAAATTTAGTTATTCCTGTTATAGACTATTTTGATATTATACTATAATTGATTTGATATTCAACTATTATATAAAATAGATAATAACAATATGAATCAATTTAACTTATATTAGTAATATTATAATATATAATAATTTTTCTTTATTTACAAAAGACTCTATAGTCATAAAATGAATTAATAACTACATAAGACAAAACAATTAAGTTAACTCTGTATATTTATATAGTAGATATTATATTATTGATAAAACTATTTTAATAAATTCATTTTTTATCATCAAGTAATGGAAGTTTAACTTCCTTTCTTGCTTATTCTGCCTCCTTTCTTCTTTAAAAATCTCTAATTCTTGTTTTCTCATAATATTCTGTAAAACTTAATGTTTTTTCAGTTCCATCACTATTTTTTTCTTCTCTACCAAATATGGCTTAAATCTCTTCATCTAAACCTCCTCTTCCATGACGTACAAACAATAATTCTAAGGTATCTTCTACTGTTATCTTGCCATGCTTTGCTTTATCATACATAAAGAACTAAACAATATTAAATAAATTTCTAATTATTGTTACAAAATTTACCTAGGTTCTAATAATGTAGGATCAAAGATGCATCTTTTATACATCATTTGAAATTCATAAAAATGTATAACTTTATCTCCATCTTCATCTATTTCCCAAATGAATAATTCTGCTTCTTTAATTGGTAATATATAATCAACTTTTTCAAGTGCATTCATTAAAGTTTCTGCTGTTATTCCAGGTTCAGGTAATTTAATCTTTTCATTATTAAAAGTTAAAAGGTAATTGAAAACAGATGTAAGTCTTTATTGTTCTACATTAGATAATTGTTTTTCTGCAATGATTTCTTCATAAGATCTTTCAATTTTTTTTTATTACTAACTAAGTTTTTGAGTAGCAGACACAGAAAATGACTTAGAGTGTTATCTCATTTAATTTGGAGTTGTGTTCGACGGTTATTAAGTTGAATTCATTAAAATTATAAATTATTTATATAAATATAATATAGATAATATAATCAATACGATTAATTGGAAGGTATATTGTGAATATATTCATAAAATAAATTTTAATTATCTTAGATAATGATTATAATTATTTATTAGTTTAATATTCATTTAAAATGATCTTTCAGGAATATTACTTTATTGTATTTTTATAAAGTATATAAAATTACTTAAAATTGGATAATCATTTAATTATATGTTCAACATTTATAAAATATATTTCAATCTTTCTTCAATTTATTATATTAATTTCGAAAAAAGTGTTAAATTTGGAATGAATAAAATTTATAGTTAGTACAACTTAGAACGTTTAAGACTCTCATAATCTTAATCTGATTCAATCAAATTAGAGAGTAAACATCAATGATTATATCTAAGGAACTGATTTAAAAAGAGGAGTTGGTAAAAACGCAATAAGAAAAATTTTTGGAATTGATGAATCAGGCAAACATGAATATGACCTTTACGAGAATCAATAATTAGATGCATTCAAAAAATATTTAGAGGATGATAATTAATAATTGTCAGATGAACTATCTCTTAGATTTTTATATGCTAATTAATTTGATTTTGATTAGACAATCCAAGTATTATAAACCTATATAACAATCTAAGCATATACATACTCATCATTAATGGATTAAAAATCCTAATAATTTTAAATGGACATTAAACACAGAACAAATAATCGTAAATTATAAATCATTAATTTTAAGAAATAAGGAGCTATTTACATTAGTGGTAGAGGATAAGGTTTCAAGCCAATTATTGTTGTAAACGCTGATAAATTAGATATCTCAACTTATCCTATTGAAGATATGATGAGGGCTATTTCAATTGTATTTATGGTGGTTAAGGATTATATGTTAGTATCAGGAAAAGTTGAAAGTTGGTTTGTAATTGTTGAAGCCAAAAACACAACAGCATATAAGATACCCTTTAATGTACATATATTTCTATATATTGATAGCATTTGAATTAGATATTTGAAGTATTGAAACAAAATTTTCCATGTTATTTAGAACGAGTGTTCATTTTATAACCTTAAACATCAATTTAAATTACATGGTAAATTGTTGAATAGTTTATTCCTTATAATTCTCGACACAAAGTAGAATTTATAGACAATGATTATTCTCTCTTATTTAATTACATCAAACAAAAATAATTAGAATTAAGACATGGTGGTAGGGCTCCAAATGTATATGATTATTGGCCACCTCATATTGATGATTTTAATGAAGTGGAATATTTATTGAAATAGAAAATGGAAACATAAAAGATCAAAGAATAAATTAATGCACTTTAAAAAAAGATGCCATTTACATCAGTTATAGATTCTGAAGTTTCTAATTTATTAAGAAAGCAATTCAAACCAAAAACAAAAATTTATTAAGAAGAAACCCATTTAGATACAGAAAGCTATTTTGCAAATAAAACAGTATCCAAAACAGTCTTATTAAATGGACCTAAAAAAGAAAATGTTCATTCTAATGAGAGTTAAACATAATTAGTATAATAATAAAAAATATAAGAATCAAATACATCTTTAGAATAGAAATAAAGAATTCCAACTAATAATAATTTATAAAGTACAAGCTTTCCTCAACAGACTTAATAATAACAATATGGTATTATTCCATTCTAAACTCGATTTGTGAGTTCTAAAACAAAAATAAATGAATCTATGGGTTCATTAGTGAATGCAGCTAATCATAATCCATTATTTTAATCAAGATTTGTTGGAGTAAAGACTTAAACTATAGCATCTAACAAAGATGTTAGTATAATAATAAATAAAGAAGAGCAAGCAACAAATCACTCTCAACTTATTTGAGATTTTGAAATAGTTATGAGGTTAATAAAATAAATTCTTATTAAATATTCTATCAATCAAATAGTTATAATCAATATTTTTATATCAATATTATGGAATGAATCAATAAAAGATTAGAAATTCAATTCAAATCTTAAAACAGTATTAGAATATATATAAGTATTTATATAAACTCATTTAATTTTATGATAAATATAGAATTAAAAAATTCAATTATAATAGCATTTAAAGAAATATATAACAATTAGGATGTCTGAATTATATATAAATAAACAAATTAATTTTATAATATGAGGTTGGACACATCTGTAATCATATAATATTATTTCCTTTATTATTTAGCTTATTTGACCAAAGATGAGTTAAGAGTACTAGTGGCTGTAGAAATGGGCATGAAGAATCATGAATTTGTACCTGTTTCATTAATTGAAAAAATTTCAAAAGTGAAAAGAGCCAATGCTTATTAAATTTTGCAATAGTTATTAAAACATAAACTTGTTCAACATGTATCTAAAAAATGTATGCTTTTCTAATTAATAAATTCTAGATGATGGTTATAGACTCACATATTTGGGATATGATTTCCTTGCATTAAGTGCCTTCTACAAAAGAGGAACCATTGTCTAAGTCCTTTCTAAAGTAGGAGTTGGAAAAGAATCTGATATTTATAAATGTCTAAATGCAGATGGCAATTTTGTCATTCTTAAATTAGCTAGATTAGGTCGAACATCTTTTAGAACTATTAAAAATAAGAGAGATTACATTAAAAATAGAACACAATATAATTGGCTATATCTTAGTAGATTAGCTAGTATTAAAGAATTTGCATATATGGAAGCCTGCTATAAGAATGGATTTCCAACACCAAAACCATATGATTGGAATAGACATGCAATTGTAATGTCTTTTATTGATGGATTTACTTTATGTAGTATCTAAGAGCTTGGTGATGTAGATGGAGTATTTATCTAATGCATTAATTTAATTGAAAAGTTTGCAAGTCATGGTCTTATACATTCAGACTTTAATGAATTCAATCTTATGATAACAGAATAACAAAAAATTATTGTTATTGATTTTCCTTAAATGGTATCAACATAGCATTTAAATGCAGACTTCTATTTTTAAAGAGATTTAGATTGTATTAACATATTTTTTTAAAGGAGATATAAGGCAAATTTGCATTCAGATTTGAAATTACAAGATATTAAAGTTATCAAACATCTTGATAATGAAGTTAAAGCATCAGGATTTATTAAATCAGAACTTAATGATAATAAGGAATTTGAAATTTTAGAAGCAGCTCAATAAGAATAATAATAATTTTAATAAGAAAATGAAGAATTTGAATAAGATAAAAATGATGATGATGATTAAGATAATTAAGATGATTTTGAAGAAGAAAATGATTAAGATTCTGAAAATAAGAATGATTAAGAATATTAAAAAGAATAAAATAATTAACAATAATAATTATAAGATACTTAAATTCCTAAAGATCTAACTAAAATCACAGAATTAGATTAAAAGAATATTAAAAAATTTGTTTAAAAGAAATTTCGTAAAAAGATGGTAATTAAAAAGAATATCAATAAAACTAAAGGAATTGAGGATAATAAAATATTAACTTAAGAAGCACTCCATTATTTATGATTTCTTAAATGTGATTAATTCTATTAATTAATATGTATATATGATTTATTAAATTATAAATATTAATATTCTATATATTCATATATATATATATATATTATATTCAGCATATTGTCCATTTATCCTTAAATCTTAAAATTGTCTTTGTTTCTAAAGTTTCACTATCCTTATTTTCTTAATTCTATACAACAAATAATTCTTATTTATATATTATGCATTAAGAATGCCAAAATCCTCCTGGTATTTTTAGATGTTTTACATTTACCATATGCAAAATATGGTTTTCATTTTTGATAGTGAATAGAAATGATTGATTTGAACTTACAGTATTTTCATCATATCCTCCAAAAATCATTAACGAATTGGAAGATATTTATACTCCAGCTGCAAACTATTTAAGACCTTTAAATAAAGGTATACTATAAATATATATATTTTATTTACTCTTTGTTAGTTATTTGAGGATCAATAGCCTACCATATCATATCTTTGATATTAAATCTTTCAATAAAATTCATTTGCTATTTTTCATACAATCCTCCAAATTTATATATGTATTGATTATTATAATTTACACAGCAAGAAGCTATAGAGGGATATAAACAATCTTGAATTTTTTCACTTTTTCTTAAAATATAATTAAATCTCTCACAACTTTTCTCTAAGGTTTGACCTTGCCCAAGACCAGATATTGAATAAATATAATCTCCTATAATACAACAACCATGAGATGAACGACTAATCAACATATGCCCAACATTCACTAAAGAATTTTAATCAAATAAGTATATTCCATTAGATTTATTATTAGGATAGTTATTATCAATTGTAGTTCCTCCAATAACATATAACTAGCCAGTTTTAGTAATTAATGATTAATGAAATACTGGAATTGGAAAAGATATTTTTAAGTTAATTTTCTTTGTTACTTTAGGATTATCAAGGTTGATTAAATTTAATTCATAACTGTTATACTTAAAATAATGAAGCACTTTATTTTAAACATTTGGTAATAAATAATCTTCCATTGTGATAGTGAATTCTGATTATTTCTTAGCCTATTCAATTTCATTAATCTATGAAAGCAATGGACTTTAATTCATAAATGCTATATCTTAAACATTAATTGGTTGAATATTTTATTATAATTTATCTTCAATTTTTAGCATACTTGGATTTGTTTTTTTAAATTGAATCTAAATCGACTAAGCAAATAATTCATCAAGTTTTTAATTTAAATTTTGAGAAACAACAAGTAATGGAAATTCTAAACTTTATATACTTAATAATTACTTAATTTCATAATTTCTTTGTATGCCTCTTGGCTTGCAGATTAAATCAATTAAGTAGTATTAAGTAAGTAAATGCTTCTTATAGTTTTGATTTAACAGTCACTTTAGGTTTCTAATTTTGTTCCCAATTCATCTAATTATTAAATTAAATTCTTGATTCTATTGTAGACTTCTTTAATTTATGAATCCTAGACAAGATTATTATGAATATTATTACTTTAAAAGTTTAGATGAGGTGATTGTTGAAATCTTGAAGTAACTTTTTATTGTATAACTCAATTTTATCAATTAATTGTTTTTTCAATTATTAAAGAGAATCTCTACACATTTCAATATATTATGAAGAGTTTTCAATAGTTTTCATTTCTTATAATGATAAGATTTAATTCATTTCTGATATTGAAGAACGTATTTTTTTTGAACAATTTGTTCTACAGGATTTCAAACTTTCAATTTAACATTCTTTATGTTCTCTAAAATGAATTTCAATACATTCAGGACATAAAGGTTGTAGACATTTAGTATTGATACACATATTAGTACATGGTTCTTAGTGTATTTAGCAGAGTTCATTTGAATAATAAGTAAATTATTAACTCATTTATTATTAATTTCAGAATTTATTACTTTGATATTCATTTTCTAAAATTAATTATAGGACAAATATAAATAGATCAATAAACCAATTTATGAAAAAAATTCATATTTATTAGTTTGAAGAGAATTATGAATATAAGTTTTATAAAATTATAAATTAAATAATGAATTTCAGCTTACCTGATGCTCTTGTTTTAATTAAAGAAGGAAGGGCTAATGAAGCAGTTGATTAGTTGAATAAATTTATTGAATGCTTATAACCTTTAAGTCCTTAAACTTAATTGTTGGGATAATAACTTGGAATAGATTGTGACTTTTTTAGGATTGTTAAATTTTAAGATTTTTATGATCCTGATCCATAAGTTTAGGCATTACGTTTTAAATATTATGCATACAAAGTAGCAAGTAATTATAACAATTTGATATATTAGAATGGGGATATTAGATTATTTAATAAAAAAGAAAAGTGAAACGAAGACATGATTTAATTGAGAAATCAGAATAATTTGGTATCTAGAATGAAATAGGAAGAACATTTGGGGTTGATATGGAATCAAAGTAATTGATAGAGTCTCGTTTGTAATCAATATCAGAGAAATTATAGAAAAAGAAACAAATATTCTAAAAATAATTATTATGTTAATTAGATATTGAAAAGAAACGAACTGACTATAAAATTTAATAAGAAGATAAGATAGAGAAAGTAAGAAAAGCATTAAAAACAGATTATGATAATAAAATAGTTGCTGTAAAAGATCATTTAGAGAAAGTTAATGAGAAATTAAAAAATAATAATAAAATGAAAAAGAAAATGGAGGATGAATTAATAAACAAAAGAGGAGAATTATTAAAAAATGCTTCATTAATGTAATAATATATTTAATAAAAATGTATTAGTGATGAAAAAATAAATAAATTAGAGGAAATGAGAAAAGAATAGATAGAACATATGAAATAAGCAAGATCAATAAAAAAATAAAGATAACATTCTTTTTAAGAAAAATAAAATTAAAAATATGAAGAATATTTAGAAAGAATGAAATAGAAATTAGATTAAAAAAGTAATTTATATTATATATAAATAAAAAGGAGCTGTTGAATTTCATTCTGAAAATCATAAAGATTTTGGTAAAAGACAAGTTTATGATAATTATGAAAAAAATCTTGAAAATATAATACTAAAATATTAGAAATCATAACCAATAATAAATAATTTACTTGCAAAATCAATAGAATAAGTTCAATAAAAAAAATAAATTGAAATTGAAAAATTTTAAAAAGTGAAATCTAATTAGAAATTACATTTAAGTACTCCCAGAATAGAACCTAGAAAAGTTGAAGATGTTTTGGAAAGAAAGGAAAAAAAATTATAAGTTGAAACAATTTTAAGAAGAGAAACATATTAATAAAGAGTGTTAAATTTTCTTTAAAATCGTTAACAATTATAAAGATTATAATCTTAATAAATTGAAAGATATAATGAATTTTATACAAGACAAAGTGCAAGATTGAAAAATATGAGGAATTCTCATGAATAAATGAAATCTACTGTAAAGTAATTATTTATATCTATCTATTTAAGTTTTGCTTTAATGTAAGCCAATAAAATTGAAGAATAAACAGCTTTAAAAATATCAAGGGCAATTTAATTAATAAATGATCCTGATTTATAAATGTAGTTTAAACCAAATGAAAAATTAAGTACACAATAAAAAGTAGCTAAGAAAAAGTAAGAAGAAATGTAATAATTACTAAAATCATTTGTAACAAGTGAAGTTGATTTATTGAGATTTTCTAAATCTGTAACTGAAGTTAAAAATGAAGAAAATTAATAATAAAAATGATATCATATTTTATCATTATGATATATATTCTAAATCATTATTATTATTTTTATAATTACAATAAATATTAATTATGAATCTTATTTTATATTTCCCATAATTCTTTTACAACTTTATTTTATTTTTTAGATAATTCATTTCCATCCTTATCTTTTACAGGTATACCATTTTCATCAAATTCTGAATATTTATCTATTTAAGTTAAAAACATATCTTTTGGATGAATCTTTGACTTTTCTAATTTTTTTAATTCCTCTTATTTCTTTTTCTCTTCTTCTTTTTTCTTTATTTACTCTTTTTATTAAATTAATTTCTATTATTATTCTCTTTCTAATTTCAATTCTTAAGGATCATATTATTTCCAAATAGATACCTTATAATTATATAATCTTATACTTATTATTTATCTTCTATTTTAATTCCTAAATCAAATAATTATTCATCTCTTAATTTATCACATAATTAAAACAATTGCTATTTATTTTTATCTTAAGAAGCAACTAAGACTTATTATTAAAATTAATTAATGCAATCTACAATTCCATTTGATAAATTCTTCTCATATTAGAATTACTTCTAAGTTACAATATTTGATATTGCCTCATACTCTCCCTTTCTAGCAGCCAATTTCACTTAATCTCTTATGGAACATACTTCTGTCATTATCAATTTGATGTCTGATGAATTATTATTTTAAGTTTAATAATTGAGTCCAATTAACTAAATTTTTAAACTAATATATTTACTCCCAAAATAAATTTCACATATTCAACAACACTATGAACTAAAGGAGCTCTAACTGTTTTATTTGAAATTTGTACATTAACTTGGTTTATTAATTTATCAATTGCATCTATAACAGTTGGAAAATTGAAATTGTTAAGCAATGCAATATGGATAACTTATTTGGTATTTCTAAGTAAATTACTAATTTAAAAATCATTTTGCATCCATTTCTAAGGACCAGTTATTTATGAATCTCTCAAATAGATTTAAGTATTTTAAAAGAATTTATGATAAGTCTTATCTATTGAGATTGCTTATTCAAAATGCTCTTCAGAATAGTCCATTACTGTATCATATTTATGGATTGCAAAATTTAATCTAATCTATCTAGGAGTATATTTTTTAAGGATTTCATTAATAGTGATGAAATCCTTAAGTGATCTAGACATTTTACGATGAGCAAAATTGAGATGTCCAAGATGAATAAAATAATTGATCCATTAATCACAATTAAAGCATGCTTCAGCTGATGATAAAGAATTATCATGATGAGGGTATACCAAATCAATTCCTCCTGCATGTAAATCGATTGGATTTCCCAAAATAGAACTAGCCATAACAGAACATTAAATGTGCCATCCTGGTCTACCTTCTCCCCAAGGACTATGCCATTTAGGTTCTTCTGGTTTACTTGCCTTCCATAAAATAAAATCATTTGGACTTTTTTTTTCTGATTATTTATTTACTTATGATTCTCCTTCTCCTTCTTATAATTAATCAGCATTTATTTCTGGTCTCATTTTTGGATATTTATGCTAGACAAATTTAAAATAACGATTACTCCATCTTCCAAATATTTTTGTATATCAAAATATACACTTCCATTACTATTATATGCATATCCATTTGAAATAATCTTTTCTATGAATATAACGATCTCAGGAATATAATCACTAACTCTAGTAATTACATCAGGTAATTCAATACTAAGTGATTCCATTGCAGAAAAGAAATCTCTTTCCCATATTTTTGTAAATTCAAAAAAATCTTAATTAGCTAATTTTGCATGATTAATAATCTTATCATCTATATCTGTAATATTCATTACACTCAATAAATCATAATTAAAATAATCTCTTAATGTTTTTCTTATTATATCAATGCCTATATATGTTCTATAAAAATAACAATTATAACATTACCTAGCATGTCCCAAATGAAAATTTTTATATAAGGTAGGACCACAGTAATAAAAGCTTTTATTTAATATTAATATTATACTTAACTTATCTTCCATTTATTGGGATAAAGGGGACCAATTCTCTTCCCTTCATAGAATTAGCTAAATTTAAACCTGTCACATAAGAGTCTTCTTTAATTGATGGCTATTTATAGTGAGCAAATAAATTTTTTTATTGTTGCATAAATTAATTAATGGTTCTTTTGCTAATTTAATCATTAATCTAAATGTTTAACTTCAATACTAGAAATATCATATAATTGATACATGTATATATATTTAATAATTAAAATTAATTTTTTCCATTTTCTGAAAAGATTTTTCAAGAATTGATCTTTTTATATTATCAAAAAATATTCTATCACTAATTATAACCTATAAAAAGGATATTCTTTTATCTACTTGTAAATTATTGTTCAGTATTTATTTTTATAAACATCTTAATATTCCACTTTGAAAGAATTAGAATTATCTATACAAATCGATATATATTATTCAAATAATTTCATTATTTTCATATAAATAAATTTATTAATTATATATTTTTATATAGAAAATATCTTCAGTACTATTCTTAATGTTTATAGATATTCTAATTTGAATTATATTTAGAATATTTCAATAATGATATTTCATTTGAAAAAATGATGATTATTTTTGAGTAAATTAAGATATTTTCAAAAAATCAATTTAGTTTTGATTTCGGATATCTGTTTCTAATTTATTATCAATATTTGAGTTTAGATTAGGATTTTTCTTTCTCATTATATATATTATTATATTTAATTATTTAAAAATGCTGTAAGTTGATACATAGGAGAGATATAAGTTAACAATAGCTCAGTTCCAGAGAAAAATGATGGTTTTCAATGATAAAATAATCAAATTTATTGGGTTTTAATTGCAAAATAATAATCAAAGAGCTTATGATTTTTTCTAAGTTTATTTTTAGGAAGGTGGTGATCAAAAATTATATTCGTTTCAACTAAAAAGATATAATAATTAGTAATATGAGAAAATCTTGAATGAGAATTCATAAAATTTTATTGTTCTATAATATGTTGAAGATGGATTGTTTTTGAATTAATTAGAAAGAGTTTCTTTTCTGACATTCACAGAAATACTATAGTAATTGAGCCAAGCTATTTTTTAACTTCATCAAAATAAAGTTTTAGCAAGATGTATTTCCTCTAATAATATTTTTATTGATCGTCAAGTCAATAAAATATATTTATTTGAATTTGGGTTCATCCCAAATGCTAATTTTCAATAAGTGTACAAAGCTAATTATGATATTTAATTAGTGATAAATATCATGAAGGATTTATATCTACGAAAGTAAAGTGAAAATAATTAGTTTGAAGATTTAATGAGAAATATAAGAAATTTAGAAATATAACTTCAAGATCTCGATGAAATATAAAGTTATCTTTAATTTTATTCACTTATTTAAGGTGGACCTTCATTAAATTAATTATAAAACTTATACACTTCGGAATGGGTATAAACAATGAACTAATTAATCAAAAATTAAGATTTTCTTTCTCCATTACCATTTGATATTCAGGACCCTGATTAAACAGATGATGATTGTTAACACCCAACATAATTAAAATTATAAAAACTTGCAACCAAAATCTTTTCAAATAAATATCCTACTCATTATGATTAAATAGGATTTATGCTGAGATTTTAGAGTGTATTAAATGATTAAAGCATAAAATTTAATTTGGACGAAAAATTAATTAATAAAAGAAGAAATAAAATTTGTGAAAATCGAATTAAGTTTTGTTAAGTTAATCGTGAAAAAATAGATGAAAAACTTCTTCCTCATATAAAACCCGAAGAAAATGAATAATTAGGAGATATTTTAAAAATATATAAGTCTCAAACATATAAAACATATAGAGAATTATTTAAAGATAAAGTTTTGAAAGTTTAAGAAACGGGAAAACCAGATTTAACTTTAGATGAAGCAAAAATTTGCTTTTTGCTGATTGCTAGTTTATAGTAATTTGATTTCTAAAATGTTTACTAAATATATCAATCTGAAGAGATAGTTGATAAAATCGAAAAGATTAAAGGAATTTTAGAAAAATATAACCCATAAATAATAAAATGATCATTATTAAACTTTCTTATATTATATCTCATTCTTAACAAATATAGGTGTAGGATCATTTTTTGGATTAAAACTTATTCCATCCAATAAATATATAAGAGATATTCCAATCAAAAAATTCAAAGTTCTTTTTAAATAAAAATTATATGAACCTTCTATTGTCACCTCACATTAAGGATTAGAATCTCTTAATTTCTGAATAATATACAAACTTTATTAATTCATAACATATCCAAGAATAAGTCCTTGAGATGATGAACTTTCTCTTGTTAAATGTAATTTGAGTCTATTTTATTAAGTATCATAAACCAATAAACCTATTTAATTCAAATCTCTTACCTGATTCAGAATGGTATAATAGATCTTGATCAACAGATTTTAATGATGTAAAATCTCCTTCAAAATACATACATTGATCTTCTTTAGTTAAATTAAAATGTTTTTTTTGAAATAAATCTGCTAATAACATATTAGGAATCTAATTTTGTTTATTAAGATGAATTGAAATATTTCCCAATATCATTTTATTTTACATCACCAATACTTTATAATTCAATCCTGATTTAGCTGATTCAAATGTTTGTCTTACTTACTTTTCAAATTACTAAAAAGCTCTTTTCATAAATTAATTATAATATATAATCATTTTTTTCTCTAAGAGTCTATAAGAGTTATTGATTTTTTATATGGTATTGCCAATTTGTCTTATGGTTTCTGATTTGTATGAGAGCTTCTCTAAGTTTCAATATGATCATTAGATGGTTTAATAAATATTTTAGGTCGCATAAGCCAAATTTTATATACCCAATTGAAACATTAATCTAAGGAAGATTGATCTTAATTTTTCAAATTCTTATATTTTAGATTTACAAATTACCAAACCTATATATAAAATCTATTAATTACAAGAAAACTATCCATATTTTAAAATTATTCTTATTAATCCCAACGAGATTCAATTTTCAAAGTACCTTATTACCATATATAACTACAACTTTACCATTTACCATATTCTTTTTCAGCATAATATTTAATTGCAATATACATTATTTTACTAAGTTTTATGGTTGTTGTACTAATTTAAAGTATTTACTCATATAATTATTATCCTAATGTAATTTCAGATCTACAATTTTATTTATAAATATACCCTGCAACTGGATACTCTTGATTTAAATCAATATTATGATTGAAAGATTTTTCTTAACTCAAAATAAGACTTGTTCTTTTATTAAGACTTGCTGTTTGAGATTATTCCAAACTTTTATATTGATTCTCAATTGCTCTACATAATTTAATTGTCTCCAAAATTACAAGATGACTAACTGGATTTTTATTACCTATTCCTAAAATTAATTTTGTTATATTGATTATATCATCATCAGTAGTTTTTATTAGATCCTTAAGAAAATGTGCTTTATTAAAATCTATTTCTATATATTACATAAACAATTCAGGTCCTGACATATTAGGATATTAATGTATATTTTAAACTAAGAATGATAAAAAATCATTTGGAGTTGTCTTCTAATCTTTGGCTCTTATTTACATGAGAAATATAATAGGATTTATAAGTAAATAGTCATCATTAAATCCAGGATACTCTAATAGATTTAATTCTTCATATGTAAATTCTGTATAAGATTTTTAATCTTTTCGTTTTATAAGAGTAGCCAAATTCTTTACAGTAGTACAAACTTATTTTTATGAATCTATCATATTTTTTTAAAAAACATTAAATTGAAAATCCATTTCTTTTAAATCTAAATTTATTTTTCTAATCTCTCCCTCTGCATTCTCTAAATTGTTTAATTCCTCTATTTTTGTTTCCAATTCAGAATACATTTAAAGCCATTTCAAATTCTCTTCTTTAAGATGTAAATTCTTTTTCTACTCTACTGCAACTCTTAATTGATGTCCTTTTATCTTTTAAATATATTTCTCTCTTAAAGCATCCAAACTAAACTAACAATCTTTTAATTATGCTTCTACCGCTCCAACTTGAATATCTAATAAGGCTTTATATCTAGTTTATGACCATTAAGTATTAAGATCAAGGAGTACTACCCAAAATTTCCATAATTATTCAATAAATACTGCCAGAGTTTTATCATCTATAATTTTAATTAATGTTGTTATAAAGTCATCCATTATATTTATAGCCTTGATAAAAAAATCAAATCTAAAATTATCTGTAATGTTTCTATCCTTCTTTTCCTTCATTCCAATTTAATCTTTATCAGCCAAAGTTTCATATAAGAATAATTCTTACATTACATTTTTATCGAGATTTATAAGTGTTTCATACATTTTAAAGAGTAAATTAGGATGCTTATCATAAAGACTCATTCCATGACTCAATTATTGAGTTTCATAAAAGTTAATATTAAGATGATTAATTACAGTAGGAGCCACTAATTTAGCTTCCTTTACAATTTTATCATGATTATTAGACATGAAAGATTCTTCTAAATATCTTTAATATATTTGTAATGGAATCTTAGATGCAGTCTAATTTTCAATGATTCTACTAGTATTTGTATAGCATTTTCTAGATGAGGATCCAATCTAAGCACTTTTGATCCGCTGACTAGTTTCTGTGTTTATACGAAGAACAGGCTTTTTAGTTTTATAAACTCTTTCTGTGTATTAACTGGCTAAATTTGTACTCAATGAATAAGCTGATTTGGCAGATTTCATATTATATTTTATATATAAATATTAAGTAACATAGAATAACTAAGCAGAACACATAATTTAGATATAATAAGAGATATCTAAATAATACACCTTTAAGCAACTAGACACCATATAAATTATTAATATAGTAAACTATTAATAATAAAAAATGAACCCAAAGTTGTCTATGGTATTACCATTGCCGTAATTGAAACCTGAAAATAATGATGAATACGAGAATAGAATCACTTTAAGATTATATATAGAGAAGTTGCTAAATTAAAAAGTGGGGAGGTATGATTGATGTAAAATAGATATCTGGAGATTATTTCAGGTATTGCAAGTTTGGCTAGTGTAGGAATATATATAGTTTCAACTTATTTTGATTCAGTTGAGTGGCTAGCTACTTTAGATATTGTAGTTTGTTCTTTATATTTGACAGAGTATTTATTAAAATTGTTTGCTGCTTAACATAGATTGTAATACATATTTTCTGATTTTGCTATAATTGAATTGTTAACTGTGTTCCCTCTTTTCACAATTTAATCTGTAGAGAATTGGAATTATTTATAACGATTGATTAATATTTCTCGAATTTTAAGAGTGTTCAGAATCATAAGGATGATCAACAAAATTTAATCATTATCAGATACTGAATATGGAGGAGTGACAAGATAAATCTATGTAATATTTTCAACTGTTACAACTATAATAATTGTAACAGCTGGAGTACTATATGCATTCGAATTACCAAAAAGATAAGATTTAATTGCAAATGATCCAAATAGAGGTTGCTCAAATCAGGTTGATAAATGCAATTTTCATGAAATGATATACTTCACTATAGTAACATTGTCTACAGTAGGTTATGGTGATGTGATTCCTTAAAGTGAAGAAGGTAGAGTATGTGTTATTGTACTTATTATTATTGTACTTGTTGTGATACCAAAATAGATGAATGAATTAATTAGATTAATGGGATTGCAAAGTGTTTATGCAAGATCATTCTATAAACCTAATCATGAAATTCCTCATATTATCATTTGTGGTTATGTTAGTGTTGCTTCATTAAAGAACTTTTGTAATGAATTATTCCATTAAGATCATGGAGGTTAAGATAAAAATGCCATCATTTTGAAACCCTCAATTCCTAATACAGAAATGGAAGACTTCTTACATAATGAGCGTTATGAAATGTTTCTTCTTTATCTATAAGGAAATCCTATGATAGAAAGAGATTTAAGAAGAGCAGCTGTAACTTAAGCAAAAGCTTGTGTTATCTTAACTAATAAATAAATAGTAGATAGTCATTCTGCTGATCATAAGAATATTCTTATTGGCTTATTGATAAAGAAATATGTGAATCATTTAACTGGTTGTAATATTAGATTATGTATGTAATTAATTAAACCAGAGAGTAAAATGCATTATAAATAATCATTGGGAGTTAAAATGATAACTGATTAAATTATTGTAGTTGAAGAATTTAAAATGAATTTATTAGCCAAATCTTGTTTTTGTCCTGGCATTATTACCCTATTAGGTAATTTAGTTACTTCTGCAGGAGAATAGAAAGAGAGCTTAGATTCAGAATGGCTTACTTAATACACTGATGGAATGGGACATGAAATCTATAGAACTGATTTGAGTTTCAAATTTCAAGGCAAAACTTTTAGTGAAGTAGCAGCTATTGTTTATAATGAATTCTCAGGCATACTTTTTGGTTTGGAATTAGATTTTGGAAAATAAGCAATTATTACACTTAATCCTGGAGTATTCATTATACCTATTGAATATAAAGTCCATGCATATATTATTTGTTAAGATAAAAAAGTGGCAGATCTTGTAGCTACTTATGATATGACAACTGAAGAAATTGCTAATTATCATTTCTCTTTGTCTTAACCAAATACTTCTGATAAAGACAAACCTAATGAAGAAGAAGAGAATTAAGCAGAAGATCATTTATTGTCTGGCAAAGATCAACTTGATGATTAATATATTATAGAGAAAGATTATCTCCTTCTTAATGAACCTGTTTCTTTAATGGATGCAACTTCAATATTTTTATTAGAATAACCTGAGATCAATAATCATATTGTTGTTTGTGGAATCCATCCTTCAATCTATTATTTCTTGCTTCCCTTAAGAGCCAAGTATTTAAAGGAAATTCAATATGTTGTTATCTTAGCACCTGAAAAACCTACAGAAATTTGGGAATATATCAATCGATTCCCAAAAGTTAAATTTGTATAGGGATCTCCACTTATTTCTGAAGATTTATAAAGAGCTAGTATTCATTGTGCAGATAAAGCTGTAATATTTGCATAAAGTTCTGATGCTAACAAAACTGAGAGTGAAGATTTTTTAGATTAAATGCATGATGCAGAAAGCATTTTTATTTACAAAGCTATTAAAAAAATTAATCCTTCTATTTAGATCATGATTGAATTAGTATCAAGTTCTAATATTTAATTTCTACTTGATAAAGATTATAAATATCAAAATGATTTCAAATATGAATTAGTAAGTATTAATTTAATTAGACACCTCTATAAGCCTCAGGAGAAGTCTACATTTCTGCCATGATTGACACACTCACTTGCCAAGCTTATTACAATCCACATATCGTAACCATATTGTAATAAATTCTCACTGGCATGAGATAGTCAAACCCAATAACCAAAGCTATTGTTGAAGATTTAGACATCAAGGATTCAAATCTATATCAAGTTCCAGTTCCTGAAGATTATTTAGTAATTTTTATTTTTTCATTTAGAATAAAACTTTTGGAGAATTATTTAATTATTTGTCTATTGAAAGACACTTGATTCCTTTGGGTCTATATAGATTGGCTAAAGCAGTTGATAATAAGCATCCATATGTTTATACTAATCCTCCAGCAGAAACGACTCTTACTCCTAGGGACAAGGTCTTTGTATTAGCTCATTAATTACCTGCAGATTTGAGTGGTATACCATTCGATGCTAATTCTGATCCAAAACAGTTAAATAACAAAGAAGTAGAAAATAATAAGGCTTTGAACTTTCTTTTAGAAAAATTAAAATAATAAACTTCATCTTAAAATGGTGTCAATAGGGTAGGTGAGTAATTATAATTATAATATAATTAGTAAAGTCAAAGAATGATAAGACTGTCATATTTTAAGGTTAACAAATTAAATAAGCTAGAAACATAGAAGCAGAAAGCATGAATCTAAGTAATGATTAAAATAATATAATTAAGATTCGGCAGCTTTATAGGTATTAGATTAAGTGAATGAATAAATTTCTATAGTTAAAGATTAAATAAATGATATAAAATCTAATTTGACATAAAAGGAAGATGAGATAGTTGAAAAGTGTAGAAGAGCTATCAGATATGAATTAGGAACAGTGATTTATTGATAATGAATATTTTGCTAAATATTATATAAATTCATTTATTTATTTTACTAAAGAAACTATTAAAAGAATCAAATAACTTTTATATTATATATGTATATATATATATAATTTAATAGAGAATAGAAAATTTAGATCCATAGATTACTCTTTTAGTTTATGAGATATAATTTTGAATTCATTAGGTATTCTTATAATTTGATATAATTTTATTTATTATCTGTTTTTTCATTAAGTTATATAATGTAAAATAGAGTTTTTTAGGGATTAAGAGTGGTTTCTTTATTAATTTTATTGATGGACCCTATTTTGGGAAATATTTTTGGTAAATTATTCAATTATTTTAAAACATGTAGTAGTTTGTTACAGTTAAGAAAAGTAGTTTATTTTTGTGTTTAGAATGATCTACATTTGTTTATAGGAACAAAATGTATATGAATTTCATTATTTAAAGTTGTCAATATAAAATTGAAATATGTGGCAATAATATCCAAATTAGAGAAATAATGAAAATAGTCGTTTTTTAAGGAATTTATAAAACTAAATATTTCATTATTATTTTTTATGAAAAACAGAACTCTTGTTTTGGTGCTGTTAGTTTGCGCTGCAGTGTAAGTATTAGGGGAACCAGTTGTTGTCTCCTAATCCTTCACAGGAAATGATTTTGCTGATGCTGATGGTAATATTATTTATTAATGATTTAGGTTGGGTAACTGCTGGAGGACCAGCCCATGTTACAGAGTGCAGTGGTACAAAGATGTTCGGAGGTTTTGGAAAGTTTGGTGCCAAGGCCGTAGCAAGTAAAGTTTTTGAACTTCCCCCACATTCATTGATTAATTTGAAGCTCCAATTTTGGAAGTATGATACATTAATAAACGCTTAGGATCGACTCATGGGACAATGAAGAAGGATATATCTTTGTTGATGATTAACTTGTCTGGTCAAGAAAATTCTAATACAATGAAGGTGATGGTCAAAAATGTGGTTAAGGTGGTGATTGGAAAGAAATGCTTGTCAATCTCAACTTGAACATTAAACACACTGGTCCAACAGCAGTTGTTGTTATCACATCAAACTTGAATGAAGCTGCCGATAATGTAATATAATAATATTTACATATTTAGGAATCATGGGCCTTCAGAGACTTCGTTATATCAGTAGAAAAATGCCCAAATGGATGTTCTGCTTGTTAAGTTGATGATAAATCAGAAAACTGTAATTTCTGGTAATCATTTACTTCAAGTTGGGGTGCTTTAGATGCTAACTAATTAGGTGCCGATGGTTGGGATGTTGCTGGTGGAGCCTCATCTGCTACATAATGTGGAGGTATTATAATATATTAACAAATTTAGCTGCTGCTTTGTTTGGAGGTTTTGATAAGACAGGTGCTAGAACAGTCATCAGTAAAGTTATTAAATTCAAACCCCATTACAAGCTTAAGATTAAGGTTCTTTGGGCTAAGATTGACTCTTGGGATAATGAAGCTGCTTAAATCAAAGTTGATGGAAAATTAGTTTGGGAAAGAAGATTCTAATGGCATGAGGGTTACTTTGGTAAGATCTGTGGTTGCCCAGTATTTGAATGGAAAACAATGTTTGCTAGAACTGAAGTCGATGTTGATCATACTGGTGAATAAGCTAAAGTTGAATTCACATCAACACTTGATGAAGCACCAAATAATGAATCATTTGGTTTGAGAGATTTGTATATCTTTTATGCTGCTTGTTCTGATAACTGTGCTGAATGTACAGGACCAAAAGAATCTGATTGCAAGAGTAATTCTAAATTTATAATAAAATAGAATGTGCAAACAATTGGGCTTTAGTTGGAGGTAAATGTTAAGCCTTACCAAACTTTATTCTTTTGGAATAATCTTTCTTGGAAGATAAATTCACAGGAATTAATGGTTGGGTTCTTAACAAAAATAAAGCTGGAAGAACTATCAATGAATGCGGAGGTAAATCAATGGTTGGAGGTTATGATATTATGGGTGTTGGTGCTAGTGCTACTAAAACATTCGATATTCCACCACACAAAAGACTTAGATTGTAATCAACAATCTACAAAATTGATTCTTGGGATGGAGAATTCATGATCATTAAGGTTGACGGAACTGATGTATGGAAAACATCTTGGAATCTTTAAACTGGAGGTGCCAACTTCTGTGGATGGGGTGTCTTTTTCGATGGTATTGTTGGTGTTGATGAAATATTCAATCATCAAGCTCCAAAGGCTGAAGTTGTCTTCACATCTACCTTGGATCAAGATGCTGCTGATGGTAAATATAGTATTAATAACATTATAGAATCATGGGGTTTCAGAGACTTCAAATTATGGTATGAACCAAAGGAAGCATGTGCAGTTTTCTATAGTGAATGTGACTACAAGGGAGCTTCATTTGAATTCTGCTCTAAATCACCAAACTTCTAAAATGACAACATTCCACCATAAATTAGATCTATCAAGGTTCCACCATAAGGAAGAGTTACCTTATATGAGAGCACCGATTATAATGGAAAGAAGGTTACTTATACCTCAGATCAAGCTTGTATCCAAAACTTTGATGTAATTATTTTAATTATATTAAATTAGTTTGCCCTTATTTAAATGAGCGGACATGTTGAAGGAGGCTGGGTTGAAGTTTAATGATCAAATATAAAACATAATAGATCTAAAAATAAACATAATTTTTAAATATAATTATAGAAATATCATTAAATTTGTGATAATAGTCCAAATTGTTCAAATAATTTATCACAATAATAAAATTAATGGCCAAATAATTCTTATAAAAATTGATCGATTGCTTTCATTTATTTTTTTGTTGTTTCATGATCCTATAATGAAACCCTTAAATTTCTTTCTTATTATATTATTTTTGTTGCTTCTTTTATTTCTTCAATTGTTTTCACACATTCTGAAATAATTGTTTTTTTCTCTGTCTAAATTGTAAATCTTAAACTATAATAAACAATTGATGTAAAAGCCTCTGATACTTCTGAATGAAAGCAATCAACTTTTATTTATTTGATCTATAAAAAGTATTCTTTTTAAGTAGAATTCAAGAATTTGTTGCTATGTCTTTATACTCTAGTCTCTTCCTCAATCTTTTTAACTAATCCATATTTATTCATAATAGATTCTGGAACATTGAAATATTCTAATATTTCTTTTCTCATTAGAATTGGATTCTAACTCATTCCATCCAACCATTATTAAATATAAAACAATTTCTTTTCTATTTCAGCATCTCCATATGATGGTTTTGGTAAATGTCCATTTGCTAATTAATATAATTCTCCATATTAACAATTTTAAACCCATTAATCATTTTTAACTTTTATGGTTATAGGAATCAGAACTTTATGTTAATAGTTAATTAGTTTTTTAACAACTTATTTCCCTACTATAAATTGAACTTTTTCCATTTTCTATTAAACATAAACTCCACTCTCACTTTCATCTTCAGATAATGTGGCTGAACTTAATTCATCCTTATATCTTTCATAATCACTTTTCTTATCATCATATAAATCACTATTTTAGGATTTATTGTCATCATTTTTATCTTAAAATTCTTCAAAACTTTTAATTCTTTTCATCATTCTGTTTTTTTTTGCAATAAGTCCTTCATCTTTTTATTTCTTTTTTTTCTGTTATTTTTTCTTATTTAATTCCAATTGAATTTTTTAAGGAATCACAATGAGTTTATCAGGATATTCATTGTCTTCAACAAAAGGAAATTATTATAAAGGAATAGGTTCTTATTTTAATGGACTCTCAGATCCTCCTAATTTATCGATATCAACAATTTCAATAACTTGTTATTATCCTTGTTAAATTATAGGCTAAATCTCATTGTATGATTGATGTTCATAATATTTCAATTCTTCCAATTAATCATCTTAAATTAGTCTAGTATCTACTTTATTTATTTTTTCGATTTCATCATCAGAACGTATAACTTATTATTACTACTCATATATTTGTTCATTTTAATGATCTTATTTAATTTCTCTTTAGGATTAGGATTTATTTTCAGAAACTTATCCTCTAATTAAATTTGATTTTGGAATATCCTCTTTAAATGATGGATAAGAAATTTCTTCAGATTGGGAATTCTCTTCTATTATTATTTGGGATGAACTAACTCTTCGTTTGCTTTACAATTTTGGTGAATCAAAAATTTCAATTTTTTTATCCCAAATTTCATCATCATCTTTGGAAAATACAATATCCATAATTACAGGTTCAGGATGTTTTAGATCTAATTTTGTTGATTATCTAGTTTAATTAATTAGGAACTAAGCCACTTAAGAAGTTGGATGTTACTATTGATGACTTTAAGTTTATTGATTATGTAATAAAGGATCTTGAATTGCTGTTTCATTCAATTCATGTAATTCTATCTCTTCAAAATAAGTATTTGGTTGAAATTTCAATAAAATCAAGTATTAAGCAATGACATTATCCTATTGCTCAAAGAATTCACAAAAAGGGTCTATAAAATGAGATTAAATAAATAGTTACTATATTCCAAAGGATCATCACCTCTGTATCGTTAGTAAATCACCAAAAGTGATGATAAAACTAAACTAAGGAAGTCAAATATTTTGAGAATGGTTTCATTGCAAATTAAATTGAATAGAAAAATGAAAGGTAAAAAAGTTAAGAGTGATTCTTGATGAAAGATTACTGTAATCCCAAATGAGTAAAATAATCCAATGATTAAGAAGAGACAACATAAAGCAGATAGTAAGTCTTTATTTAAAAGTGCAACAAATAATTCAATTATTTGAATGATTGCAATTTAGAGTTAAAAACCAATCTTAACCTTTAAGGCAATAGTTTCTGGTTTATTTCTAATTTATTTATATCCTTTGATTTTAATTTATGCATAGCCAGCATAGACAAGTGGAAATAGTCCAATAGCAAATTAATCCATAATAATTAATAAAGTAATATTATGATATCACTATGCGAAGGTCACCAATTTGTCAGGATGATTAGATTGCTGTTCAGAATTGGAAATTTCAATTGATTGTCCATCTAGAGTAGTGTTGCTTTCTTTTTTAATTTTAGTCATTTCAGAATAGCGTATACGCTGCTGTAATCTTCTATGTTCTCTTTGGATTAGGGTGATTATAGCTATTACCAGCAAAACAACAATAACAAAAACTCCTATAAAGACATATATAGCTGAGGATTTAGTGTTATGTGTTTACTTAGTAGAATTAGTTGAGTTCATCATAAAAATGATAATAATTAATATATTTTAATCATATTTCAATTTATTAAAATGTATCGATTATATTCTGATATTTGTTAATATAAAACATAACTTATTCAATTATAGATATATATAAATATAATTTAATTTTATGAATAAGAAATCTGTCACTTAAACTGAGAGAGCAAATAGTGCAGCAGCAGGTAAAACTTAAATTAGTACATAACACAAAAATACTTTTATGACTTAAGCATAAAAAACTGAGAATTTGTAAAATAATATATGTAATTTTTAGACTCAATGAAATTGTTGAATAGGAATGTCCACTATATACATAATATAAATAAAAGAACTCTAAGAATCCAATTATGAAGATTAAGGAATTTAAGAAACCATAACCAGATCCTGTCGATCATACTGATTATATTAAGTTTAAGAAAATGAAGAATAACTTTGTAAAAGAATACAAAGAGAAATTAGATAATTATTTTGGAAATAATACAAAATATGAAAGAAGATTTTTCAAAATATATCATAGAAAAGATTAAATTTACTTTAAGCATAAACATTCCTCTTAAAAACATATTGAAAATCCAGAAGTCACAGATATGAGAACATATAATTAGATTTTATAAATGAATTAATAATAAACTCAACGTGCAAATTTGAATAAATAATAAGAAAAGAGGAGAAGAGAATTAAAATTAGAAGAGAAAGAAGAAAAAGAATACATAAAACTTATTATGGATAAATTTTTGAAGGAAGAATAGAAATATTTTGATAAATTAAGTAATTTGGAAGAATAAGGTTAATAAATGTTTTAAGAAAAAGTATAATTAAGAAATAAATATACTCATGATTATATTAAAAATCCATAAAGAGAATTTGTAGAGAAAAAGGACCTCATTATAAGTAAAGCTATATAGGTTCCAGATTATATGAATTCATCAGTCATTAGTAATGCTGGATCATAAATGTAATCTTAACCTACTCTAGGTTAACCTAACATGCCTTTTTCAAGTGCCTTTTCAAGTTTCCAATAGTTACCATCTTTTAAAAATGTATTACAAAGAATGAATTCTAATGCTTTATATCATTTACCTGTTCCTTAGATTTAAGAATATGACTTAAAACCAGGAGAACAAATCAAAAAGCCATCAACATATCAGACATAATAAATTTTAGATCTATAAAGATTAATTACATTAAATGAAAAAATTGAATTCACATTTAGAATTGTTAGTGAACCTACATTATTAACATTAATAGATTCTAATGGTTGTACATTATTACATTAAGCAGCTTTAAAAGAAAGAAATGGAATTGCAAAATTTTTATTGATTAAAGGTATTGATTATAAAAAGAAAGATAATAAAGGTAGAACTGCATTAGATATAGCAATTTAATAAAAAAACCAAAAATTAATAGATTACATAAATCAAATTAAGAAAAAAGGACTCAAAGATATAAATTGAAAAAAATCATTTTGTATTTATTCTCAGAATTCTCAATTAAATTTCATATAATATTAATTATAATCATGTAAGTTGACTCACCTCTTCACACTCCAGCCAAAAAAAACTGTACTTTCAAAGTAGATGGTAGACCAGATGGAGAAGGGTATTCTTGATTCCTATATAGTTATTTGAATAAGAATGATTCTTAATATGGTATCATTGTCATCTAAGAATGGTGGGGTTTGAATGAATCAATGGTCAAAACTACTGACAAACTAGCTCAGAAAGGTTTCTAATGCATCTCTCCAGACATATATAGAGGAAAAGTTGCATAAAATAGAGAAGTATCATTTCTTTGTTCTAGAATAATTCCAGGAAGCTGGTCATTTAATTAGTGGTTTAGATTGGGAAGGAGCAGTGAGAGATATAGAAGGAGCAGCCAAACATTTAAAAGAATTAGGATGTACTAAAGTTGGTGTTACAGGGTTCTGTATGGGTGGAGCATTATCAATTGCTTCCATATCATTTTCTAATTAAATTGATGCATCAGCTCCTTTTTATGGAGTATGTGATTTGAATACTTTCAAATTAGAGAATATCAATGGACCTATTTATGGTCATTTTGGTGAGAAAGATGAAATGAAAGGATTTTCATCACCAGATGATGCCTAAAGATTAGTTGATGCTGGAAAGAAGGCAGGAAAAGATGTTACAGTCAAGTAATAATTAATAGTTATTTTAAATAGAGTTTGGCCAGGAGTAGGACATGCTTTTATGAATCAAGATAGACCAGAAGCTTATAATGTGGAGACAGCATAATAAGCATTAGATGAAGTGACAACTTGGTTTAGAAAAGTATTCACATAATGATATATATTTATTATGTAAAGATTCATTATCTATATATATATATATATTATGCAAAGTGAAATTAAAATAACTTATGTAAACATAACTCCTTTTATAGAATTCCCACTAAATATTATACAATAATTTTATAATTTTTTTTTTCAATCAGAGACTATAAATTCTTCATACTCTTCAATTAATAAATGAACATAATTCAAGATTTTGTATTCTTATAAAGCAATTTTAAAACATTGTGCAAAATCATAGTATTGTGATGAAGTTATTTTGAATCTTTTGTGAATAATTTATAAATCTTATTTTTTGAAAAATCTAATTCCATAAAGAAGTAAATTTAATTTGCATAGAATGCTTTAACTCATTTCTGCTTCTTCAGTTTCATATATTTTATTTAAATGTCTTTAAAAAAATTCATATTCTAAAATTGAAACTAATTTTGGTATTAAATAATCTTGACCTAAACTTAATATTTATTATTCTCTTGTTTCCCCTAAAATTATTGGTTTAATTTCATCCCAATCTTCAATAAAATCTTAAATTACTATGTTATCATTAGTTAAATCTTTTACTGATTCAACAGCCTTTTATTTGAATCTATCAAAAATCTTCTCATTTATTATAGCTTTTTTTGAATGAATTAAATATAAATCTTCTCTAGTAACAGCTTTTATGTTATAACGAAAAAAGTAATGAAAAATATTACAACAATGTGCAATAAACTTTTATTTTCCTCTACGTTATATCAATTCAGATAACATTGCATCTTATGAACAACTATTTACAAATTTTTCAATAAATTAATTAAAACCTAATTAATTAACATAATATTAAAGATCATTTTTATTTATGATTGCATATTTATAGATATCCATTCTTCTTAATAGTTGTCTTATATTCTTCCATGGTATACCAGACTATTATAAAGTTAATGATAAATAGTATTTAAAATTTGTAAGTTATACATTTGTTAATGCATATTTTACATGTCTTTCTCTAAGTACTTCACATGAATAATTTGGTGAATCTAAATGATAAATTAATTAAAAAAAGAGTCTAGCAAATTTCATTTCTTAAGTAGCAACATCAATCTTTTCAAAATAAGGTGATAATGTGACATCTGATAGAATCTTTTTATACATTAATTTTGTAATAGCTTTAATACCTTCTTCACCTCCATAAATTTCAAATTCTAATATTTCATTAAGTATATAAGGACGAACATTTTCAATCCTTTCACAACAATTAAACATCTTTTCTGTTGAGATGTTTAATTACATGTACTTATTAAGAAAATGATATTTAAACTTAAAAAAGTGAGCATGTGTTAATTACATACCTAAATGTATTATTCTTAAACGTGGTAAATCTAAAAACATTTATTGATCATATGCAGTAGCTAAAAGATTTCTAAATACTTATTTTACTCCAGGTTAATTTTTATTAGGAAACTTAACACTTAATATATTATCTCTTCTTGTTATATCTAAATATATTTAATCAACTTCAAAATTCAATAATTCATCTGTCCCTTAAGGTTTAGGTGCTACTTTTCTTTTTCGAGATAATTCCATTAAGTATCCCTTAATTATTTAATCTTATGATTTAATTGGTACCAATTATTATTAACTATGATATCTAGATGATTTTTGAATAACATCATTAAGTAATTCAGAATTTCTAATTAAACAATAATTTTTATCCTTTTATTTCCACTCATTCTTACGAAATTATGATAGACCTGACATATTGCTCTTTTCACTCTCTAATGTTTTAAATCGTAAACTTAATGGAGGATCTATATGTGTACTCTTAGAATTAGTAATTGCATAACTAAAATTTTATTCAATTTAGATAGAATTCCTTTAAGGTTGATATTTAGTTAATAGAAACATTGGATTCAATTTTGGTTGTCTTCTTTTTTCAGGCTACTTTTTTCTAATTGCATATGTTTCCAAAAAATCCTTAAATGATTATTAAGTGTCTTATATCATTAAAAAAAAAATAAAAAATTTAAATCAATCAAAAACTATATGTTTCTTGTAATCATCAATAACATCAATAACCCATTATAATTTAGATGGTTCATCCTACATTACAACCTTCATGGCCTAAAATTTATATGTAATTTTAACTTATTAAAATTCAAAATATGCTTATTCACGAATACGTAATCTTTTGTGAAGAACTTCAATATCTGTACGTTTGTAGAAATGTAATCCATAAAGAATTAAATTTAATTTGCATTTTAAATTAGGACCAACTTAAGATTCATTATCCTTTAATATAATGATATAGATATTACTTCAAATACTTTATAAAGTAATGGTCGTTACATAATTTCATTTTCTAATTTAGATGCAATACGATTAATTACTGCTTAACCTCCAAGTAATTTTATAGTAGTCTTTTTAGGTTTATTCATAAGAATAGGTGTAATTTCTTCCCAATCTTCTTCGAAATCACTTAATAAAATTGGATCATTTGTTACTTTGCCTACAGCTTGCATAGCTTTTTCTTTAAATTTCCTATATACTTTTTCTGAAATGATTGTTTTATTTTTATGAATAGATTCTATATCATCATCTGTGATTGATTTTACATTGTCTCTGAAGAAATAATGAAAGACATTTTCACAATGAGCAGTAAATCTTTATTTACCTCTCTTTTAAACTAAATCATATAGTATAGGTTCACTTGAACAAAGACGCACAAAGTTTTCAATAAATTCTCTATATCCTCCTGGAGCATTATTGATACATTCTTAGAGTGAAGGTTTATTCAAAATAGCAAATTTATAAGTATCCATTTTTCTTAATAATATTCTTAAATGTTTATATCCAATTCCTAATTTTTATAAAGCAGTAGATAAATAAAATTTGAAATTAGCCAATTAAACATGTGTTAATTTATATTTGACATGTCTTTCTCTAAGTACTTCAAGAGTATAATTAGGAGATTCAGTATGATCAATTAATTAAGCAAATAATTTAGCAAATTTAGTAGCTTATTCTTCTAATTCAATTGCTTTAAAATATGGACTTAATGTGTAATCTTTGAATATCTTTTCATACATATTCTTAGCTACTTCATTAATTCCAGATTCTCCTCCAAATATTTCAAAATCACTTCTTTAATTTAGAATCAAAGGTTTAAAATTTTCTAATTTATAACAACCTTTAAAAAGCAATTCTACAGGAGTTTCCATTTCCATATATTAATTAATAAATAGATATTTAAATCTAATAAATTATTCTTTCTTTATGAAAAGTGGAGCATGAATACTTCTCATTCTAAATGGATCAAGTAATATTTCTTATGTATATCCAATTCCTAAAATACTTTTATAAATATCCTTCAAGTACTTAAGGTGTTTTCCAAAATATTTATTTTTTAGTTAACGATCTTAAATTACTCTATGATAAAGTGATTCAGAATGTTAATCAAGTAATTCATTACTACCATATTATTTGATTTAAGTCTTTATTATCTTTTAGAATTTAGTCTCAAAAAATTTGCTTATGATTTCTGTTTATGTCTTTGGAAGTTGTTTTAATTCACGATGTTATTATTATTATACTTTTGGTCTTCTAAGTTACTCTAATTATTCATGAACATTTCTTAAACTATTGCTATGTGGATTCCTGATTTTATGTTAAAAAGGAGTAAATTTGAAATGAACTGGAGTATTAGGTAGAACAATATCACAAATCTAAGAATCACTAATCATAGGTAATTGATATAATGTTTTGGTAGGTGATTACTCTTAACTTCTAAAACTCTTAACTTTATTTCCAAACTCATTAATTGACACTTGACTTTATGAGCCATGTTTAATTATGAACTGATTCTAAGGTTCTTAACGTAATAGAGAACTTAACTATTTTTCCCATCTTTATTTCTTTGACATTATTGGAGAAGTCTAAAGAGTAGACAATTGTCCTGTGCTTTAGAATTTTTAATCTTCTTTTATTTATTGCTATTGCATGAAATCTCTAAAAGTCATGCTTTTATTATCATTTTTAAGATGCTCAGTTGGATATTTGAAAGGACATCTAGAAGATGAGGTTACATTACTCATAATAATAATAAATTATATTTATCCTAATATTTATAGACATACTTAATCATCTATTTGTAATGTCAGAATATGTTCATAATCATATTATCATTATATCCCTATTAATTTACATTCAGAATATTCAATAATTTTTTTATATTTTTCTGCACTTTTTCTATATATATGACTACATGTAAAGTTCAGCTCAATTTATATCTATACTATCATAATAAAATTGTTCAAATTGAAATATCAATATTGACTCCATAATTAAATTGTTAATTCAATACTACACAAGAAAATTTGAATATTATTAATATATAAGTTTGATTAAACTATCTAAAATAATGAAAATATGCTCTTTATTATATTAAAAAGTTTAGAATATTTAAATTGAAAATAGTCACTAATGGAAACTAAATCTTTTCTCAATATCACATTGTGTTATTAAATATAAAATAATTATATAGAACATAGATGTTAGTTAAAACATTTTTAAAATGAGACAATTTAAATTTGTAATAATTACTAGAGTATTAATTAAGAACACTTCTATTTTTAAATTGATTTAAAAATTACCTTATAATTCATTTTCAGTATTCATATTTTAAGACATTAAAATCTTTCATTTATCATATCCACTAATTTAAATATCTATTTTTTCATCTTAAAATCAATTATTTAAATTATAAAATCACATCTATATTAAGAATAATCAGTTGTTTAGATTTTTCAAAATAATTCCATAAAATGTAATTATAGGTCAATACCAATTTTAGGTTTCTTAAATATTTAAGTTTTATTATAATGATAATCATTATAATTAAGTAAGTTTAATATATCCATAAATTTGAATATTTAAAAGATAACATTAAAAATAAAAAATCAATAATTATTATATCAAAAATAAAGGTTTTACATATTTTTCACTTTTTAAAATCTTTGAATTGATTTTAGTGTCACAAGTGTTTTTGATGATGGAAGATTTAATTTTTCATAAAGTATTAATATTTATCCATAAATTAAATTAGAATTACTCTTTCATTTATAGGTAAAAACCTTATGGTTGATTATAAATAAATTTTCTTTAATAGGAAAGTAACAATTTAAGATTATATATCAGTTATAATATATTCAAAATGAAAAATAAAATAAAATTATAGAATTTTAGATAATAATCTTGTATATATTTTAATATTATCAATTTAAATTGATTTATTGAATGAAAATGAGAAAAACATGTTTTATCTAAGAAGAACCTTATTTTATAAGTAAATTAATGTTTTAAAAATTATTTGAATTACAATTAATTTCATTATAATTTAATTCTAAAATAATAATGAAGATTTTTATTTTAAATCCTTGCTTTGTAATTAATATTAAATAATTTAATTGTGTCAATAATCAATTTATTATAGATCGTAAAAATAAATAAAACTATCCTCAATAAAATCAATTAAGCTTAAATGGGTACACATTCTAATTTGAAATGAAATCTGTTGCTGGAGTGTGGACTTATAATTTAGCTTATTTTGGGGATAAATACTAGTACAATTAAGTTCTTATTTTAAATAATTGAAATACTTCGAAGACAATTAATCAGATTCATCAGTAAAGAAAGGATGAGCGATACAGTCATAAGCATTATATCTTAATTTAGGATCGAAGTTTAGCATTTGATGCAATAAATCAAGAGCATTTTTATTTTTAATATGAGAACTAATTCGAATATCACCTGTTTGATTTTGACCAAGATCTTCATAAATAGGTTTACCAATAAGTAATTTATGAAATACAGCTCCTGCACTAAAAATATCAATTTTTTCAGTGATTCTAGAAGATGAAAACACTTCAGGAGCAATATATCCTCCAGTTCCAGCTCTAGAATTTGAAGGATTATTGAGTAGACAGAGTCCTAGATCAATAATTTTGATTTATAGAGGGTTAAAAGAAGCAATCATGATATTATCATATTTAATATCTCGATGTATGATTTTTAATTAATGCAAATGATTTAAACCTATTTTAAATAGATATAAAAATACCTTCTAAAATCTGTTACATCACTTCTTAGATGATATGTATTGGTATATTAAAATTGTACATTTTCTAAAGATCATAGAGTGTGCCTTGAGATAAATAATCCATAACAAGGTAGCAATGTATGTTATCAATGTAATATGAATTAAAGCCAAGTACATTTGGATGAGGGTTCTTTTGAATTAGTTTCAGTGCCAGTAATTCTTCTGGGGTCTAAATTGTTTTTTATTGGTTATTTACTTCTTGATAATCAATGAGTTTGATAACTTAAAACTGATTTTCTTGTTTGACAAGCATTATCTAAAAATGATTAGTATATAATGATACTTAACATTTCTAGTTGTTTCTGACATGTTTAACAAATTTATAATCTTATTCCCAGTTTGTAAAACCAATTAAACCACTTAAAATACTTTTTAACTAGCTGAGCTGGTCATTGCTACCACCAAAGGTATACCTTTTAGTATTTTATTTACATAGAGTGAAACCTTCAATGTCTTTAGAATGACTATAAAGTATATTGTTTAATTTTACTGAGAGTATTCCCAATTTAGAACATAATGTGTAGTTTAAAAATTGATTTCTTTATCAATTTTTTCACTTCTACTTGTTTTTCTGAGTCCACTTAATAATAGTCTGTTCTGATAAACCGTTAATGTAACAGTACATCCGTTTCGAATGATTTATGATAACTTTGTAGTAAATAAAAAAGACTGAGAACAATTTTTCATTAGATTAAAATTACATACAGTTTTACTCTCTAAATAATTATCAATATTTGAAAAATATAAAATATATAAAATGAATATACATCATGGTCATTAAGACTCTATTCTAAACACTTCATTGGCTATTATTGTAATAAATAATAATTGATCTAGAATCAACATCATAATACCTTTGATATTTTAGTAGATGATGAATCTGAACATAAGTTCTGGACTAATAAAAGAAAATATCAATTAAAATGTCTGTTAAGAAGAATTGCTCTTATGCTATATAATTCTGGTCCTGTTTATTTTAGTTACATGATTGTGAGTCTCTATATTTTTAAATTACTACGTAAAGTTGATACAGACAAGACATTTCGATAATAATATATGAAGTAATTCATTTTAATCTATATTGTAATTAAGGTAATACGTCTATGATTATATGCTTTGTATTTGCATAGCCTGTATTTATACAATCTTTTTGTATGGTCTGTTTAATCATTCAGGTAACTTCAAATCCTAAACATTAAAGAATTGTCAGAGGTGAATAGAGAATATTTTCATTGGGCAGTTAATTGTGTCTTATTCATTATGTTATATGCAATATTCATAACTCAAAAGGAGTTGGTTAAAATAGAAGAAGTGGAAATAGAAAAAGCTGTAAAAAATTTAATATTATGATTTAGCAATAAATTAGAACTTAAAAAGACAAAGAATAAAGATATGTGTTTTCTTTCAACTTTTCTTTCTTATTTAGCCAACAGAATTTCTATAATATTGGTTTAGGTAGAGCACATATGGATTTCATTAGAGCTTAAGATTCTTAAGACAAAGATAATCTCAACACTATTCAATAATTCTCTAAATAAGTTGATCACATAATTGATAAAGAGAATTTAGATCCTACTATGATTTACTTTAGCATGTGTTCAGATTTTATAAATAGTGAAATATAGGCATCACCTATGACTAAAAAAAGGAAATCAAAATTAATTAAAGAAGTAGAGAAGGCAAAGTCTGTTTTGGATTATCTTTAAGATTTAGGATTTAATGGTAATAGAAGTGTATTCTAACATTTTCTATTACCACATTATATTTATACTAGAAAATATTTAATTCCTGATAGAAATTTATAAATCTTAGTAGTAATAACTTTAATCACTCTAAAAGTATTAATACCAATATTCTTTTTATTTTGGCCTATTCATCCTTACACTCTCATTTATTCAGTTATTTTTATGGGATTTTATATGCATTTTTTATCGGTTATATTCTAATTAGTATTAAATGATGATCTGAAAACTAGAAATTATATTTTATAAGCTTTAAATAAAATTATTACTATAGATATGGATTAAGAAAATGCTTTACATGAATTAATTGATATTACATGTTCACTTAGTCTTTAGAGTTGGAATCTTATGAGAACAGTTGTAATTTATATTGAAAAGAAAAAGAAAACTGAATATAATTATGTTTATGGTTTTCTTGCTCTTTATGGAGCAATGTGTTTTGGTGGATTTACATTGTGCAATTTTGAATTACCATTTATGAGAGCTATAAATTATTGTGATGATGATGTTCTATTATATAACATTCATGCAGATATAGTATTATCTTTTGTAATATGTATGGGTAGAATCTACCAAGGTTCTAATTTCAATCAGACTTTTAATGAAATAGATGCAGTAAACAATGATAATTACATTAGAATATTCATAAACTTACTGCAATATATGAAGATTTATACACATTATTTGATTATTATTTTAAGAATAAAGATATAGTAGATAATAGAATATATAGACAAGTGATTGAATTGATATACACATATTAAAGAAAGAGAATGTAAATGCCAATATAAAGGAATGTTAAAAATAAAGTAGATATAATAGAAACTGAAGAAATGGTAATAATGAGAGAGAAAGTAGCAGAAATGAAAAGTTGTTTAGAAAAGATATAAAGTAATGTAGAAAGAGATGTAAAGAAATGTCATGATAAATTTATTGGTATATTTGATGCCAATTTCAAAAAACAAATGAGAATTATGATATTTGTTATAATTACATTTGTACCATCCTTATCAACAAAGTAATATAATATTAATATTATTATAGAGTATACAAATATCTTAGTCAGATGATGTGATTTAAAATATTATTATATCTATATAAATAAATCAATATTTAATAATATTCCATAAATCACTTAATTTAACATCTCCAGGTAGTTTCTAAATAGCTAATCCCAATTCTTAACAATATACTATATCATTTTATGTATCATTATTTTCATTTGCTTGATATCTAGCTGCTTAATTATATACACTCTAAACTACTTATACTCTTTCATCAAATTTCTAAACAGCAGGTTATTATTTCTCTTAAACTTCAATTCCATATATAGGATTTTCAATATAAAATGCATGTAATTTATTACATTCTTTTATCATATTATCTATTTCAATATTTCTGTAACCTACAAAATATCCTCCAAATTCTGAATATGTTTCAATTATCATAGTATATAAACCTTTTGTAGTTTTTTTACTTATTTTCTTTACTGCTATCCATGGTATACTAATATTAAACAGATCATTTGTAGCAGAATACCAAACAAATCGAACATTTGTAAAGATAAGAGTACCACTCACATCTTATTAATCATTAGCAACACTAATTGTATTCAAATATTGATTAATTATTTATTCTCTTTCTGATAAATTGAGTTTCTTTTGGGAAATCATTGCGAATTATACTTTTATTTCACGATGTAATAGAGTTTAAGTATATAATCTTTAGATATTTACTAATGATTCATAAAGTTTTTTATCTGGACTATTAAAATGGAATTCATATTTTTATCCAGCATTTTATCCATAGTTTAGTTTGGTTCGAAAAAGAGTTCCAAATGTACGATTATTATTAGTGACTTTCTGTTCAATATGAAATATTGTCCCCAAACCAATACTGAGATTCACACTATTATTACGTTCACTCCACCATAAAATTCTTGTGTTTGTTATTATTAATCGACCAAATTGATCTGGGTTTCCTTTAATGTCTTCCACATCTTACCACATGTATAAGGTTTTTTCACCTTTCTACATATTCAACTTAGAGACAGCAATATCAAAATGAATGGTACGATCGTACAGAAATTCTTCACACATAATAAATATTTCATATTTAAATATTCACAAATTTAGGATGAACTCTCTTATACAATTAGAGACTGATAACATCATTAGGTTTGACAAAATTATTGAACATACATTTCATTAAACCATGTGTACCTAAAGGTTCTAGAATATTTCCCTAAAGAATAAATAAATAAATATAATACTCTTAATCCCAATTTCGTAGAGAGTTCTATAGGTTTAAAGAATTTGATATCAAGTGGATTGAAGAACATCATTCTGATGACTGCTTTCCTCTTATTTATTTTTACAGGATATCCAGTAAGAACAATTCTCTTTAAGATTACTTGGAAAGTATCACATCTTTATATATCTCCAACTCCCATAATTTCATTGTTTCTGAAATCAAAATCATTTTACCAAAAGATAACAGGTTGTTATGGAAATGAATTATAAAAATAGAAAGAAGCTAAATAAAATGTATCATCCTTTATTTCTTTAACATATTTTGTTTTACTACAATTCTAAATATTAGATATATATAATTACATTAAGAATACGAGAATATATTGGATTGACATGAGCTCTTCTAAATCCAATTTATGCAAATACTTAATGTTTGGATTTGAGAACACAATTATGCATCTAATGTCTATGAAATCTCACATGCATTTATGTCATCTTCCTTTCATGTTTTAATAATCCAGAAATAACATATATCTTATTAGGTTAAGTAAGTCTTTGCACAATCAATTCAGGTACATTTCTTAATGTAATTTTTATTCTTTATCCAGGTTTTATTTATTCCTTCTGTTTCATTTCTTCCAAAACATCCTACTTAATCTTTTTCAAAAATCTGAAATTATAGATTTTTTCAGCCTCATCTGGTAAAAATGTAAGAGGATCAAATTCACTAGTTCTAATATTCTTTAATCCTTGATATTTATCATATCGTTCCCTCAATTTAACTTCAACTCCATATTCAACTTCATCTTCATAATCTAAATCTTCAGGATCTCTATGTAAAATTTCAAATTATTCTCTTTTCTTTTAAGCTTCATCTTCAAATTCTTTATCAAGATCTTCATAACTAACATCACTTTCTTATTCAATCATTTGTTCTTCTTCTTCCTGTAATTGCATTCCTGCTATATCTTTCAATAGATCATCACAATCTCCAATATCATGTTATTTGTCTCTACATATTGGATCCAAAGATTCTGGTTAGTTTGATTCGTATACTTACTCAATCATTCCTAATAATTCAATCCGTGCAATTTAGAAATCATCAACTCCTGTAATATGTATTAATTAATCAGCACTTAATCCATTCTATCCTCTCCATGTACCTGTAATACTCAATTCTCCATTCACATAAGCTAAATCATCAGGTAACATATATCCATGTGTATCTCTCCATTCTACTGCTTATTCATGTAACACAACAACACTTCTCATCAAAGTTGAACAATCATCAACTATATGAGATCCAGGAAATTCACTCTCAAAGTATCTTGTAAACAATTTCTTAACTACATTCTTTTTACTCTAACTTATTTCATCCAAATCTTATATATAACATACCTATTAAACCATTCCTTAAGCTCTCAAATTACTAAGCAATTTATAACCCTATTCATCAAATGCATTTGCATTACTATGAGGATCCAAACTTATTGTATTTGTATTACAATCTCTACAAGACAATACTGGACATATTATGTCTGCCACTTTACATGCATCTAGTATTTATTCAGCATTTCTATCCAAGAATATAAATCTTAATGGTTATTTTATTAATTTCCCATTTGCCTCCACATTCAAAAAACAATCTTAAGTGCAATAAGAACTTATTCCAACTTATTATATATTGAGATGCTACATTAATCGAAATCTAATGATATTCACATCTTATACTTTAATGCAGCTATGTTGGATTATTAATTCATTGGAAACATGGCTATGATTTTTGTGTTTACTGTTTTAACTACTCTCTCTTTCTATTCTTAATCCTTCACTTTTTTCTCAATCTGTATTTCCTATTAACCATCCTTACTTTTAGTTTGTTTGATCTCTTATTTCTTTATTTTCTTCTTCAATTTGCCCTCACTCTTCTACTTTGCTCTACGCTTCGATTCTCCCTTAAATGCCTTATTTCTCTACTATGTATGACCCTTAGGCATAATTAAAATGATTTAAAAATAATTAAATATTTAAACAAACAAATTTTAAAATATATTTACAATTAATGAGATTATCAATTATAATTCAATAAACTAATTTATTATCCACCCATCTCCCCTCCATCATCTTCCCATCCATTCTATAAAATACTCCCTTACCATTTATTAAATCCCTCTCAAAACATCCTACAAATCTCTCCCCATTTGTTAAATGCAAACTTCCCTATCCTTCCTTATTATCCATCTTAAAACTACCACTATATTTAGTCCAATAACTATAATAATAATCTCTATAATTCTTACTCTTCAACATTATCAAAATCCCTATAATCAAAGCATTCCTCTGAATACTAAGGATGTTCATTATACAAAGTTCCAAAACCATGAAATTGATCCTCACTCCATTATCCCTCATATGCTGGTTATCCTGTTCCATAATATAATGTTCCTAAAAATAAGATTAAACAATTACCTTCCCCATGCATTTTATTCTCTTTCCATTCTCCATCATACAAACCACCATCCTAATAATAAAATCTTCCCTATCCATGTCTCATTCCATTCTTTTTCATTCCTTCATAACGAGAACCATTTCCATAATGTTCGACAACAAATTCTGATTCATTAACCTTTTAATCTTTGTTTTTTGAAATCTCATATGGCAAACTAAATTCTTTAGTTAAAGTATTTTTAAATTATTATGGGAGATTAGTAGTATCACATAAAATCTATGAGTATTCATTATTTCCTTATCTCTAAGTATCATTTTCATCATTTCCTTAAGAATCTAGGTTCTCATCAAACTAAGAATGTTTACTACACAATTCTGATGGATAAAACTTTGACAAAGAATCACATTAATCTAATTGTATTGAAAATACTTATATAGGAAGTATTTTAGATTCAGATGATTAATTTATCTATTGGAATTTCGAATTAGTTTAATTTATTTAATTAACTGGCAATTTAGGAGGAAGATTTATTTATTGAAGTAAACTTTTATTGCTTAAAATAGATTAATCTGTAGTTGGTGTTATTGTTGTATTATTTTAAATAGAGATTTTTGAATAGTTATTTAAGTATTCATGATTTATTTATCTTTAACTAATATTCTAAATTTGAGTTTATTGTTTAGGTACTGAACTATCTCTAATTTATTATTAGACTTATTAAGTTGGAATCATAACCTTACTAATGGGTGTAGAACTTCGTTATGATTAAGTTGTTTTAATAGTAAATTGATGAGTGTATTTTATAGGTGATATATTTTGAACTTGATTAATTCTCTTTGATTAATTAATTTATACATTATATGGAAATTATTCCAATTATAATGAGTTAGTACTTGGTTAATGGATTGTATCTATTAATCCTATTGGTTAGATTGGTATGATCTATTTAGGTATTATATTTGGTTGTTATTAATAGATTTTTCCTGTGAATTAATTTGAATTAATTATTTATTCCATTTAAATTATATCAGGTCTTTAATCTTCTTAAGTAATAAGCATCATTTAAATTAAATCACAAAATACTTAACTATGTTGAATTCTTAATTTTTAGAGTTTAATACTCAATTATTCTTCCAAAAATTTACCTTAGATGTAATTATAACAATCATTATTTACTTAATTCAATCCTAATTGTAAAAAAAGCATTCCTAAAGTAAATAAATCACTTTTATATTGATTGTGTTTAGGTTACCAATTATTTTTCCTAATTGTATTAACCAAATTAGGAGATAAATAAATTGATTCCATACAATTAGGATTTTATAATATTTGAACATAATTTGTATTTTATTGGAAATACTAAGGATCACTTACTTTAACAATTCCATCCATTAAATATAAATATTTAAGTTATAATGTATTATGTGGAATTTCATTTTTTTACATACATGCTAATCCAAAAATTGCTTATTTGAGATATTCAATTAATTGATTTTCATTCATAATTTGTACTCTTTCTAAATTACTTTATGGATATTCAAATAATAAATTCACTTTGTAAAATTATCCACATAGTTATTGTTCAAATTCATAAAAGTAATTACTTAGATTTAGAATATTAGGATGGTTGATCTTTTATCTAATTTAATATTGATTAACAGTCTTTTTAAAATATGCTTCATCTGTCATACTGATTGTACGTAAGATTAATTATTGATTAGGATCACGTTTGTGTTATAAGATCTGGCAATGAGGAAAGTCTGAATATGATATAATGGAACTTACCATTATTGTGTACATTGATCTATTTAAAATGCTCATAGAGTTTGTAAATTGGTTTTGAATCATTTGCTCCCATTTGATTTTCAAAATATAATTAACTGTCTATATATATTAATCACTCATTCTAAGCAAGTTTATCTTATGCTATTCTGAACAATCTTTAAGCAAATTCAAAGTTTAATGCTTCTTCTTCTGGTAAGGTACGTAAACGTTATTCAAAATAAACAGAATCAGGTTCTAGTTATGGACGATCATAATATTCCATTTCTTTTTCACTTAATTTTCTATCCAATTCACTTTTCAAGACATATGGTAAACTGTTAACTTCCTTTTACACATTCATAATAACTTCTGTATGTTTATCTAGCCAATATTTTTCTTAGAGCATTCTCAAATACTTTAATGAATAATCTCATCTTTTACATGTATTTCTGCATAATTTTACATAACTTCATTCAATTTCTTTTTATCATCTGAAGATAATTTGAATGTAAAACGATGTTTATTACGATGATCTTCATAAAATTTGGTCAATAATTTGATTCTCTTTGCATCTAACCAAGGATGAATAGAGCCTTCTCCTGTAAACTCAGGGACATAAACATTTAATCCCCTAAAACGTCTCTTTTCTTTTCTAGCCAATAACTTTTATTTGAAGGTTTTGTGAACCACAAAAGAGAATTTAGGTGTAAAAAATTACATAATTAATTTTTATTAATATATATATTATAATTAGATTAATTAAATGTAGAAATTATATTAAAATTATCATTTTCATTGTAAACGCTTAGATATCTATTCATTCATTCTTTGTAATTATTCACTTCTTACATAAAATGTACTCACTTTCTTATCAAATTCCTATTATAATTATTTTATATTTATAGAATTATCATTCCTTTCTATTTAAGTAAGACTTGCAATATAATCAGTTATATCCTTAAGTTATTTCTTTAAATTCTATCCAAATTACTTTCTACTTTATTAATCCATAATCTTTTCACTTTCCAAAAATACATTACAAACATTATTCACTTAAGTAAATTTATTACCTATTTAATTGAAAAATCCTTTTACTTACTATTCTGCATTTATTATAAATGCATTTACACCTGAATAGTCTTATAATAATAAATCAAGTTTCTATTTCAATAGAACTATTTCAGATTCACGAATAGTTGTGATCATTTTTTATATTTCATAAATATTTTTTATACTTTTTAACATCATTAATGCCTTCTTTACAATTATCATCTCATTTACTTATACTAATGAACAAAGATCACTTAATAATAATTCTAACATTTAATATTTTGAATCGAAATCATTCTAACTAAAAATTTAATGAGAATATAAATAAGCATCCTTTTAACCAATCACATACATTTTATTTATTGTTTATAAATTATTATTTCCAATCATACTTGATAAACAAACCAAACTTTCTAATGATTTTCTTAATTAATCAGAAATCTTAGATATTTAAGGTTTTTATAGAAATGATAATTAATTACATTCATTCTTAAATTTCTTTTATATCTCCATCAAATTATCCATTAATTATAAAAGATCTTTTTCTAAATTTGATAACATCATTTAATCTAAATTTATAACACGATGTTTTTCAGGTTCTGCTAAAAATTCATCAAATAATTATGGTTCTTCTAATAATTAAACAGGTAATTCTATAGATTATCGATAATCATTTGATTTAAAAAAGAATGGATTTGATTTAAATAACCAAAATGCATCTACTTTTTATAAATCTCTTTATATTTGTGAACTCATCCCTTCAAGTGATATTAAAAAATGATCTAATCTTTCTCTATCTTTCATAGGAAATGCTGTGTAAATACTCTTAACAGGAAAGAAATGACCATATCTTTAAATTAAAGATCTCATTGGATGTTTATAAAATACCTTTCGATTCTTTCCTTATTATTATACTTCTAATAGATTTCTATAATCTTGATTGCCTCTCTCAAAATCAATAATCTTTTAATATGCTAATGTGAATGTTGATATAAAATTTTCTCTATCTTCATTGCTTTTGAATTATTATAACAAATTTTTTAATGAAATATATTATTGTTACTTTTCTGCCACTTCCATAAATTCTTTATCTTTTGTGATTCTTTGTATCTTACTTTAAGCTTATTACTTATCAAAAGAATCATCAAGAGTAAATTAAACCTTTTTTTAGATCTAATTTTTTTATTGTTTTAATTCTTCATTTTAATTTATTACTTCCTTATTTGTTGGAGACTATATCATTTATTAAGATACTATAGTCTCCTTTTGTTCAACTATATAGTAATCATTTCCTTAAGCAGATTACCTCAAAACTGAAGAAAAATATTACTATAATATATGATACTTGATTATATACCATATATTCTCTAAGATCTTCATAAAATTTTCTGGTAGTTTGTAAAATAGTAGTAAGTCGTTTAATATATCTTTATTATTTTAATAATTGTGCCTTCATAATTTCAATTCTTCTTTGATGAAAATCATCATTAAGTTCTTAAGGTTCTAATTGTAACTTCCCCTTCTTAACATCATTAGTGCTAAAAAACAAAGCTCTTGCACTTTTCATTGGAGGTCTATCTAATGATATAGCTATTTTGAATTCATCTATTTATTCTAAATCAGTTTATAGATCAACTAATTTATTTGTTAACTATTTGTTCTTTTTTTCTAAGCTTTTAATATGTTTATATCTAGAATCATTAATAGTGAATATATTCTTTGATTATTTTGTTTCATATGGTCTAAAACTTAAATATTCTTAACTACTACTTGTTTGTAATTTCATATATTTTAAATATATATATATATATTTCATTTTTTGATACTTGGAAGCTTGAATTACTTTTTAATATCACAAATACTCTTTGTAGTAGGAGTTTTAGATTTCAAAACAGGTTTTTTAATAATTTAAGAACTTTCTATTAATGGACTCTTACTGGAATCAAGATCAACTGATTTCTTAATTATTAAGGTAGAAACTCCATTTTAAATTTATTATTTTTTGAATAAATTAGTTTAACTTTAATTGGTACTCTTGATTTTACTTAATGGATATTTTTTTTTGTATTTATTCAAGTAATCATTTAAATCTATTTTATTAATTTCCAAATCATCTCTCTCTTAATCTAATAATAATTATCTTTATTTTTAATCCTATTTAAATATTATTTCTTCTTTTTCCATCATTTCTTAATCTTTCTTATTCAATAAATTTTCATCATTTGGTTTTAATAATTCCTCTTTTGTTTACTGAATCATAAATTAAAAAGAACGAGATCCATTCTAAATACAATCTTATACTGCTTCATTAAACATATTTAAGATAATTAAATCATCACTATCTATTTTTTTATATAACAATGGTAAAATCTATAATAATAATATAAATTTGATACCTTTATTAATCTCATTCTAACATTCATAATAGGATCTTTTGAAAATATTAAAATATCAAAAAATTCATATTGTTTGAATAATTTCTTAGATATATATTCAGAAAATGATTGCACAATATTGATAAAATTGATTCGATTATAGTAGATATCAGATTTGAAATAAAGATCATATAATTAAATTATCCAATCTTTTCTCTTTCTTAAATCTCCATATTGACTTAAGTATTAAGCTATATTATCACAACATAATTATTTAGTTCTTGGAATACCTTTAGATATTGTATTAATCATTGCATTCATAAACATATTTACATCATTAAATATCTATTGACATTTTTAGAATTGATCTAGTAATTCAATTTAGAAATCCCATAAATTCTTTGTTATTAGACTATTCAATAATTCAAGGACTGGTTGACCAAATTGTGGTTGTTACTGACTAAGCATATTATGAACATAATACTTATTTTTAAAAAGAATTAACAATTGAAGCAAATCTAAATATCAAAATTTCCAATATTGTTACACTTTTTGATTTCATAAAGTTGATGAAAATCTAAAATAATATTTCAGTATTATCAGAAAGTAGTACAACTTCATGGAAACAATTGATAATGGCTCTTATAACAATTTCATTATTATCATTACAACATAATAAATAAGATTCCTAAAAGTATTCAAATTTTTTTGATGCCAAAGATAAAATAGCAGGGAAATTACTAACAAAATTGACTCTTATATCAACATTCTTACTTTTTACATAAGAAATGTATATGTTTATAAAAAGTGTAATTTAATTTTAATTTAAATAATCTTTTATCTAATTATAAATAAAGATATTTAATTACAAGATTAAATACTCTCCCACAAATTTTAGACATAACTAATTTATTCTCTTCATTTTGACTTTATATTGTATCAATAAATTATTTAGTACATCTATTTTTAATTTCATCTGCTGATAAATTATTTGCAATTGTAAAAAATAACTTCATACCTGAACTTCTTACAATTAGATCTGTATCATAATATAGTTCCATTATTTTTTCAATTAAATAACATTCTATTAAATCACTAGAAATTGATTAACAAACTTTAATCAATACATTATCAGCCATAATCAATCGAGTTTCTTTATCATGATCTGAACATAAATTTCTAGTTCTATCAAGAATTGGACCTTTGATTTAATTACCAAGAAGCTTATATAGTAAAGAGAACATTACTTATGCTAAAGTACCAATTAATTTGACAGCACTTTATCTTGATATTGTTGGCTATGAACTATCAGTTAATAGTAGTATCAATTATTGAATTGGAATAAGAATATTGGTAAGACATATTGTTCTTAAGAGAAGATCCATAGTTTGTACCCATTCATTTAATACAGGAAGTGACCATATTTTTAATATTTGAGATGTCAAATCATAGATTTGTAATAATTCTTAAATAGTAAGTGAATTTTCTTTAATTAATTTCTAAAGTGATTTAGCTGCAATAATTTAATTGTCTTCTTCTTGTTATTAAATTTCTTCACTTGTAATTTTAGTATTAATATAATTACATTATAACTTAGAATAGAAATTCAAAAGCATTAGGTTCCTTTAAAATCTTATGTAAATTAGAATAAATCTAGAGATAATTCACAAATAAAATACAGCTTTCTTTTATAATTATTATCCTTTAGTTAATATATAAATGGATCTCTAACATTCACTTAAATCTTCTTCCAAAGTTAATTTTTTCAATTCATCTTCACTCTAAGATATATGTATAATATATACTTTTGTACTAGTTTTATATTCCTATTCAGGGAAAAACATATGTATGTAAATATAATTAATAAAAAAAGGTAAAAAGGTTATAATTGTATATATATATATATATATTAATTGATATTCAATATATATATATATATTTATTAATAATTCACTTAATTATAAAATGTATATATATATTTATTGATAATTCACTTAATTAATTATTCTCCTTATAAATTATTTCTTTCTTTATGTATTTCAGCATTCAAATCAATCACTTCAATTCTTTCCTTACCCACTAATCTTTATATTTCTTCAATGATATTATAAAATTTGACTGCCAATTCAGGTCTTTCAAATTTATATATAATTTTAGGTTTTTCATAACATTTCCTAACAAATTCTCCATTTTCATTCCATAATTAAAATTATGTTATTGTAAGTTTCCATGATTCAGTTTTCCTTAAAGGCATTTTCTCCAAATATTTTAAAGTTTATTGTACAGTTGGACTAAAATAAACACTTTCATTTCCATATTATTTAATTATTCTCCATTCTCTACCAAATTAAGCTAAATCAATTCTATGTTTTAATGGTCTGTCTACTGGATGAACTATTATAAAATGATTGATATTTTTTACTAGTTTTCAAAGATTCTTAATTAATGATTTTAGTCAATAATGGAGCAAATTTTTAATCAGGTTAACCCTAATAAAGTAATCTTCCTAAATGATCAATAACTAAAATAGGAGAGATAGAATCTAATCCATATAGATCAGATAATATTTTATAAAAATTAATTCCAAGAAATTATTGTTCAAGTGGAAACCATGCTTCAAAAATACCTCTTTTCATTTCTTATTCTAATCTATTCATTTATTTTTAAAATTATTCTTCAGATCTCTTTTTTTCTAATCCTATTACTCTAATATTTGAGCTATTCCATTATCTACTCTTTATAAATTCTAATAACTAATGTAAAAGTTCAATATGTTTATCTAGAGTATAATCAATCAAAAATATGATAAGCACTTCATTATTAATTTAATGGATTGAATGCATTTAATCATAATTTAAATCTACTTTATTATCACCATCCCAACCTTCACTTAATTCAATATGACTTTAATTGCTTTTTATTTATTCTGTTATTCCAAAATGTTAATTCTAATCATCAATTGATTGATTCATAGATTATACTAATTTACTATCAAATATTCCTTTATTTGTAGTTCGAATAATTGATTACATGATTTAACTGCTTCCAGAAAAATCATTATGTTGCATTTTATATGTATTAGGAATTGGTGAAAAGAGAGTACCTATATTGAAAGAAGTTCTATAATAAATAAAATTTAAATTAATACTTCAAAGAATATGGATTACCAAAGAATTCTTTCAATAATTCTAATTCCTTATGAGTATAATTGTCAGATTAAGCAAATATGGATTTACCCAATTTCTATAATGCTTCTTTTCTTGAATAAACACAACTAACAGATTAAGGAGCATTATGCATAGAAGTAATTTCTCTTTTCATTTCTAAACGTTTTGAACTCTCTTCATATGATATTTCAATATTCTTCTCTAAGATGAATCTAATATCATCATATCCTATATTTCTATATAAATATCAGTAATACATTAATTTTCTACTCAACTTTTCAAAAAATTACTTTTTATTTACAGAATGATGTTATTTGAAATCTGTTTCCATATGAGCAATTGGAGTAAATTCCTTAACAAATTATATTAAATCATCACAATTTTATTAATATTTTTTAGATCCAGCTGCTTTAAAAATAGGATTGAAATAAGTAGCTCCAACTTTGGAATAATCTCTAAAGAATGTATGTTTTTTTATAGATATACTAAATGTATCTCCAATAGGTAATTTATGTTTATTTGGTAATTCATCCACTATTAAATTCTTTACTTTCTAATAATCATCTTTTCTTATTTTCTATTTAATATTTAACACTTAATTATCATCTTGTTATTTTATTTCACCATCTATTATATCATTTATTTCATGAATAAATGAATGATCTCCAAAGTTTTCCTTTAAACAACCTACAAAAACTCCTTTTGAATTTATTATATAAATGGATTATTCCAATTATCTTATTTAATAATTTGGATCCTCTGCAAATTTGAATACTTAAGCTGATTAATCATTTTCATTTATCCAAATGTGAGTATCTTCTTATGATATAACTTATTCATATAAACATTTTCTATCCTAATTATCTAAACATATCCCAATCAAATTAAGTGGACGCTTAATTGATTTCTTTGCTCTTATAAATGCAGTTTCTAAATAACATTAAGATTCATTATCATCTCTAAAACGATTACTTATATTCCTTGTTTTGACTTATGACATTCTTCCTATCTTTATTTCCTCCTCCAATTTCCAAAATACAAATATTGTTACAACATTTTACTGAATTTAAAAACTTGTAATTTGATTAGTACCTAACTTCTCTCCTTTAAAGATTGGGAATTAATTTCCTAAACTTAATAACATCCTTAAATGATTTAATCATTTATAAATACCCTAAATTTTTTGGGAAATCTTTAAATTCCTCTGGATATAATTATTTGAAATTCATTAAGCCTGAAATTAAATTATCAAAATTATCAGGTAAACAAGGAGATAACAATACTGGATTCTATTCATTGAAAATTGATTTTGAATAATTTGATAGCCAACTCTTACTTCCTCTACAATATTGAAATTCATATTCAGTTATTTTCACCACCTTACATTCTTTTATTTTCTTACTTGTGATCTACTAAACCCATAATATTGACATTAATCAAAAAAATTCTTCATTCTTGGATTCTTTATTGTCACATTTGTAATCTAAGTGCAACCCATTTTAATATTTAAATTATATATATATATATAATTAATCATACTTTAAGTATAAATTTCTCTCTCTTTAACATCACTTCATAAACATCTTAAATATTCAAAGTAACCCCTCCGTAAAATTTAGAATTCTTTACTTCTTCTATATTAAATCTCTTCTCTGGATTTGGATTTATCATTCCCAAAAAGAGTTCCCTTTCTATAAATTATTTAATACTTAAAATCAAATGGAAATTCAATATTCTTCTAAGAATGAATTTCCCAAAATTATTTATAGTTCTCTTAAATAATCAAATTAAATAATGCATCTTATTAATTAGCTTTAATAAATGGTGGTTAACCCTTATACATAATAAACAATATCACTCCCAAAGAAAACACATCTGCTTTTATTCCATTATATACAGCACCATACAAAACTTCTGGTGCTTAATAATCTTCAAATTCAATTATTAATTATACTCTCAGTTCCAACTTTAGTTTTCAATTTACCATCCTTATATTTATTGGAATATTACGCACAAGAGAAATTGCATAATTTTAGATTAAATTTTCTATCTAATAATACTGATTCTAATTTTAAATTCCTATGAACTAATCCTTTTCCATGTACAAAATCAACTACCTAAATTAATTACTTAAAGTAATAACGACAAAGACTTTATTCAAATTATCCACTTTTATCTATAAATTCAAATAAATCGCCTTTTTCCAAATATTCTAAAATTAAACAATCCATTTATCCTTTATCTCCCTAAAAATAGAAATATAAATAAACCTTCAATTTTAATTGTTGCTGATTTCTTCTTATAATTATAATGTTAGGATGACTCAATTTTTCTAGGATTATAGCTTCATTATGACATCTAATATCACTACCAATACAAGTATAAACTTTAGCCACATAATAAATTTATGAAGTCATATCCTATATTAGATAGACACTTTTAATTTAATTTAGATTTTTACTCTGCCATAGATCCAGTTCCTATTAGTTTTATGAATTGATATTCATTTACTATAGTTCCAATTAATTGATCCATTAATATAAATATAAATATTGCTTACACATTATATCATTTTTTAAATACTTAGGATTAAAAAAAGAAATACTATAAATATTATAATTAAATTAAAAATGAATAGTCAGAAATAAGATGATGAAAAGTACAAAAAATTTCAATGCAAAATATGTCTAGACTTAGCAACAGAGCCAGTTATCACTCCATGTGGACATCTCTATTGTTGGTAATGTCTCTATACTGTAATTTATTAAAAATTATTATTAGTGGGCAGAAAAGAAGAATCCATTGTAATGTCCATATTGTTCAAATGTTTTTGAATTAAACAAAGTCACAACTATTTTTACAGGAGACTCAAAAGAATCAAAATAATCAGAAATCCCTAAAAGACCTACAAATCCAAGACAAGAATAGAACAATTAATAATAATAATAACAAAATTAACAATTTGGAAACTTTTAATTTGGTTTTAGTTTTGGTATGCCATTTATGATGATGTCTAATTTTAATCTAGGATAAGGTCAATAAGCTAATGCAAGAAGTTTTATGCTTATTTTTTTTATTGGATTTTTCATGATGAATTTCTTACCCTTTTTTAGTTCTTATACCTAAGAAATTCCATAATAGACTTAAAGATAATCAAGAAGACATCAAGAAATAATTGAAGAAGATTATTTTACAAATTTCGTAATCAGCATTGCAATTTTTCTTGGTTTTGCTGGCTTTAGTTATTTGGCTAAAAAGATTTTGAATAATTGATAAACGTGTAATTTTTATGTTAAGTAATCTCAATTTAAATTATATATATTATAAAAATCACGCATTATCATTATTAAATCATATAAATATATATTAAATTTTATTTTATAACAACCTTATTTCAAAAACATTATTATTCACTCTAAAACCTATATTATGAACTTCTTAATCTTATAATATATTCAGATTATTTATATTTTATATTTAATTAATTGAATTATTTTTAAAATATCCTTATCTTCAATTCTAAATCATTTTTTATTAAGTATTCTTTTTTAAACAAGATTATGTATTTTTATCTAATGTTTGCCTAAATTATCAATAAAAGTTGTATATAATATGTTTAATTGATTGTATAAATATATATATAAGGAACTCAAATTTTGAATTGACATTTATAAATTTACATTTCAAGTTCTCTAACTTATTTAAGTAGTTTCTTGTATTATTTTATGTAAGTATTCACTTTCAACTATTTATTCTTTTTAACTTTATTTAAAATAGAACAGATCATTTTTTGTATCTCATTTTGAAGTTCCTATTTTCTTTTCATCAAATGAAATTAATAAATTAATAAATTAATTGTTTATTAAATATCCACTATATAATGAATACTATGTAATATAAATCATTTAATTAAATAATAATGTAAATTCTTTTTACTCCAGGACCTCTCTTGACAACTAAAACTGTAAAAGAAGCTGCTCTAGTTGATATGGGTTCAAGAGATCCCAAATTTATTTCAATTATTCAAAATATAAGATCAACCTTATTGAAATTATCAAATGTTGATGAAAAAGACTATACAGCAGTACTTCTATAAGGAAGTGGTACATATGCTATTGAAGCTACATTTCATACAGTTTTAAAAAGAGAAACTGATAAGTAATCATTTAATTATAGAATATAGAGTACTTGTAGTTTCTAATGGTGCATATGGAGAAAGATAAGCTAAAATATTAACTGCAATAAATAAGTAATTTGTCAAACTCACATATGATGAAAACCAAAAATGTGTAGTAGATGATATCATTAAAACTATTGAAAATGATCCAACTATTACTCATTTGAGTATGGTACATTCTGAAACAACTTCAGGAATCATTAATGACATTGACTTTGTTCATAGATTAAGTAGAAGAGTTGTATTCATTTTGGATGCTGTCAGCTCATTTGGAGCCTATGAAATTCCAATTTCCAAATTAAATATAGATTTTTTAATATCCACAAGCAATAAAAATATTTAAGGTTTGCCTGGATTTGCTTTTGTCATTGCAAATAAATAAATATTATCTTAATGCAAAGGGAATGCTGCTTCATTAGTGCTTGATCTCTATGATCAAGAAGAATATATGATTAAAACATAATAATTCAGATTTACACCTCCTACACATGTATTGAGATGTTTTGAATGTGCTCTCAAAGAATTTGAAGAAGAAGGTAGTATCAAAGGAAGATAAAAGAGATATACAGAATTATAATAATATTTATCTTAATAAATGTAAAACTTAGGATTTAAGTTATTTGTTGATCCTAAAGATTAAGGTTGCATTATTACTACATTCCTCTTTCCAAAAGATCCTAAATTTAATTTTAATTGTAATAAATAATTTAATATTCATAGAATTTTATGATTACCTTGCAGCTAAAAATCTCATCATATATCCAGGTAAAATGACTAAAGCAGAAACCTTTAGAATTGGTTCTATTGGTGCATTAACTATGTAGAATATGGAATAATTAATTGAGGCCATTAAAACATTCATAGCAGAAACAAATTTATAAGTTTAATGAGATAAATAACAGTGTTATTTTTTATTAAATTGTTGTTATTATAATTTTCTAATTATTCTTTATATTTATATATATTAGGTATGATATATTAAAAAATTTAATATCTACTCATAATAGAATTTCTTTAATGTATAATAATTACTAAAATCAAAAGGATATTGATGAAATAATATAATTGTTTATTTGAGTTTAGATTATTAAATTTTGAATGATAATAGATATAGATTTTATCTATTAATTTATTATTCATAAAAATGGATGAATTCAAACATAGTTTAGGTTTGTAAAAACTATGATATTATAAAATTGAATATTTTCTACTATGTTTGAGTTTATTATATGAGTTTGTAGGAAATTAATAATTGATTGAATAAGTTTGTAGGAAATTAATAATTGATTTGAATAAATAATAATTAAAATTTAATGGAACCAGATCCAAAATTATTGTCTCTATTAGAGAAGGTTAATAATCCAATAGAATTGTTTAAAATACATATAACTGTGAAAGTAAAGTGGCAATAAAATAATTATTAAAGGGAGTGTATGGATTTACAGAAGATTGGAAATTAACAGATGAAACGAATCCAGGAATATTTGCAAATGTTGTTCGTTATTAAGGGGAAGATTTATTTGGCAAGATCAAGGGTCGAGAATTGACAGAGAAAGAGAAATTTGAAGAGTATTAGAAAAATAGTAAAAAGAATAAAAAAGACACTAAGAGTCCAGAGGAAGAAGAATAAATGAAGAAAGTATTGGCATTAGAAGAAGAAGAAGAATTGAAAAAATAATAACATTTGGGGACTCTTTAAGAATAGGATAAATTATATTTTATATCAGAAGACAAATTCAAAACTACTAGCATCTAATATGAAGAAACACATACTATTGAAATAAAAAATGTACGTTAATTAGAAGAAGAAATTCTTGATAATAGAAATTTTATTTATTTTATTAGATAACCTGCTATTACAGAAGAAGAATTAGCTAAATTGAAGAAAGGAAAGACTAAAAATTTAAATAATGCTGAATTAACTTAAATAATATTTAAGGGTGTTTTTGATTTATCAGATTTATTAGAACCAGGATGTACACATACAATTGTTAGATCATTTTTAAAATAAGAAGATAATGCAGATTGTCCTAAATATAATTGTGATAAGATGTATATTAAAGTAGAAATAGAGACAGAACCTGCATTAACTCCTTTAATTGAAGATATTGCAGTTTTGAATATTGAACCTGTTATTGTTTAAAGAATACCAAGTAAATTTGAGTGTGTTGGATAATTTCAAAGTATTACTTATTCATAATTATAGGTGATATAAAAGAAGCTATGAAAGCATTAGATGAAGAATATTCTAAACTATACCCAAGTGATTAAAAGGCTAAAGTTAGTGTGAATTTGACAATTTAAAAAAGATAAGAATTATAAAAGAAGAAAGAATCCTTTCTTAATGAAATTAATTAATCAGGAAAATACAAAATTCTTTAAGATAGATTGAGATCATCTATTATTAGAGTTTGTATTGATAAATTTGCTAAGGAAGGATTATTTGTAGGAGTTAATAAGGATGAATAAGACAGACTATTTGCAGAATTATATGTTTTTATGATGGAAGAAATGTAAACTACTCTTGGTGAATATGTATTAAATAATAAAGAAGATATTCATGAAGATTTATATTCAACATATGATTAAAATCAAAGAGATAGAGATGTTGTGTTTCAATCTTTGAAAGAATAAGCATTTAAGAAATTTAAGAGATTTGCTGAATAATATGAAACAATTAATTAAGTTGATTAAGCATTAAAATATTATACTAATATGGTATTGATGGATCCTAAATCAGCAACTATTTTTGCTAAATATTGTTTTAAAATTTAAAGATTTAAAGCAGCTGAATAATTAATCTAAATGGTTAGAGATATAGAATGGAATAAAGAAAATGAATTATTGATGGCTTGTCTTTATATCAGAAGAGAAAGATACAAAGAAGCTACTAATATTGTTTAAGCTTTACTTTAAAAGGAACCTATTAATACATTATTTAATTTACTTATGTCATTCATATATAAACAGGAAGGAAATTAAAATATGGCAGACAAATATTTGAGATGTACTTAAAGAATATTTATGAGAACCATGGGTTTATTAACGAAAGGGTATTATTTTCTATATTTACTTAAGATTTCCAAAATAATAACCAGATCCTCATGTTTTACCTAATTTCAAATAACAAATGATTGAATAATAAGAAAAAGCCAAAAAGGCTCCTGTGTTAACTCCAGAATAGACAGATCAAATACAATTAGAATTAATAGAGTATTTTGCATCTCGAAGTCTATTTGATTTAGCTGAAAAAGCTCTTATCAATGTTAAAGATAAAACAACATAAAAGATAAATATCATAAAGGCATAGATTCATATTTTCAATGAAAATTATACAGAAGCTTTTATTTTAATTTAAAAGATCTTAAATTAAAATCCAAAAAATTATGAAGTCTATTTAATAAAAGGTGCTTTATGTTATTAAACTGATCAGTTTTATGAAGCAGAGGAAACCTTTTTAAAAGCTTTATCTATTCAACAAAAGAAATCCTTTGATATTTTATTAAGATTGGGGTATTTATATTTGAAACGTAAGTCTTGGCATGATGCTAGAGCTATTTTTGAAAGAGCTTTAGATTAATAAGTTCCTTCAAATAGTTCTTTAACATGGTTGGGACTTGGAATTTCAAATTTAAGATTAAATGATCCTATAGCTGAAGAATGTCTTTGTTAAGCAAGCATACATGAACCATTTAATGGTGAAGTTTGGGGATATTAAGCACTAAATTGTTTATAATAAAAAAGAGGATAATAGGCTAAATAATGCTTATAAAGAATGGAATAAACAGAAGTAAATGATTTAGATTTATTAATTGAATTGGCAGAAGAAATGTATAATTGTTAAGATTTTGAAAATTGCAGATAAATATTGATGAGAGTCTATAACTCAAAAGTTAAGATACCTAATATGGGTTAACTATTAAAGAATTTGGGATAAGTCCATGCAGAATTAGGAAGAAAACAAGAAGCTAAATAATATTATTAGGAATCATTACTATATTTAGAAAGTAGTAATGAAATAGAGAAAGTAAATAAAGAAATAAAATTTTTATGAAGATTTACAACTTCATATATATATTTATCTATATTATATAAATAATTAACATATAATAAAACTTCTTAATAAATGAATAAAAATAATTTTACTTCAATATTTGTATTAATTGATATCATTTAATATATTAAATTCATAAATCTCTGGCATCTTCGAAACTCAAGATAAATACAGTGTGTGGATAATAACTTACACCTCTTTCATCAGTCTTGAATTAATATGAAACTTAGCATGTAAAACCAGAAGCATTCAAGACTCCCTTACAGAATTTTAATTATTTCATACTTTTAGAATTCCACACATAAATTATGCAGGTGAAATATGTCCTTCTTCTGAGATATATTTAAGAAGTAAAGGATTTTCATCTCTAATAAGATAATCATTAGGTCTATCTTTCAATTTTTCAATAGATTCTGCTTGTCTTCCAAAGAGATGTTTCCAAAACTACAATTGCATATTTAATTTACAATCCCTTAAATGAATCTCAATTATTCAACTAATTTTGTTTCCCTCTTATTTCTTTCCCTTAAACTGACTACTTCATAGAGTCGAATTCCTACTGACACTCCTAATTGTTCCATCTTAGAGTTCATCTCATTATAATCATTCCCATGTTTCCTCTTCAAATAGCATATGTATCTAAATATATTGAATTAATATACTCAGCAAAGACATAATTGAATGTACAGAAATTCAATTCTGGTCTTTGCTATCGAATATTTTTGTCAAAAAACTAAAATTTTTTCATGATTATATGAATTAACTAACATAATCATAATTGCTTTAATGATTCAGCAAATTATTCAATAAGAGTCATAAGATTCTTCCCATTCATACAAGTTGCATCAACCAAAGCACTACATACAAGATATGGATCCATATTGGCTGCAGGTCTTCGATCTTCCAAATACCTACAATTATATAATTAATATATATTATTACCCCTTCCCTAATTCTTTTGTAATTATTGGTACTCTTATAGAACATCCCCTAGAGCCATCTCCCCATGTAAATTGATTATATTCTCCAGTCTCATGTTTACCAGTCAATCTCGCTTCATTGTTTAATCCATACAACAACATCATTTTTTAATGATTCTTTTCTAAAAGTGGTAACATAAATTCTTTAATGTATTCATAACCACCTTACTCTCTTGTATTTGTTGTTGAGAAATTACAATGAGCTCCAGTGCCATTCCAATCTCCTTGAATTGGCTTTGGATCATAATTGATATCAATTCCAAATTCTTCACCTAATCTCTCTAATATATATCTAGCCAACCATAAATGATCCCCTGCCTCTATACCATGTGCAATTCCTATTTAAAATTCCCATTATGAAGGAGCTACTTCTGAATTTATTCCTGATAATTTAAGTCCAGCATAAAGACATGCTCTTTAATGTGCTTCAGACAATGCTCTTCCAAAATTATTGCGTTCTCCAATTGAACAATAATATCTTCCTTATTAATATGGAAAACCTCCTACTGGCCATCCCAAAGGCCATAAATGAGTTGTCCCTGTTCTCTTTAACATAAAATATTCTTATTCTATACCAAACCAAGGATCACTTTCATTTGCTTCTTACATTATTTTTTCAGCAATCCATCTAAAATTAAAACGTGCAGGTGTTTTACGATCTGGTTTGTATGTCTCACATAATACAAATTTATGTGGATCTCCACGAAATGGATCTCTTACCATACAAACAGGCTTTAAGAAAATCTCACTAAATTTTGTGATTGCTTAATCTGTAGATGAACCATCAAATGTCCACCATTCAACATCTTCCAAACTTTAAATTGCTGTATTGTACACTTTTGTTTTTGATCTCAGTCTCTCTCCAGTACCATCTATCCAAATATATTCTACTAACACATGTTTATTGGTGTTTAATTTGAAATAGTTAAAATCCCTTAAGTTTTCAATTGTTTCTGTCATAAATAATTTATAATAAATAATAGTATTATATATATATATTTTACTGAATGAGGCATCATATAAAAATGTCTACTTAAGTAAGTAATTATCAAATTTAATTAAATACCTTTTAATGAAGATAAATTAAGTAATTTATTTAATTCTCATATTTATTTTATGATCTGAAATGAATCTAAAAATAATTATATTAGCGTTAAGGAGAAATTATAATATCTACTTAAGAGTGATCGTTATATTTTATCTCAACTTAAATCTTAAAAGAATTAATGCTTTGTTTCTTTATATTTACTATATATAAGAAAAACATAATACATTTCTAAAGTGAATCTACTTTATAAAAGATGTTACTTAAATATTAAAGCTTATTCATATTTTTAGTAAGTATTATATCTAAATGTAAGTTTTGGAGACTTTAATAATGTTGGATTAATTTATAATCTGTATAGCATCTTAATTTTGATATTAAAGATAAATTTATATTTAATAATGATATTGTAATTAAATATAATAGAAAACATGAGGAGTTTAGTGAAGTGAAAAAAAAGAAAGATAATTAAAAATACAATGTTGTTTAGTAATAAGTAAGTATATCGGATTTTAATTTGATTAAATAAATTTTATTGATGAGCAGAGCATACTCTCCTACTAGAAGTAGGGCTGAGAAAATAGTTGGTTAATTGAGTGAGATTCATTTAGGAAGGAAAGATCAAGTATAGTGTAGATAATAATTTTGATAGACTTAAAGAATAAAGGAGGCAGAGGAGAGAGTAGAAATAATGGAAACAGCAATAAAGGATTTGAGAGAAACTTTAGAAGAGAAGGTAGCAAAGATTAAGGAAGGATTAGAATATGTTCAATCTGTGTTGACAGAGTAAGAACCAAAATAAGAGGATGAATAATAGATGATTGAGGATATGTAAAAAGCAGAGGAGAGTGTTAATTAATAGTTGGAGGAACTTAGTAAATTAAGAGAGGAGAGTTAATAGAAATTCAATGAAAAAGTAGAATAAGATATTTCAGAGTTGCGAGAACAGATAAATTCTGAGAAACATGAGAGAAATGAATAGATAAAAGAGATAAATGGTTGTTTGGAGGTATATAATGAATATATTTGAGGATAGTGTGATTTACCATAGTTGTAAGAGATGCTGTAATAAAACATAAAGGAGAGAGATGATATGGATAGAAATATTAATGGGAAGTTAAATGATGAATTGTTAAGGTTGTAATAGATAATACAGTCTGAAAAGATCAGTAGATAATAGAGTGAGTAGAATTTATTTGAGATGTTGAAGGATGTTGTGAATAGGATTAAAAGGGAAATAGATGAAGAGAAGAGAGAGAGGGAAGCTACTGAAAATGATGTTTTAGGAGTCTTGGAGGAAACTTTAAATAAAATCTTAGCAGCTCAAGAACATTGATATCTAAAATAATATAATAATTAAATGCAAAATTCAGACAATTCAGATGAATAATATAGTGATGATCAATAAGAGTCTCCAAGATTTCTGTATAACTTTAGAGAATTAAATCTACAGAACAAAAGTTTACTTGGAGAAATAAGAATCATTTGTAGAAATCTCATTTATGTGATTGGTTTGGCTCCTACAATAGCCAAAGAGGAAGTATACTATGTCATTTTATGCAAGTTGCTTAGAAAACCAGAATATTTTGGATAATATGGATAGATTTAAAAATTGATTGTAATTTAGAGTAATACTTTCAATCCACCTTCTCATGCAGCCTATATTACATATCGTAATGAACAGGAAGCATCGATGGCCATACTAGTAAGCATTTTTCAATAACTTATCGGCTTGTGAAGGATATCCTTTACATGATAGATTGGTCAAAGCCTCTTTTGGAACCACCAAATACTGTACCAATTTCTTGAAAGGACAATAATGTAAAATCAAAGATTGTGTTTATTTACACTAGCATCCAAAAGACAAGGAATCAACATAAGTTATTAAAAAAGTAATGATATTCCTTTTTATCATCCTAGGAAGAAATGAACAATTCAAAATGGTTATTCTCTTATTCTCAAAGATTAGCTTAAATTAATTTCAAAAAATTCTATACCAAAATTAATTATAAAGCTGCTCTTTAAAAATCTATCTTTCTGAATACCCAAAATATACTAGATCGAATGATAGCATATAAAATAGTTGATCGTCATATGGAATAGCCTCAACAACAATAAATAAATGAAGAGACTATTTTAGTATAATTGTCTGATAAATATGTTGATACTATTTCACCATAAAAACCCTTAGATATGGAAAAGAGATTGGAAAACATAATTCAAAAAAGTATTTTTAGAATATTATTTAGTGGATGGAGATAGTAATTCTAGATTCAAATTTACAAAAAGTACAAATATTCCAGAAGATTAAGAAGCTATAAATCAATTAAAGTAGTTTATTCTAAAATGATAATAAAACATATATAAATCATTAATATTTCTTTAATTATATGAATAATTGTTAATATAAAAGATTTCAATATAAATTCTAAAGAGTTTAGAATTGTTGAAATTTATGAAATATTATCAAATGATCAAATTATGATACATCTTTATATCTTATATAAAAGTGTAATTACTTAGACTCTGATCTTATTAAAAATATTAGGAATATCATAATAATTTAGATATTGATAGAAATTCCATAACAAAAACAATATAGGGGGTAAAAATATAAATAATAGATTTATAAATTAATAAAATAATCTCTAATATAATTAAGAAATAATCAAATAAAAATTCAAGAATGATTTTAGATTATATTTCCTCCAAATGAATCTTCTTCTTCTTCTTCTTATTTTGGTTAAATATCTTCTCTATCAATATCTCCTTAATCATATCTGAATTTTTTTTATAAATATTTGCTAAATGATTATTAAGAGATAACAGAGTATTATTTTTATTCTTCATTATATCTTTTTCTGTCATCTTCAGAAAGTTTTTAATAAGGCTACAAATTTATATACATATATATGTTTACTTCTTATTCAGCTTAAGTTAATTCATTCCATTTTTTGGCTATTAATGATGTTATTTCTTAAAATTGCTTACCTAAATATTTAGTTTAAATTCTACCTTAATTTTCTTTTTAAAATGTTTATTTCATTGCTTTGAAATAAAAGATAAATGCTGATTATGGCATTTTTGGAGCTTAAGGATCTTTATTTCTCTTTTTATATTTTTTAGGTCTCTTTCTGATCTGTTTTATATGTGGCAATATTTTTTGATACTTATCGCACAGATTTCTCATACCATCAAGAAACTCTTTAAAAATAAAGAGCTCTTTTTTATAAGGTTTTGGAGCAAATTAATCATTCTCCATTAAATTTTATAATCACTAGTAATAATTATATAGAAACTCAAATTAATTTTATCTTTTACCAGAAAAAAATGCTTTCTACTCATATTCATCTATTAACATGTTCAAATTAATCACTTTCCTCACATTAACTTTAGGTTCTTTTTTATACAAATATGATGTAATATTTAACACAACAGGACAATCAGATGTTCTTTATGGAGAATTTTAACGAGAAATAGATTGAAATAATACCTTACCATTCTTTCGCTTTTTTAATATTCTTGTCTCTGGAGTAAACAATCTTGCTTAATGATTATTGAAACTGTTATTCTAACTCTAAAAATTAAAACTTTTGTTTATCCGAACATTTTCAAATAGATCACCCATAATTACTTAATGTTTACTTTTCTTTTCATCTTATATCTAATATCTATTAGAACAAACTTTCTAATCTTCTACTTTCTTATTTATAGAGGATGCCTTTCCACTAATCTAGAAATCATATAGAGTCTGATTCCTTTTCTTTTATAATATATTAAGTTTCCTTTTTGGAATAGTGTATAGATCCATTTCAATATTTATATTAAAATGAGTTTTGCTCTACCCTCTTCAAAATTACCATTAGTATATAGACATCCATAATAAGGTTTTGTCAATACATTACCCTATATTGATGGTGAATTAGACAACAAAACTTAAACTATAGTATTGAATCTTATATATTAAAAACAAGGTCGATCGTATGATTCAATAAGAAATGTAAAATATGGATCCTCAGGATTATTTACATGATTTGCCTATGCCATAAACTAAATTAACAGATTTATTGAAATCAGAAATTGAAAGAGTTTAATAACCAATATCTAAAATTGATTTTGAATAGAAATCAAATATCAATTAAGAATTTTAATCAACTCATGAAATTCAAGAAGCCAATTAGTAGTTAAATGTACTTAATCAATATTCATAAATTAAGTAAATTGATAATCATATATTCTTTAAGCATAATTAATTCTGAATTACTTAATAAATATGGTAAAGAATCATGGTCATTATTATTAAAATCATAAGAAAATGAGAAGAATAGATTATCTAATGAAATTGTGGATTAATAGTAAGAATTGAATCATATAAATGCATAACGAAAATACGAATAGGTAACATTGACTTTATATCAAGAATGAAGTCAAATATAAATTGGATAGTTTAAAAAATAAGGTTTAAGATGTTTTGAAAAATAATTGTTAATTGGAAGTTGTATGTGGAGAATTAGAATAAGAAATATATGACAAGTAAAGAAAATAATTAAAATTGAATTGATTTTAAATTATATTATTTATTCTTTTTGATGAATATCGATATATACAATTCTTTAAGTTTTATAGATCTCATTCCAAATGACTTCAACTAAAAACATACTGTATCCTCATTTAATAAAATTAAACCAATAAAACTCAACAAAAAAATTTAATCAACTTCTGATTTTGCTTCTTCATCTTGTTTGTAATTATTAACAAGTGCAAGCTCTAATCGAAAAACTGTTCAATCAAATATTGACATGTATAAATTAGGTTAATACTTTTTATAACACAAAAAGGAAAAACAATAATAATTGATTCATTAATTGGAAACCAAATTCTAACAATCATGTTCATTTTCACCCTAAATCACTTCCAATTCTCGAATCATAGCTTCTAAGTCTAAAACTATTATAAATAGAGAAAGATAATAATCTGAATTAATTGATTCTTAATCTATTAAGTTACAAAAAGATCTAGAAGAATGCACATTTTCTCCTTAAATTTTAAAAAGAAATATTGATATTTTTGATAGATCATCACCTTTCTATTTCAGTTAAATTGATTGGAAATTAAATCTTTAAGAGAAATTATAAGAAAGTAGATCATAAAATCAAACTAAATCAACAATTTCTTTAAATAAACATCCAAAATATTTAGATTTAAGAGCTAGTCATGCTTTAAAGAAAAATATCTCTGCTAAATATTTAAGATAAACATTGAATTAGATGTGAATTATTAAATTTAATAATAATTTCGTTTTTTTCCACATAATTCAATATATTTAATAAAATTAACACATTTTTATGATTAGAGAATTTAATCTTTTTAGATTTATGGTAATATAATTTAATAATATACTCAATATGAATATTTTTGAGAAATTATAAAGATAATTTAAATTATTAAAATAGAAGTAATATGCTTTAGAAACTTAAGATTTTAATTACAATTTTTAGTAAATATTTACTTATTATTATTAATTTGATGAAATAATATAAATTTTACTTAAATTCTAGATTAATGGTGATAATTATTAAGATCTTTTTATTATTATAAATAAGAATGTAATTTAAACATATTTTTCACATAAAATATAATTTAAATTTGAAGTAAAATAAAATATGCAAAAGTAATAAAATGAACAGATTGAGGAGGATGAATATGAAGATGTGATTTCTTATACATCTTTAGAAAAATTAGCAATTCCAGGATTTGGTGCAGTAGATATATAGAGATTAAAAGATGCAGGATTTACAACATGTGAATCAATTGCATATACAGCAAAAAAGAATTTAATGAATATTAAAGGCATGACTGATGCCAAGATTGAAAAATTAGTTGAGGCTGTGGCTAAATTAGTAGTAAACTAATTTAAACCAGCTACAGATGTTTTAAAATAGAGAGAAAGAATAGTACATATTTCAACAGGAAGCACTAAATTTGATAAATTACTTAGAGGAGGTATAGAAACTGGTGGAATAACAGAAATATTTGGTGAATTTAGAACAGGGAAGTCTCAAATTTGTCACACATTAGCAGTCACTTGTCAAATGAATGATGCAAAAGGAAGACCAGGAGGCAAATGTTTATATATAGATACAGAAGGAACTTTTAGACCAGAAAGATTAAGTGAAATTGCTAAGAGATTTGAATTAGGAATAGAAGAGGTCTTAGAGAATGTTTCTTTTGCAAGGGCTTATAATGTAGATGAATAAATGAAGTTATTAGTTCAAGCATGTAATTTAATGTCTACTGATAAATATGCTTTATTGATAGTAGATAGTGCAACAGCATTGTACAGAACAGATTATTTGGGTAGAGGAGAATTATCAGCAAGATAAAATCATTTAGGCAAATTCTTAAGGAATTTATAGAGATTGGCGGATGAAGTATAATTATAGTAAGCTTTTAGTTCAATGTAGCAGTTGTAATAACTAATTAAGTGATGAGTTAAGTTGAAGGTACAATGATGGCAATGGGAGATCAAAAAAAACCAATTGGAGGGAACATTATGGCTCATGCTTCAACAACAAGATTGTATTTGAGAAAAGGAAGAGGAGAGAATAGAATAGTCAAGATTTATGATTCTCCATGTCTACCAGAATCAGAAGAGTAATACACTATATCACCTGGAGGAATTGATGATTGTGCTGATTGAATTAATTTATATTTTTTATTTTTTAACTAACATATAAAATATTAATCAATGTTTTTACAAGAAATACAGAAGTAGCTTATGCTTTTTGAATCATTGTTCTATACATCTTTATTACAACGTAGACATTTTCTTATTATCTATTAAATTTATTAATCAGCTAATCTTGAATTATCTTTTAATAATTCCCCTGTAGATGATTGGCATCTTTATTTAGATACTTATGATGTTATTAATGGATCCTGATGTAATTATTTAATTATACATCTTATGATTTTAAACATTTGAAAAAGTCATCACTATCCAATTAATATATAGCTCTGAAAATATTTGAGCATTTCTATTTAAATTCATCAAATGACAACTAATCATCATTAAATTTACTGATTATCTACAACAAATTATATATTCTCTATTTGAATCCACAGTATCAATCTCATGTCCACATCCTAATATTTTTCGTTTGAAATGACAAGTTATTGTTTGTTATTCGTCGTTTTTATACTAGCTGATTTTTTGGTTTATGAACTATCTCTTTTTAATGGTGATTTTTATCCATTTAAATCAATAAAATATTTTTCAATATCTCCATCATTTGCATATAATAAAGCTTTAAATTAATCTAATGATTTTAGCATTTGTTCACACTATAGATTATGAGAACTTAAACGATCAAAAAATGTTGAAAATAATTCAATCATAGTGGTTCTATCCACAGAATATTATAATATATTTTTATAAGAATTCAATAAATAGTTTATTAATTTTTATAACTTATTTATAATTTATATATATATTGTTAGAAATAGTAAATAAGAAGTTATATATATGAATAATATGAGTATGGAATTATTAAAGTATATTAAAAATAATCATTCATTTTTTAAAGTAGTAGTTATTGCTTAAGCTAACTTAACTAGTTCACTCACATAAGTAGAAGTCAATGAACTTCTGCTAACATAGGATGATTCAATTTTATTTCTGAGTGCCACAATTTCATTCAATTAAACAACATCTGCAAGACTACGTCCTTGTCTTTTTTTCAATTGTTCAGATGAAGTACGAAAAGAATCATATTTAAAAGAATCAGATGGTTTAGTATATGATTCAGTTTCTATACTGTATTTGATTTATGGTGGAGATTGTACAAATTTAAATGGGGATTAGGAAGATATGGAAGGAGATTGGAATGATTCTCTCCACTTATGTCCACTATTGAATGATTTAGTTCGTGGTCCTAAAGTATCAGTAATTCTTATTATTAATGTATTAAATACTTTTATTAAAGACCTTAAGCTTTATAAGGGGAATAAGTAGGTTCACTTCTTTATGGTTAAGTGGCAACAACATTGGATAGACGGGAGTAAGAGAAGTCTCTAATTCTTGCTTAAAGATTCTCAAAAGAAGGTACTTATGCACGTGTGTCCTTTCTGAATGGATAGATGATAATAGTTACCTATTTGAGTTGAATTTGTTAGCACTTTATGGAGCTTCTCGTTTTAAGAACATAATTTATTAAACGTTAAAAATTAAATTGTCATCATGTTTATTGTCATTAAGTTTCTAATTTATTAACTGTCGTATAGATGGCTTTCCTAGATGAATAGGTGAGAATTACTAATTCAATTCTTCTAAGGCAATCAATTATTTGATACGTCTGGGTAATTGTAAATATTATTTACGTTTCCATTCTCTGGTTTCTGCATAATAATTATCTAATTTAATTTCACAAGCAGATTATAAAGAAGAAGCACAAGAATCATCAGGATTATCAGGTGGATCTTAATTATAATGAGTTCTTTTGTGACGATGAGTAAGTACTTTTCTACCAAAGTTCTTTCTAAAATCAATTTCTGAATCAATAACATTTTGAATATATTTAGGATGTTTTTGAATCATTACTCCTTTAGGTTTGTTGTATAAATAATCATACAATTAAACATCAGCATGTGTTAAGATTCCATCTTAATTTCTACGATCAGTTTTAGCTGCTTTATGAAATAAAGTAAAGTCATTCTATTTTGTTTAGATACTCAGACGTACAATTTTATTGATATTATTATCATGTTATTCAGCTTGATCTTGTAATTCTTAGAGATAGAGTTAAGCATTATTTTCAAGTACAGATTTAAGATAGGATCTTGTAGGGATTGATTAAATAACTTATTATTGTAATTTACAAACTGGTTCAACATTATCATAATTGAGTCTATATTATTTTAAGTTTTTAGTTTTTGGTATTAATTTCTCTTAATAACCTCCAGAATTCTCTTTATGATTAGCAATGTCTAAAATAGTTTATACTATAGTAAGAGTTTAAGCATTGCCTTGTCTAATTTCTTCATTATGAGGTTTCTTGATTGCTACTTTCTCTTTGATAAGATTGCGAACTTTGACAATTTTACTTTTTAGATAATTTTTTCTTTATTCAGTTTATTGACGTATTTTAAGAGTCATTCTATGTTTAGGTTAGAGTTATTGTTCAGCATTTAATCTTGGATAATTGAGTGTTTGAATTAATCTTTATAGATTTAAGTCACCTTTTAAGTAATGAGCAAAATGTTATTCAAATTGTTATCCATGATTACGTGTTTCGAATGGTTTTGTAGTTACTAATGGATCTATATGTTTTCTTGATGAGATATGTAAAGTATTAAATTTACGATGAATATTTTTAGAGTGATCGAATTCACATGTTGTAGAAAAACTCATTAATAATTTTTATAAATGCAATTTAAAGAAGAATTGATTAATGTGATTATCAATTTGATTGAAGAATTATTTGAATGCAAACTTAATTCCATTATGCAAGAAGTATTATAATAAATAAACATAGGTTAATGATAAACTTACTCGTATGCATTAAGATATAGAAAATATGTAGGATGTACTTGTTAAACACTTTTCACATCAAATAGCTCATTC